AAGACAAGGATGCATGAAAAGAGAGAGATATCCAAGCAGCAAGATGGAGAGAAAGGCTTGCTCTCATGCTCTCAACTCAGAGTGAAGAAGTCAACTGAGTCTAGCAGACAAAATCTATCCACACACTGTTTTAGACCGGCTCATGGTCAATCTGGGAAATATCTCAGTGAAAACAGGATAAGCCTCAAGGGATCTTAAACAAATTAATGATAACAACAGAGCCCAACTGAAATATGGGGCTCCCTCATATCCTGTGCAATATTAGATTTCTGCCTTTTTTTTTCCAGAGAATAACATCTATGAAGCAGCTTTTAATAAAATCAGAGCACCGCCACAAAATGCAATAACTGTAAAAACTACAAGCTGAGATTCCCAATAAACAGGATGCAGTCTTACATTTCCTGACTTCTTCAGGCTTCTTGTCGTAGACTTCTGAATCTTTAAGTCTGTCTTAATAAAAGATGTGTTGATTAAGAGGGTAAACACACTGCACTAATGACAGCTTTTATACGTAATGAAGCTATTGCGTCTTCAAGCAACGTTCACAATAATCATCTCATTTAAACAGCGACTAAACACTTAACCTCCTGTCCCTAAAAGGATGATTGTTCCCCCCTCTGGCTGCGGACAGCCCACATGTCGTTTTGGAAGCCACAGTCTAATCAAGCAAGTGGACTCTTTCAGCACAAAACGGCACGCCAAAGCTTTCCTGGATCCAAACTCTTTCATCTTAAAAATAGGTTTTAATATATGAAACACCAAGTTAAAGGGCAACTTTGTCCACAGACCTTTTCTGCTCTGTCATCTGTTTTTGTGTTTTGTGTGTTCTCAACTGTTCCGCTAAGCCCGTCCAAAGCTTTTTCCAGATCGCATTTTCAGATTTCCATTCTCCCCTCTTGTTTTCATAAGGCCCTCAGTCAATCACTCTGGTGGTGGCGGTTTCTTTCCCTCAATCTTTTCCTTCCTTCAAAGAAGAAAGTTTCAGCTCTGCAGTTTTTGTCTTCTGCAAATCAATGATGACTGGGGCTGATAGTCGCCTTATCTTTGCACTTTACTCTTCTGGTATACCTCCAAAGTACTTTAAGTAGTAATAGTTGTGTGATGTGATGTTGTGCTGTTGGGCTCTTCGAATGTTGGGTCAGTGTTAGGGCTGGGTGATATGGGAAAAAATTTATCACAATATATTTTTTTCATATCAGTCAACATCGATATATATCACAATATAAAAAGAAATTAATAGTGCTTATTGGTAGCATGTCTTTCGCAATACAATAAGCTACTGCATCTGTGAGGTCTATGTGTCTCTTCGACGTTTTGTCGTAAGGCGGTGCGTTAGAGAAAGTGGACTGAATGTTTCGGCTTCACAGGCGCCATGGGCTCCTTGCTCCGCTCAGGGTTTGTAACCATTTGTATTGCGTGTGCTCTGCCGCGTGGCACTGCTTCAGGTGGGGAAAAAGATCCCCGACTTTGCGAGAACATGTACTTGACACAATTTGGAGTACACATTACTCTGCTTCATGTCCGACCTCAAAAAACAAAACACCTCCACATCACCGTTTTCATGTCAGTGTTGTCGATGATGTCGTCATCTGTTGCGCCTTTATCATCATTTCTGCCGGGGGTAGCACTCATTTTCTTTTTTTCTCACCTGCAGTGTTGTTGGCTCCACGTGTTAAAATGCCATGATTGCGTGTAGCTGCAGCCTGCTAGTATGCAGTTGCTTGCTACTTGGTTCTAATTCAACACATGATTGGTTAAGCATGAAGCGGATCTGGAGCAACTCCCCTTTTCATTGGCTATTCTTATAGTTCACCAAAACATGGCAGAATGCTGACTATCGAAAAGCTTATTGACCATGTTTTATATCGATATTGAGGGAAATTAATCTTTCGGTATATGTTATTATTTTATCGCTCAGCCTTAGTCAGTGTGTGTCACTTTGAGTTTCATCATTTGGGTTCCTGAGCCTTCAGGCCCTCACATCATTGTAGTATTTCACTGATAGAGGTTTTGGATCTGGGGTTCTATGATGTTTTGCAGACTTTGTTCTCTGAGGTTTCGTGTGTGTGTTATAGATTCTTGTTTTGTTTGCTTGTTTGTCAGAGCACTCTGAAGACCCTTGTCTTTGAAGGTCTACAGAAATAAATCATTATTCATATTTATTTATAGATATATATGAGTGATGTTTCGGTTTGGTTTTGATTCAAACATCTTCTATAGATCTTGATGCTGAGTTAGTATGGTTTCATGTTCTTGTGAGGGCTTTTTAGCTGCTATGATACAAACCGAGACTAGTATAAATAACTTTTCTATGAACCACAAAAGCAAACAAAGCCTTTCGTGACAAGACTGACTATTTCTTTGTGGTTATTTAAAACGCCGGTCACCGCTGTCACAAAATAGATGTCAAAGCGGCTGCCCATGGCAAGACACACTACCTTCTCAGTGCCTCATTCGTGTCAATTTGACTTGACAGTCTTTAATCATAAAAACAAATAATAACTAACTTTCTGACTTTGCCTGAGATAAAAGTGTCGCATATAGTAAATCACTAATAAACCACTAAAAAGATTATTTTTTGGAAAGAAAAATCATCCTGAACTCCTTGAAATAAACTTTCACCTGATAAATTTGTATCAATAAAACAATTCCAAATAATTTGGTCAAAACATAGTGCATCAAAATGATTCAAACCACTGAGAGTTGGTTAGTAGAGTTACTTAATAACACCAAGTACGAACAAATAGACATAACAAACAGTAGCATAAGTTGAAATAAAACAGGAGAGGTTATTATACAGAACTTGTCAGCACAGTTTGTCTTTGTCACAGTGAGCTGAGGCGCGAGGAGGAGAGCGAGCAGCCACCGTGCGCTAATTAATTGATCCTGGGTAAGGTTACATCAACCAAAATAGGTATGAACTGTGTTTAATGCAAATATAGCTCACCAAGCAATCCCAGGATACCGTTAATGTACCTGAGGGGGCTGCACATGTAAATTGCACGCATGGCAAACACCAACTGCTCATTACCTAAGTAGTATTAATCATACTACTTTGATTTGGTAGTGGCTTTTGCTGTCAATTAAAGAAACACTCGACCTCTTGAGATGATGAGGCGCCACATGCTGAAGTACTCTGTGTATACAAAGTGTGGAGGGGTGCCACTTGGTGTCAGACAAACACTCCAGAGGAAAGCCTTTTCTTTTCATGCTCCACAGCAAACGTTTAATTGATACACATGAGTGATAAAAGGCATCAAGATTAGATTTTTTGGGTCAAAAAACACCACTTAGATGTACTTAAAAAAGATCAGTGGTGACATAAGAGGCACAAAGTCATCATAAAATGTTTCTCACGGTAGTTCCGAACCGTAATGCCTCGTTTCCATTTTTTGCATGTGTAAGGAAGTGAACCAGACGGAAGTCAGTTCATATGAGAGTCCCTCTGATATTATGTGTGCCTGTGAAACTCTTTACCTTCACAATATTTCAGTCCTGAGTGAGCCTGAGTTCTTTAAAAATGTGAAAAAATAGCAGTGATTGTAGAGAGACTGTATGACAGTGTGCTGACTCAGCTTTTTCCTTGACTTCAGTTGATTTTTAAGTAAGTCTGAATCACTAAAAAAGAACTTTTGATGAGGTTTTTAAAACATTGTGAATCAGATCTTTGTTATTCTGCCAAAATACATGTCTATACTCAGTGTGGAGCCAAACTGGTTTTATCAGTTTTATAAGAAAAAAAGCCTCCACACTACCTAATTGCAAAAAAATTGCACAGAATTAGTCAATCCAACACGACAACAACTTATTTCTGCTGTGTTTCTGTTCCTAACATCGTCCTTTGAGCCTCTGAACAACCTTGTTTTTGTTCTCTTCTACGTGCCCAATCTGAAGGCCTGTGTCCTTCGACCAAGCCCTCATTTGCCTGTCATTATCTGTATTCAAATGTATGAATGCAAGCTCAGAGTTGAACATTTGGACTCTTGCTGTATAAAAAGGTTGGGAAGCGTATGATTCATTCGGCACGTCTGTTAAATTGTGGCCAGAGTTCATGATTACATGATTATTCTAGTAAATGTTTATCCAATGTCATGAAAACATTGTCAGACGAACGCACACAAATCTCCACAAGTCTATGACATGAACTTCAAATTACAGACTAAGCGCTGCATTACATTCATCAAATGTCCAGTATTTGTGTCTCGAAACTCTCGGTTCCTTAGTCACTGCAGTGCATACACGCCCTTGGTCACAAACGAGTGAATCAGAGGCCATAAGACAAACAAGCAGTTGATGTTGAACATGGTTACTGTATGCAAAAACAAAGCAAAACAAGAGTGAAGCATGCAGCCACACAAAACAGGGTCAGCCGCCCACACCCTTGTTCTTTGACGCAGTTTATAACTCCGTCTCTAAGAAAGCCCCCCAGTCAAAGGCTATATTTGTGCACATTTGATGAGAACATGATGGAAAAAGAGCTAAATAAAAGATTGGTGAGAGCTGAATAGAGTAGTAGAGGTGGAGTAAATCCTCAGATGTTGAAGCTTTCTGAGTCTCTTTCTATTATCCGTGTCTTATTAAACCTGGAAACTTCTTTTTCAGAGGTTCTTCTTTATACAAAGGCTCAAACATGGAGCCCGTGGCCTTTGGTTGTTATCGAGCTCAGCAGGGTCGACTGTTTCTGTCGTTCTGTTGATGACAATTGAAAAAGAAAAATGTAAGACAAAAAATCTCCTATCATGGCTCACATAAACACACTGACACACCTTTTCCACCTTTATCTTCAAGTGTTTTTATTTATTTATTCACAGCTGGATTGGTTGTTTTCTCCTTGTCGGCCAACAGAACAAAGTACCGACCCATTTCTCCTTGCTGTCGAGCTGTTAAAGAGTGGAGGGGCTGTCTTCGAAGTCGTGCCTGTCGAAGGAAAAGATTTATTCTGCAATTTCCTTTTTCAGTCAGGCTTTGTCAGCACGGCTCTTGACCTGTGCTCTCACCTCTGTGTCAGTACGCAGCTTGTTTTTTCCTTTTCATCGCTGCTGCTGAACGTTCACATCACTCAAACGGCCCATTTTTAGACCCAGAAGTGAAGTTATGGCAGTTTTGGCGTATGATGATCTGTTATTTTGTTTAAGATTTCAGATGTGATTTAGTTCATTTGTACCATTGAAAAGCCACAGTTTCCGTTTAGAGCAGTTAGAAAAAGTTTCTTATGTGCACTCATTTGCTTGAGTGAAGTTCAGCAGATGGTGTTGAGAAGCTACGTGATGAACTTTGTATGTGGTTTATTGTTTGGTTTGTAGCTGCTGTTGCTGTCTTTGGTCTCTATCATACACTTTTAGCCGACAGAGGAAATGAAACAAAGTCAAAACTCTTACAATTGACTCTATGTCGAAGATACTGCCTCATGCAGACAGCTTCACACCAGAATAATTCAATTTTGTGAGTAAAAGAAAATCTAATTCGGTAAGTTTGATTTTTATTTCATCACTGTTGTCAACAGTACAAAGTCAATCTATTTTCAGACTTGACCTGTGTGTAATTCAATCTTATTGTTTCTGTTTGTTGAGTTGGTCTTAGCTCATATGTGACAGGCCGATGTCACGCGGCAGCGGCCCTAATCTTGTTCTCGAGGAACTAAAATGTGGATGCTTGTATTACCTGTTCAACAGTGATATGTTTTAAAAGCAAACAGCAGGCTTCAACTTTTATCAACACTACAGTTATCACCAAAATTTAGTTACATGAAAGAATAAATTCACATTAATCCAAGTCATTGAAAAACTCACCATCATACATGTTCAACAGAACAGTTGTGAAGCTTGGCTGTAGAAGTGAGGTTTTAATTTAAGAGACAGGCGTTGGCTCAGAGATTTACTCATCTTTTTGACAGATATTAAAATTTATACTAATATTTCTGATAAAATGATGAATAAATTGCATTACATGCTCATGTGATGACAGTCTACACTGTGCTTCAACATGGTGATGGCTGTAAGGATGTATTTTGAAAAGGCATAGACAGCAAATAGCCTTTTATAATGCATGTAGAGCACAGTTTATTCAAAAACAAAACCCCTTTAGCACTACTAATTTAATTTTGCACCTCAAGAAACATCATCATGAAAGTAAGTTTGAATAAGTGAAAGCGCAAGTGAAAAACTGGAGCAAATAAATTCCAGTCCTGTGTAAAGTTTTAGCAATGACCAGACAAAGTGTGTACATTGGTGTTAGCCAAGATGAGTTTGAAATATTGTATATTGTATAACCAATATTGTAAATTTACAATAAATGATACAACAATGGACTGATATATAACTAGTCGTCTGTAGTACAACAGAAAAATGTTGCTGAACTCTTTATTGAGAGACACGCATCAACTTCTCACCTTAGAGGGACTTCTACACACTTCTTTATGGATATGAAAACATAACTTGTGATAATTTTTTACTTCTCAAATAGATTTACATTGCTTCTGTCTGTTGGTGTCTTTTGTACATGTTAGAAATAAACAATTTTGAATGTCTGTTCAAAGGTTGTACAGCCAAACTCAAAGTAGTTAGACAATCCCGCCAAAATGCATCCTTAAAGCTCCTGTGAGGGGTTTGTGTGATTTTGTGTGATGCGGTATTCACGCCTCTTTGGTAATCATAAATGCAAACACAACCATCAGCATAAAGGAGTGAGTGTCTCTACTCAGTATTTTATGAGTTAAATCACTGCTGTAAGGTGTAAGGTAGGAGTCAGACTGACGAAAAAACCACACACTGCAGAAACACGTTTCATTTTCAAAAGCAAAGCGAAGTATTTTAATGAAGCGCAACACCACTTACACACATTCTGGAAAATTGTAAAAGGAGAAAAGATGTGCAACTTTGACCGCAAGGGGCTCAAACCTTAAATTCCCCTCAGGAGCTTTGACTCATGTTAGATGCTGAGACTGTCTTTTTTTCAAGATAACTAATTCTTCTTATCAGTGGTGGAGGCCTAGTAACACACTCAAAACAGAGAAGTGTGTTAAAAACAAAGAAGAAAGGCATCCAGTAGAGATATGAATTTATGGATTTCTGTTTTAAAATGGAGATGAAGACAGTTCTTTAATATTTCGTTTGACTCCTCTGCTTAGCTGTGATTTACATCTCATTTACTCTCTTTATTGAAGAAACATACCAGCACTGTTTATTTTTCATGCTTTCACTTCTTACAGATGACTGCAGCAAGTCCACAAACATCCCCCAACGTCACAGACATCTCCAACGCCACCAACGACATCTGCCGAAGGGAAATTTTACTTGGCGTTGCTTACTGTCCCGTGTTTTTGTTTGGTCTTCTTGTCAATGCTGCAGCTCTGTGGGCCTCAATTGCAAAGCGGGCCTCCTGGACGGACACCCACATCTACATATTGAACCTCATTGCAACTGACTCTGCCCTCTTAGTCTTCCTTCCCTTCAGGATCTATGATGCCTTCTCCCCCCTGACAAAGAGCGTCTTATGTACCTACCTTATCAACATACATTACAGCAATATGTACGCGAGTATTTACACTTTTACAGCCATCAGTGTGCATCGGTACCTGGCTGTAAGGTTCCCCATGCGGGCCAAATCATGGAGGAGGAAGAAAGTGGCTGCCTTTGTTGTTTGTTTGGCCATCTGGGTGACTGTAGTGTCATTGTGTCTTATATTCCAAGAGAACAGCCCTGACAAACTCCAATGTTGTTTTGAACGATGCAAAGACCAGCGCCTCACGTTCAAGTTTGCCGTCATGCTGGTCTGTGGAGGCTTCCTTGCTCCGCTCTTGATAATTGTTTTCTGTACCAGTCAGATCATCTTTATTCTGTTAAAGGACACCGCCAAGTCAGAGGAAAGGAAAAACACAATCAGCATTGTAACAGCAAACATGGTTGTGTTCATAATCTGTTTCACACCCATCCACACCAGGTTTGCTTTTCATCTATTTAGTGAAAAATCTGGAACCTGGCTATCAGAAGAATTGTATTTATCCCTGTCTGAATGGATCGCTTCTACAAACTGCTGCTTTGATTCTGTGAGCTACTATTTCTTACTGAAAAGGTTTTATACGTAAATTAAGAAAATAAGAAAATGATCTGTCATTTAGGGAAACAATTCTGTGTGTATGTTCTTGGCAACATAAAAGGCTTTTATGTTAATAAAGTGGACTGTAAAGGTACCTGAATACTTTCAACATGCTGAATCTCTGATAGTCAGCTGGAGGAAATTACAAAAGTACAAAGATTTCCTGATTTGATAGAAACAGAATCAAACATTATTGTAGCTCTAAGTGAAAATAAACTCAGTAAACGTTATTCACTTTTTGGTGTCAGTTTGAGTCTGTTGTACAGCAGGGTGTTACTTTCTCTAGTTATTGTCCTAGTTAGTGTAGATTCAACAATAATAATACGTATGATAGACAAATCAGCCCAACAGACACTTCTCACCTGGGTTAGAGATGTAGTCATGTGTTATCCCTCGTCAATTTGAGCAAAATGGGTCAAAAGTAACAAAATGACATCCAGAAATGGCTTCAGAAGTGTAGTTTCAAAAGCAGTGGTCTTTAACCTCTTTTCATATTGTCTACTGAACAGTGTAAAATAAATTACATCGTGGAGAGAGTTCCTGAAAAGTTTTGGGAGTCAAACAGCTGCATTATGAGTAATGAGTCTCTGAGGAGGGAGCCTTTAGTTTCATCGCTTGGAGACATGAGACCCTGTGTTTGGATTAACCATCATCGTTAACTGTTTTATCTGTTATTTTACTCTTATTTGAATCACAGCCAACAAAACAAACAAAAGCACTTGAAATGGCCGATTAAAACCATATACTAACTTCAGGAAACAAGGGACAAGGGTGTCACTTTGTCATGAACTACAATATAACCTCAAATCTGATGACCATAGAAAAGACTGCAGGTAAGAGGCACGACTGTCACAACAATAAAAGGGTCTGAAAGATGCAGTCACAGAATTGCAGTCCTGAAACTGCAGCATTTGGCTCTGCAGACACATAATATCAGGGCCTCAGTCTCACTGAAAGAAGATCAGTGTTCAGCACCCTCTTGTGGTCAAAAACGTAACTACTTCCTAGATTTCTCCAATGCCTCTCTTCTCCGGAGCTGTCTCATGAGTAGTTTTGAAGTGCCAAAAGGATGACAAATGTGTCTCCTTTACAGAAAATAAACTGCAGTAATGATATAGACATTAGTCATTTTGAAACAGAGGTGCAAATGTGTGTATTTGTGCGTGTGCTTCAGCAGATGTAATGATATGAATTTATTTCAATGAGTGCATTCAGAGGCAAATGCAACAACATTAGCAGTCAGTTATATAATGCCGTTTAATAGCAGTACTCCAAAGATTGATGGTTATTATAACAGCAGTATCTTAGCAACTGCAAAAACTCGGCAGGCATCAGTCAAATGAGAAGGCTCAGTTCTGCCCGTGTCTCTACTCTAATAACAGGGAAACAGCTGAACTCAGCAGTCAGCCAAAATCACGTAAATACTGTACATACATCTTATTCACAGCATCGTCACCGAGAGAAAGAAAAAGAAAAAAATAAAACCCTCACACTTCAAACACAGTCCCGTCTCAGAAGACCCTCCTAAAAAACAGACTTATACACTTTACCTTCAGTGTGATTATTTACACTATTCACAAATGTTACAGACCAACACATCCTCTTAAAAATGCAAAAAAGAGAAAGGAAAGTTTTTGTGCTTATCCATATTACTGCACAGTAAAATGACTACAAACACAAAAGGGATGGATACATTCATTCTCCCGGTATGCTGACAAGTACTTTCAAGACCCTCCAGTGTGGCAGTTGGTTGACAGTGAAATACGAATGGCTACTGAACCACAAAGCAGGGCTGCAACAAATGAGTATGTCTGTAATCAGCTGAGTTGTTTTTTATGATTTCTATCTTGAAGTCTATCAGAAAGTTGGGAAAAGTGTTCACTGAAATCTATGAGTATCCAAAGTGATTTCAATTTGCTTCTTTCTTCTGCCCAACAACCTGACGCCCACATTTTCAGGACTAAAATGACCAAAAGGAGCAAATCCACACATTTAAGAAAGTGAAATCAATTTCACTAAAAAAACAAAAAACAAAAAAAAAAACACTTAAAGAACAGGGGTGTGTTCAGAGAGTTGGCTTGGGGTGGCATTGGCCCCTGGTTGCTAAGCCCCTAAAATTTAAATAATTTGCTAAAATAATTTTCTTTGATGGAGCCACAACTTGTGCTAAAATCAATGTTTCATTAAGGCTAAGATTGGCTTTCTTTAACCTTTCCAAATATTATTTTTCGACATAAATTTAAGTTGTGACTTTAGAAAAAAACCTTTTTTTAACCTTTCATGTATTAAATCACAATTGTAGGTTCAGTAGGTTTGATTTGTGAAGACAGAAAGTTAAAAAATGCTAATTTGTTTGTACTTCATGCCACTCCTGACTCGTTTGGTCACCCAGTTGAGAAGACAGTCATTTAGCAGAGACATGCCCCTGCTAATTGATACATTCACTTAAATTATTTTTTAAAAATAATTTAATACATCCATTGTTGCAGCTCTACATATAAATAAAGAAAAACAAAAAGAGAGTTGAGAAACAGAGAATGAGTAACACAGTGTAACCTTGCAGCATTTCTGACCATTTGAAGGTTTGCCCGTGAACTACTTTTATATCGTTGTACTTAACATACCAGCTGTCCTGGATTCAACACAGTTCATGTCATGGCATCAGTGAAAACATTACAGTATAATCATAAAGGGCATGACAGGGTGTAGGTATTCGTATTTACATATTTACAGAATATATGCGTGGCATCATGGTGTTTGAAAGTAGTTCATAAACAGACCTTCAAACACTGAAACATTCATCAGAGAGGAGAAGCTGGAAAATGGTTTCAAGAAAGCAGACTCACTTTTAACAAACTAAAAACACATTCGAACTGTATGGTCGAAGGCAAAAATATCACAATAAAAACATTGCAATAATCAGATCTCCAACACTTCTGGCGGAAACAATCTCGATGGCACTTAAAAACAAGTTCTTCTTAGTGTTTTTGCTTTAGTAACCAGGCATGAGTTGATCATTCAAAACTTGGCCCTCGTGTTATAAAAAGAGGACATTGTTTCAGTCTATTTCTTTTGCCAATATTTATCTCAGTGCAGGCTGATAGGAAACTCATACAGGAACAGATTTTCACTCATTTCTCAGTTAATATGGTATGATAGATGTTTATTCCTGTTTGTCAGCTTGCGCCTGATGTCATTTTTTTGTCACTTTGTATCCTACATTTTCATTTTATCGCAATTTAAGATCACTATGTACAGATAAACCAGGTATTGCTGCAAGGTCAGCATGAACTTCATTCATTAGTCGACTTCTAACAGAGTAGATAAACTGGGACAAATATATCAAATTCTCACTTGTTGTTGTTGGGGCACCTTATTTCATAGACTCACACTTGCTTTTTACTTCTTTCTCTTGTCTCTTTTTATGACCTTTATCTCCTTGCTAACACACTCATACCATGTTGTGTTGATCTATACGTGCCTGGTGCTGTGACACTTTGATGAGCTAAATATACGGTCCCATTTGCTTGCTGGGAACATTTCCATTACCCCCATTGGCTCTGAGTTAAGCCCGCTGTTTCAATCATCACCACTGTAACTGTCATTTTGCTCTGTGTCATGTCTGCAAGACCTTGACCCACTGTGGGCTCAGGGGGAAATTTTGCCCAATAAAACTGGACTGTGTTCCATAATGGAGAATTAATGGATGTGTGTGTACGTGCAGAAAAACCCTCAGGTGACAGTGAAGGACAGAGTGTTCATATATTGCAGTGCGTTTACTTTAACTCCTTTAAAACACCTCTCTCTCGCTCTCTCTTTTTCCTACTTTCAGTCCCACTTCTGTTTTGTAGCAAGTCCAGTGTTCTGGTGCAATCTCCCCAGACATCCACATGGAATTATTGGTCATTAAAGAGTACATGGCGTGTAAGAAGGCAAACGAACAGAGAGCATGCGGTTGGCAGAAATAGTGCTGACATTTCAGTCCTGCACTCTGCTCCAGAAAGACGTGAGTTATGGTCCCATATCCTTGTGAGACAAGGTTAGAGGCATTTTAGCACACGCGTCTTCCTTCTCCTGTTCACAGAATACTAAACACCCCCTGTAACCTGTACAAAAAAACACATGAGCATCTACTGTGTGTGCTGCGAAGAGGAAGAGAGAGACGGAGGTACAGAGAGAGGATTCTGTGTTTTCTCATCATCCGTTGAAGTTTTTCTACAGTCGGATTATTTGTCTAATGAGTCACCTCCAGCTTCAGGTACTTTAAGGATGTTTAGATTTTGCAATTTCACCTAAAGTACCTTGTTGGCAAACAAACCAACAGGTATTGAAGGGAGGCAGATGGGTGGCAGTCTTGTTAATGTGATCCAAGTAGGGGAAAGCATCCCACTCCTGCAGCCACAGTTTATCTGCACAGAGGAGGCAGCTTTTAAGTGCTCTGTCCATCTTTGTTTCTGTCCACATCTCTAAGAGCTCCTCGCTCTGCTCGCCTCCTTTTCTTTTTTCCTTCCTTTAGCTTTCTTTCTTCTTTCTGTCTTTCTTTCTCCTCATCCTCTCTGCTCTCCCTCTTCCTGACGCTGCTCAGTTGCAGGAGAGAGAAAGGCAACTCTGCAATGCAGACACAGCAACAACCTCAGTCCACTGGACCAATTAGTGTGAGCCAGGATATGAGTGGCAGACCCAGCAGCCAGTCATATGGAGAGAGTCATCATGAAAGGGAAAGGAGGGGGGGGCTGCCTGAGAGACTGACAGAGGAGAGCAGAGGGGCTGAATGACAAAGATGTCAGGAAAACAGAACTGGGGGAGGAAGAGGAGGAGGATGGACAGAATAAGGAGGAAAAGAGAGATCTATGTAAACAAAAACAGATTTCTGGACATTTTCTTCTTTTCCTCTACAGTCACTGGCCAGTCTGAGTCCTGTCATTGCAGTTCTTCTTGCTCATCAGCTGGCTCAGATCCACCAGCTCGCCCAGCTCCCCTCGCTCCAGGGCCCCCCTGAGCAGAGCCCGGCTCAGCCCCGGGGTGTGCTGCTGGGACATGTAGGCCTGACTACTGGGAGGAGGCATGGAGGGTGGAGGCAGAGGGACGGGGACCATGCCATGGCTGCTGAGGATGTACCCCTCAGGGGCAGGCCAGCGCAAAGGCAGCGGTTCGCTGTATTCCATTGGGGCGCTGGGTGCTGAGACCACCCTCCGGCGCTCAGGCGAGTCCTGGGGGGTCATGGGGTACACGTACTCTCCTGCAGACTTCCTAAGAGGGGCTTTGGGGGTCCCCTTTACTCCTTTTTCTTGCTTGCTCAGGCAGACGTAGTGCTGGCGTGGTGTGTCACCCCCTCGCCCATCGCAGCCATGTCTCCCGCCCCCACCCTGCTGGAAGAGTCTGGTGGTCAGGTAGACAGAGGGAGGCATGCGACAGGGAGAACCCAGACCCACGGAGCCTCCCCCCAGGTATGTCTGGCTGGTGTCCCACCCTCCAGAGTTGGAGTCTGACAGACGTAGGCCTCTGCGCTTCTGCTGGGGCGTGTGCTCTGGAGTTGGGAGGAAACCCGGGTCCAGCTCCCCTGACTTCACCCAGCCGTTGGGCATGACAAACAGGGTTTCCCCGCTCTGGGTGCAGGGGCGTTCCCCACCGCCTTGTCTTGTCACACTAAGAACAGAACCGCCCATCCCGCCGCCGTTACTGAGCAGACCTCGTTCACGTCGCTGGATGGCGGACTGAGAGCTAGTGTGACGGCGGTTTCTCGGCTTGTGGGCCATGATCCAGCAAACGGCGAGACCGGAGAGTGCTGCCCCGATGGTGAACGCGGAGACTGCAGATGCCACGAGCAGGTTGAGGGACACCAAGCTCTCTGGTTCTATGAGCAAACTCTGCTGCAGGATGCCTGAAGATTAAAGACACAATTATAAAGATGACAATGGACTTCTTTGGATGTGTGTCCACAGGGCACACTTTAAACCTATTATCATCATTATTACACATAACGCAGCTTCTACCCTGAACTTAATGCTTCATAATAGATCAATAACTACAACAACACTCATAATAAGTGATCATTGTGCTCAGCTCCTCTCCAGTCTGGCCTTGAGGCTCCACAGGCTCCAGGTTTCGAGAGGCCTGCACTTGTCATCAGCACGGCTCAGACCACAGCAGCTGACTCTCTTTTACTCCCCACACTTTCCACCCTGGTAAGAGAGTCTCCCCTCTCTCTCTCTCTCTCCTTTCAGCACATACCATTACCTCAGTGTTTCCACCCAGCTCTAATCACTCCCATCTGCAGACACAGCAGCACATGCCGGCCACTGGCTGGGCTTCTGCTGTGCCTTTCAGCACTCCAAGTCTGTCAGGTCTGCAGCCTGGCACTCCTGACTTCAACCACTATCAGATTCTTTGAGTAGGATGTTAACTAGAAGCTCCTATGGCATTTCAAAACGAATCAGGGTGGAAAGGACTTGGACTTTTCTAAGCATGCTGGCTTCACCAGAGAGATTTTATAGTTTTGAAACTAACCCAAAACAGTTCTGGAGGACTTTTTTTTTAGGTTTACACTGACTTTGTGAATTTCAGATCAAGGTTAAAGAGCCCCCCCCTAACTCTGACACTACTGCAATGACGTCCAGACCTCTAAAATAAAAATAATAAGTATAGTGACTCAAGTATTTTATGGTATTTCCAGCTCGCTCTGCAGGTGTTCTTGGCCATTCCTCTCTCTGCAGTTTTGTGAGAGCAAAGCTTCATAACCAGAAGGATGTATTATATCCTACTGTGCAGTAAAACTGTATTATCTACCTCTCACATCCTCTCTAATTAAACTGTCTCACACTGCGAGCGTTTCTGACCTGCGGAAAGTGAAACCATATTCCCCTCCCACCTGAGTCAGCACTGACAAAGGCACCAAAAAACTCAGTTTCTGCAAATCAAAGTTGAAAGGATCTCACTGAGTGTTGGGGAGAAAATCACATTTTACTTTGGTTATTACAATATGCTTTAATTTAAAAAAAATTAAGCCACCAGTATTGTCTAACTTAAAGAAATCTGAGTTTGCTTTTTTCAGAACAAAATGTTCAGTGACAAGTTAACACATGTAAAGAGGGATTTAGCCACTAGGGGGAGCCTGCTCTCAGTCCACCACACACAGACAGAAGCATCCATGTCATACTGCTGCAACCTACCATCACAGTCTCCTAGATGGGAGGAGGTGTTTCCATATTCCACATCTTGCTGGAAAGGCAGCCTGCAGTCAAAGAGAGATCATAGATCAGCAACACATCGGAGATTCCTCTTCATATAAAGACCACAGTGTCAAACACAACATTAAGGTGCTGAATATTTACAGTTTTGTGATATTCCTTGTTAGTGTTTGGAGTCGAACGTTGAACCTGATTAAAAACAACTCTAAAATCAACATTAAATCAACAAGTTTTTAAATAACAGTCAGCGATTTCTATTCGCCTGTAAGTTGACATTTATTAATAATAATCCCTCGGATATATGTGACATTTATTGATGTGTCATTTCAGCGTAACAGGATACACCATTGACCCCGTTATTGATTTTCTCTTTTTCTTGCTGCATGTCAGAGAGGTCAGAGGCCAGGGTCAGTCGACAGGTGGTGTGAGGAGCATGAAGAGGGGATTGCATTAGGAGATACAGTGTTTGGCTCCTGTAAATATTACTGCAAGTAACAAAAGAGATATTGCTGCTTCATACTGTGAACTTCCATGGGGATAATTTAATTAACATAGGGGATGAATTTAAGTTTGTCCTTTGTTTATTTGTAGTATTTATAGTCATTGATTCAAGTCTGTTTTCAGCGGTCTTAGTCATTGAATACTTCACACCCACACATTTTTACTGCCTTGCATAATATTAACATAATGCTATACTGTCTTGTATGGGAAATATAAAACAAGTAATATTAATTTGGATGTTTTTAAATACATTGTGATATTTTCACCCACTGCATGTAAAAGGATTACATCCGTTTTTGGATATATGCAAATCTCATAATAAAACACATTCATATTTTGCTCATTGGAACAAACATGAAATGTTCCAGAGCTGCATTATGTAACCATGAGAGGCTCAGGCACATTAATACAATGACAGAAAGCTTTTACACTCCACCAAATTTAAATCTTTAAGAAATTTGGACACTAAAATGAATAATGGATTCAGCATGCTGCCTAAATGCAGGAAGAATATTCAAGCCGACAAACATCAGCTACTCATATTTTGATTGTGTTTATTTTGGCGCCCCTTGTGGATAAAGAGGTCCCTTTCTTCACAGCTGATTTAGTCGTGTTGGTGGATAAGCAGTGTTTTTTTTTTTTTTTTTTTACAAAGATCTATCACTACTTTATTTCAATACTCATCTGAAGTCTTTGTTTAGGAGAATATAAAACCGGCCGTTCAGCAGCATTTACTGTACTTCATTAATTTGTCTCATACCTGCCCCTCAACAGAAATTAAAAGTAACTTCTGTATTTTGAATTCAGTCTCGTCACTGTTGGACTTGTGTTGTCATAAGTAACTTAATAAGTAAAATTTTTGTGTTTCTTTGTCTTTTCCTGTTTTATTTTGTAGATCATATTTATGAGTTTTCCTGGTGTTGTGTTTTCCTCTTAGGTGTTTCCTGATTTTAGTTTCACGTCCCCTCTGGTTTGATAACACTCATCAGTTTCACCTGTATCTTGTTTCACACCTGTGTCTTTGCCCCAGTTACAGTTTAGTCTCCGTGTTTCATCCCTGTTCTTTGTCGTGTGTCTTTCCTCATGTCCTCGTTTCCTGCTGCAGCTTTTCTTGTGTCACCTCCTGGGTTCCCTTGTGTTTTTCTTGTGTAGTCCTTTTTGAATTTGAACTTTAAAGCTCCTGTGAGGAACTTTCAGTTTGTGACTATTTCAGCCCCCTTTGACAAAGCAGTCTTGGCTTATTTTTTCAGCTACATGTTTAAACAGTGTTTTCTCACAAAAAAATGTCACCCTGTTGACTCTTGACAGTCAAATGTGTCATTTCTTGTGAATATTTCTGTGGAAGCTGTGATAACAGGACTATTTATACAGCTGCTCAGCCATCACCTTCCACCTGGCACTGAACAGATACTGTAAGTTAACCTTATGCTGATGGTTTTGTTTGCCTTTATATATCATAAAAGGCTTCATTCTGAATGTTAGCCAATTTAGTAAAAATAGAAAACTCCTCACAGGAGCTTTAAGTGAGTTTTGTTAATATTTTGACTTGAAAAAAATTCCTTAGTAAATTCTGCACTTTGGGTCCTTTCCTTTTGTTAAATCCATTACATTTGGCAGGCTGTAAAGAGGCATCAGTGTCAGTCTGTACCTTTGCCAGTGAAAAACCTGTCACAGAAGCTTTAATCAGTCTTGTTGAATTAGTAATAATGATGTATTTTCAATAGAAAAACATAAACCTCATTTATTAGCAACTATTTTTCTTTGTAGTTTATTTGTCTGCAGTTTGATTTAAGTTGCTAAGCAACTAGATTTAGCAGGTTTTCTCTGTAAATACCTGTTCCTCTTTTACATTTGAAATGTTGTCCAGAGGGAAGTGTGAAAGAAAAAACAGTCCGAGTATTTGCTTCAAAATAGGGAGGCATCAATCCACATCCCAAACCACCAATCATCCAATTCTAAAATAAATGTTCTATTTGATGGGGTGAAGTGCAAAAACATGAAATTGTCAGTGGACTGTGTGTTACTTTTTTGGTCATATCACTCAAAAGCACTTAAGACATAACATGACACTCTCACCCATTCACACCACATCCAAACACTGACAGAGGATGCTGTCAGCATTCACAAGCATTCACAGGCTGCTGATTATGCCATGAGGGGCAATCTGGATTGTAGTGCTTTGCTCAAGGACACTTTGGCATGTGACTGCGGGAACTTAAATCCAACTGCCAGCCCTTTGATTCAGAGACCAGACATTTCTCAATAAACATACAGCAAAGTCTCACTCAATAAAACTCTCTTCACACGGACTAATACGGGGTTTGCAGACATCAGGCCTGAAGAGCTAGGACATGATTACAGGGTTGGTGTTTGTGTGAGTGTGTTGTCTCACCGTGTGCCTGGTCTCAGGAAGGAGCAGGTGCTCCCTCTGGTCCAGCCACAGTACGGGTCCCTGGAGGCTAAACAACTCCTGCACACACACAGGACAAGAAATAAGAAAAAGTCGGTAAATTACCTGATTCTGACAGTGGCTGTTAGACTATTTCGCTCAGAAAACTCAGAGATCTGGGAACATTCATAACTGTGAATTCAAAAGTTGCATTAGCTTGCTGACCGGCTGTTTAAGCTAGCTAATGTCTACAGGGAGGATAACATGGTTTGAGTTCGGTATCAGGGGCCGTTATAACTTAAAAATGATAACTACTGTGTCCCTCTGGACTGATGAGATTAAATTGTGATATGCTTTGAAAAGCAGAAACACACTTCACATACAGCAGCCACACATACTGAACCCAGCAGCTGTTTGTTTTGAGTTTCCTGTATCTGACAGTGATTTATGGCTGCTGTGGGTCTCAGGGTCACATTATTGGAAACATTGTTCTCACATGTGCAGTTTTGAACAAATGCCTTCTTTGTATTCATAATAAATCATGTATTTTAATACAAACTCAGATTAAAAGGATCCTGAGGCCTCTTTTGTCAAGCTAAATGATATATTCAAGGGAAAAATGGTCCCATAATTAAAATTAGCCCAGTCAAGCTGGCTCTAATTTGACAGACACTATCCCTTGGTGAATGAAACAACAGCAGAATCTCAACATGTTTCAGCGGGATAAGCGCATAAATCTGGAGTGAGAGCACGAGTAAGTAACAAAAGTTGGCCGGTAAGCAGCGCCTTGGCTTACGGCCACTACTACATTTCAAGTGACCCGGTTATCAGCCAGAGAAACATCGAGGGACGGGACAAAACACTCTCTGAGACCAAAAAGAGAAAGAATTTTTCTTACTTCATGCAGCGTGAGTGCAGGTGGCAGCGAGATGTGGGCACACGAACCAGACACGAGGGGAAAGCCAGCAGCAGGGTGTGGCTGGTCCGGTCCAGTGACAGAGACAAGAGCTGACGGGCTTGAGGAGAGTCCTCACCACACCTGCACAGAGAGAGAGAGAGAGACACATGTGTAGACAGGAGGCAGATCGAGGTCAGTGTCCTCTGTTTGTCCTCAAATCAAATTGAGACAGGTTCAAAGGGCTTGTTTATTGTTGTTTCAAGACAGACAGACTCTGGGCCTTGACCTTGATATAAACGGTCAGAGCATCAGTTTTATTGAGGACTGCAGACACACTGACCGCAGCTGAACTCTGTCAAAACGTTTACCAGGGTTTCACATCTCTTCTTTTGTTCTGTGATTTATTGGTGGTAAAAAAAACTATGTTTGAAAGGTTTCTCGGTGTTAGAGAAGGCACATTATGTTAAATAAACAACTACCAACTCACTGCAAAAATAGCAAGTGTTATCCAGCTTATTTGTAGAAATACCAGTCAAAATATTTCAACTCACAACACCAGATTAAATCCACACTGACTTGCCAAATCCAGATTTATTAATACAAAATAACAAGCAAAAAGTATGAACATGTAATGGGTAAAGTTGGTGCCAATACAGCAAGGAAAATCTCTCAGTATTTTGCTTGACCTAAGAATTAGGTTGACACTTCAGTTTTAAGTTTAAAATTGTAAGTTTAAGGTTGAGATACTTGTAAAAGAAATTTGGCTCTGTACATGAATAGACTGTTTTCTCATTACAATTTACTCCTATTGACTCTTTATTTCAAGGGTAGTGTCATAAGATCATTTGACAGGAAATATACACCTGAAAATACTAGTTTGGTCTGCAGGACATGAACGTTTCATCATTTAGGTTTTTAGAACTGGTATTTTAATCACAACATTACAAATTAGTCTGTAGTTTCAAACAAAAACACCAAATGTTTCTTCATATAAGCCTCTACACTGTGGACATCAAAAATAACTATTAATTTAATATTCTGACAAACATCTTAATTATTTTTGACAACTTTGTATTTATTCTTATAAGATGGATTAAGAAGAAAAGAAACCCATTAACCAATAATAACAGTTATCATTTATTTCAACCCTATAATCAGAATTTTTAATCATATATTTAAATGTTCAAGATATGATGGGATAACTAACTGTGCTGTACTTTTCTTAAGGATTAATAGACACACATAAATGAATGGATTTTTTCTTTGTTTGTTTAGACAGAAGCAGGTTCTCAGGAAATATAGAGACACAGAAATGAAGTCCAAACTTGTATATGTAGGAGGATAAGCGATGTAAAATTAACTACATTTAAATAAGCTTAGTTGAATAACAATAAAATACAGTATATAGGGGTTTGTGTTGTATGAAAACACATGATATAAGCTGCTGCAATATGTTGCCATTTATTATTAGTTACTCTTTAAATTTAATCTTTAAGTGTAACTGGAGACGGTTTCTGCTGCCCTCCAGTTTTTAAATGAAGACTGATAACAAGAAACCTGATCTACCTGGAGCAACAAACTGAAATAGATCATTTATTGGAGATCAAGCAGAAATACAGCTTCACTCCTACTCACTTCTCTGGGTTGAATCCTTCCACCTCCTCCAGAAACACGCTGCTGTGGGAGAACGGATCTCCGCTGGGAAGCATTAAGAACTTCAGGATGGTTCCTCTTGTCGAGCCCAGGAAGAGGACTGTACGGTTCTTATGTGGACCTGCCTCTGTGTCCACCACCATGGCTGTCAGCTGGTACCTATGGAGGGGTATGTGCGTAAGACAAAGAGCTGAAAAGCTTTTTTTTTTTGCAAAGTACAGCAGATCAATAACAAACATCATCCTATCCTACCTATGGGCTTAGACTAGAGCACACTTTGAAGATCAATGCTTTCCTTTTTCACGCTGTAAAAAGTTACACATGGGGGCTATAAAACTAAAACAATCGAGTACCGTCCCATAGTCTTGACCACCCAGGGTCTGTGCCCCAGCAGTGGAACAGTCTCATCCATCAGCGGGTGGGTCTTCACAAAGTTCAGCACCTCATCTGGTAGTGTGGTAGAGGAGCTAAATCTGGATCCCTGCACTGCACATCCTCCTGGTCTGCAGGCGGACATGGAAAGATAAAAACAAGAAAGAGAGGATAATAAATACACAGCATAAAAAAAAGAAAGGAGGAGAAAGAAGCTGCTAGAGGCTGTTTTAGAAAATTTGCTGAATCGTGGTGAAAATTCAGCGTGATGGACAGCTGGGGCTTATAGAAGAAGAAAAAGTAGACTCTGTGCGAGACAAATGTTCGGAAAAAGCAGTGCTGCAGTATTCTGCCCAGTTCTGTATTTATCTCCTTTGCACAATATTGCCATAATAATACCTTGGCTTGGGCACTGCTTCGTCTGGCACAGGAGTCCAAATAGACTCAGGGGTTTTCTGCTCTTTGAACCGGCCTTCAAACACACGAGCGAGCTGCTGCATGTCAAACACACACACTGCAGAGCCAGGAATGCTACAGTAAGAGAAGAGGAAGAAAAAATATAAATATATATTTTCTATAAAAATACTGCTGATGGGTCTTTGTGTGCATGTTTTGTGCCGTTCTGTACCTGTTTGGCGGCGTTGAAAAGAGACCCAGGATAACGTCTCGTCCCTGCATGCGGATGATGCCGGAGGTGGCGTGTAGGAGGTTAAAGTAAAAGTGCGAATCTCCAGGGACGGAGCAGTTTAGCCGTGCCTTCAAAAATGTAGTCCACTGTTTTTCCAGGACGCGCTGAGAGCCACCCAGGTCTGCCTTACAAACTCGAGCCACTCTGGACACCATAACCTGGAAAAAGATGCAGAATTAAGTTTCATTTCAGGATTATGGTAGAAAAGAGAAGAAAGGGTGTTGAACGGATGAGACTTTGACTTTTTTTTCATATTTGTGTTTTTGATTGATTGAACTCTTGCCTTTGTTTGTATCTCATCTGTTTTTCCAATAGAATTTTATATTTGTCATTTATTTTATATCTTAATAACACACATGATATCTTCACATTTTTGTTATTTTAATCATCTATAAACAAACCTACATTTGAAGGTTTGTAGCACTGATATTTCTTTTATCTGCTTTTAACCCTCCTCCTGTGTTAGGGTCTGCACCGACCCATTTTTGTTTTTAAATGCCTAAAAGAGACACAGAAATGAGCTTTTTTGCATCAAGACTTTTTGACTTTGTCAGGAACCTCTATTTCAACAAAATAAAGATAATAAAACTGAATAGACTAATTATAAAATGCTCTTATTAAAAGTTTGGCACTTGTCGTGTTAGGGTTGCTGTTGACCCGGTTAGATTGATATCTAATAATTAGAGCAAAAACTAAAATCATAAGTGGCTGCCAGGCACCACACTGACAGTCAGATCTTCTTCCAATCATGTGAGGTTTAGGAAATTCTCATTTTGTCTGTTTTTTCCCTGCACAAAAACAACATCAGGCATGTCCAGACATGGGAGATCAATTCAGTATAGATGTCTGTGTGGGGGGTATACTGACAAAGAAAGGCCCAGAGGACCACAACAAAAAATATTGTAAGCAATATTTTCATGGATTATGAAGCCTAACAAGTTAACCTAGAGATGAGAACCAAATTGGATGATAAAAAAGTGTTTTTAGTGTAATTTGCAGCTGATTTAAGACATGGGTTGTTTTCGACCCGTTAACATAGTGGGTGCGTAGTTGAAGCTAACACAGGAGGAAGGTTAAATCTGTTACAAAATGCCTAAGTGATATGCACATATACATGCACCGATCAAATGAACACCCTGCTAAAAAAAGGAATAAAGGAGCTGATGAAGAGTGAGAGTACCTTCTCTAGATGATGAAACTCCATGGCCATTTCTCTGAAGAAGAAATAAATATGAGGCCCCCACTCCATGGAGCTCACAAAGTAGGGCTCTGAAAAAAGTCCAATGAGGAAAACACTGTATCAGACACACATTTACTCACAGTCACACATGCAAAACAGTAAGAATGTGATTCCTGAGGGCGGACGCAGCCCTCCAAAGTTCCTGACAGGGTGCTGTAATAACAGTCACATCAACATAAAGTCCACCAGCCTTGCTCATGAAACATTCACGAGTTGTTTAATTTATCATCACAGACAAAAGGATCAACTTTATTTATCATTTATTCATCCCTCAGTGCTCCAGCTTCGACCTTAACACTGCTTGTTTTCTTCTCCATTGAAAACAGGCTCACCTTTTGAGTAAGAGACTCATTAAAACCCTAAAGCTGCAGAGTCCAACTGACCTCAATACATCAGTCTTTGTGAGCGTGTTCCACCTTTAATGATTCTATCGAATGTAAACCTGATCACGTTTTGTTCCCTGAATAAAGCCCATTATTGCAGCTTCAGAATCATCTTTTTCACTCATGAATAGACAGCCACAGTCTTTAATTTTCTTTCATTCAACAACCAGAGATAAAGGTGATGGTTCCCGCTATTCGTCTCCATGTGGTCTATTGAGGATATAATACTCTGGTGGGTTATTTGTGCATGTATTTAGAAAAAAAAATACCTCTGAACCATTTGGAGTCATGTTTGACTGTGCGGAGGGCGGGGCTGTCACCGAGACTGCGATAGATCACTGCATCGATGGCCAGGAAGTCAGTCACAGTGCCCGTAAAGAGACTTCCATCTGAGAGAAGTGCAGAGAGAGAGAGGAGAGGAGGAGATTAAGAAGAAGGGAAAGATACAGATGGGAGATAGCACAAGGTCAGGGAGATTAAAACCAAACAAGCAATGCGTCGAGAGGTCTGACTATAAATCATTTGCAAAGGTAAACACAAGGGCGCAGACGTTCCACTGTCTAGAGCTGAAAACTGAGCCGGATGACTGCTAGATACCTTGAATTCTTTAGTGCAAACACATGGCTCTACCTGCAAATAACGCCACATTGGCATGTCGCGGATCATACGGGCAACGTGCCATCCCACTGACAGGCTCTCCCACCAATTCAAGAGTGTCTCTCTGCAACAGGAAACAATTACTGAGACAAACAAACTGGCAAATTCACAGAGAAAGACAAGATGAGAGAAGAAGGATACTAACAGTGTAGTTGGCACACAGCGGGTTGAAGGCGTTTGTTCCACATACAAACAGACCACCATGATGGCTGAGAAGAACCTTGATGAAATTACGGCACTCTCCCTGTTGGTGAAAAAAAAAAACACAAAAGGGAAAAATTTAAGAGAAGAGGAAAATCACACAGAACTGGCCAACTTGAAAGAGACTATTATGAACTTAAGGTAAGCCTAAAACTACCAGTAAGAAGAGGCAAGACAAATACAGATTACGACAGTCTTAAAAGGAAATAACAATCCATCTAGTTGAACAAGGGTTTCAAAGCTATCTTCAAACTGGCGGGTGCTGATGAAGTTGTAATTCAAAGCTGGTACCTTCCACTTAATCTGACATGTGATGCTGGTCAGCTGAATGGTTCCTTTGTCATTGTACTAAACACCAGTGTCTGATTACATGAACTTATAAAGATGGGGGGAAAAAAATTCTCTTCAATGAACCTGAAGGAGGGGAGCTAATGTTGTAGTGTCTTGTTAAAGTTGAAGAATGCTAACTTCTGTTACTCGCTGTGTGATCTGTCTCATATTGGAGGATTACTTCCTGCTGGGATTGAGTTTAAGAGTACTCTGCACAAATATTAATTGCGTACATGCTAACAACAACTAGCATTCTACCCTCGTCCAAATTTTTCACATCATAGCAACAAAAGCACAGACAGAAGTGATAGTTTGCCGTGATTTGAAGCAAGCTCATGTACTTTCTTAGCTAGGGAAGGATGTCAAGAGTTATAGCAATCCTAATAATGTACAGCTGTTGTGTCAGAACCAGCATCCTGTTAGCTTAGCTTAAAAATGGGGAGAGACTTGCAGCAGAAACAAAACAAAACAGCTAGCTAAGCTAATTCATAACGTCAGGAAATCAGTACAACCATTGTCAGACAAATAGCAGATGCAGAAACTGCTTCAAGCCAAAAAGTAGTCCGGCATAACTACCCATGAAAAATGTCCTTTTGTGTGCAACAAAAAGGTGTTGAATGTATAATAGGTGATTTTTAAATTAGCTGGTAGGTGGAGCCGGGTCAGCTGACAGGGTGCCAACTCCAGCTGTTAAAGAAATATGTGACACAGGTTTAACTCTGCATATTAGAAAGCAAAATCATACTTCCAACAAATGTAATCTTTGATGCATTCGACTTAGGCATTTTTGCAACTTTATTGCCTAATTCATTGAGCCTCCAAAAGACATAAGGGTGAAAACTGTCAGGTGAAATCTGCAAAGTTCCCCATCAGCAGCTTGCACTCACAGTTATGTAGTTCCTTGCATTGGCATTTAAGATGTCTGGCATGACAAAGTAGCTTTCTTTGTTATGATGTAAATGAATCAGTAAACAAACACTTCCCAATAGATGCCAACAGACTGTAAGTACAAGCTGCTGATGGTGAAGTTTGCAGACCTCACCTGATAGTTTTCACCCTCCTGTCTTTTGTTTTCTTCTGTTTGTCTTCTCCCTCTCTTGCCCTCACTGTCTTCCCACCCACCTCAGGCCACTCATTCCCCCCTGCCTTTGTTGCTCTTTTATCACAACTTTAATTACTTTTTTCCCACTCACATGTTTTCTTCTTTCACCTGTCTTCTTTGAAACATCACATTTGTTCCTTTTGTTGTACTGTCTACCCTTTCCTGCTACCTGAAGGCTTCCCCCATCTTGCTGTGTCTTTCCTCACTTTTTCACCACCCACACGCATCCCATTTCAACTTATGACTCTTATCCTCAGATGGTTTCGAATACTTTTTTTCCTTCTTGGGGCTGTGTCACTCTCAGTTTGCTCAATTATATTTTGCTTTTCCTCTTTTTCCTTGGCTCCACTGAGATTTACACTTTGCTGATGGGAGTTCACAAAGTTAACATGATGACCATCTTTCTCTATCAGACCCAGGGTGGGAAACTTTGATGCTGTTATTCAACTCAGTGTTCTGAGTTTTAAAAACCAGCTTTTACTTTAAGTTACCCATCTCTTACATGAACAACAGCTAATGATAATGTATGGAGAAACACAAAGAATGTGTGCATTGAATAAATGTTGCTGTAACAACAGTGAGCTTAAAGGAAGCACTGAAAACCTATCTGACAAATTTTCTGTCAACAACTGTGCTGTCACCTGAAACCATCAAACACTAATGTTGATTAATAATAAGACATCAGATTTAATATAGCGCTTTATCAGAGACCCTCAAAGCACTTTACATTGGATACATCATTCATTTGCTCACACAGTCACACCTTGGTGGTGGTGAACTACCTTAGTAGTCACAGCTGCCCTGGGGCAGACTGACGGAAACGCCTACGGCCTCTCCGACCACCACCACCACACAACACTCACAATCATACACCAGTGGAGGACACACACTGGGAGCAAGGAGGGTTAAGTTTCTTGCCCAAGGACACAACACACAGACTTGGGATAGGGGGGAATCAAACCTCCAACCTTCAGGTTATTGGACGACCGCTCTACCTCCTGAGCTATTGCCGCCCCCATTTTCAGTGATTAACTGAATACTACTGTTACACAACATGTAGATACTACATGATAGTATCTTATCTTTTTGCTTGCTAAGTTTGGTAGTGGCCATGAATAGATTAATAGTGAAAATTTTTTAAACAGTAATGTTCGACTGGAATTAATGAACACTGCTACAATTTTAACCAGAGCAGTCGGGAATAAGTTTAACTGCTATATGATGTATTAGCCTAACAGATATACTTAGCTTTAAATTGGTTGAAGTCTCATATAAGCTGTTGTCTCTCAGTGGCTAATGGTGTGTTTCATGTGTTGTTGTCCCCTAAAATATGTCTACATGTTCCCCTGGGTTTTTACCATCTGTTTTCTTTTTAAATGCTGATGAATTGGAAAGAAATTATATGAAAATAAATCAACACTCTACTTCTACTGTATACTATTGCAAACGAGTAACAAAGTGTGGTGTCAGATAAAAATGTTTACAAAGTGAATGATAATTTTGTACATTTTGGGATGAATCCATGCCACTACATAACATCTATTTCTAATTTATGCTTGATCACACGCCTTTCATGTATCAGAATACTGTGTATGATCGCTTTTTTATAAAGAGACCATTGCTTGATTCACTTTCTAACGGGCCATGAAAACTCTGGCATTATGCAGGTGTGCAGAAAAATGGCTTTCAAGCTTCACACACCTTTTGGACTGGGTAACGTTTCACCGCTCTGGCGTGATTAAGTGATGTGCTGATTCTGTATCAACAAGATCAAATTTGTGTAAATACCACATGCAGGTGCACCCACAGGAAATAAGGTTTCTCTAACAGCTGTTGTGTCCGTCCATGCGTGTGATTGTGTAGATTGTATTGATGCATGGGAGAGTGGATCTCAAAGTCAGAGTGTTGTGTACTGGCGCTGTACCTCATGTTTGCCCTTCATCCGGCACACTCGAATATCATTCTTATTGGATTCCCACGTCCGTTTCTGCAAAAAGAATAAGGCACAGTCTGCATGTTTTGTACAGTATGAATGTATCTGGACATTAACATTAGTGCAGGCTTGGTTTTGTGTGTGAATGAGAGAATAAGTCTTACTTTACTGTAGAACATCTCTTCACCTGCCATGTTATCCAACTCCACTCTGTACAAATCATCTCTGCAAAAGATGCAACAAACCAGTGGCGATGAAATACAAAAATAGACAGTACTATGTACTCTCATGAGAATTAACACGTATCAATGTTGATCAATGTTGTATAAGAAATGAATTGTTTTTTCAGCTTTGTTCATTCTGGAGCGGACATTTTACAGGAGTGGAGAATTCAAATCTGATTGACAAAAGATCTTGTTTTCGGATTTTATCGGACATCAGATGTAATTTAGTAAATGAGGGCTTACAGAGTTACAGCAGCTTATGTTAATACTCATTTGGCAAAGGAAAACTAAATTGAATGTATTTGTGGTGCACAAAAATGGCAGTCAGCCTCATTTATGATTAAATGAAAGTACTGTTGATGTTGTTGTTGTTGTAAACAAACCATTTCTGTGAGACGGCCACCTGTTTGTGTTTTTTTTTTTGAGACAGAAATCTGTCGTTGTTGCAGCCATGAAATAAAAACTGTTCAAAATGCGGAATTTTAATTCAAATGATGTGGATTTTAGCATTCATTTGTGTTATTGATTCGGTCCATTTAAAAGCCTTTTCATCACCAGGCACAGTCTGCCTCTTTCTTCATGTGGGTGCAGGTTTAGATGCTTTTAGGTCACATTTATTTGGAATTATATAAGCCTTTTATTTTCATTTTGTATAAATAAGTCAGCAATCTTTTGACTTTCACTTGAAACCTAAATATTTGTGATGGAAAACCAGACCTGGCCCAGAGACCCCTATCTGTCTCCTACAGGTGTAATAAAATTCTTATTTCCATATATCACAGGAAAGACTAAAGTGAACAAACAGCTTTAGCTTGACATTTAACAAGATTGAATTCATCCTCCTCACTGGTACAAACTCAAAATGTCTTCTGCAGAGTGACAGGAGATGGAAGCTGTGGCATCAAATGAAAGCAAAAGGATATTAATGTGTGAGCGTCAGAAACACACAGTTGGAGGCGGTTGCCGTTGGTTACCTGGCTCCTATGTAGAGTGTGCGGTTGACTTGGAGGACCGTCTGGATGTGCAGCTCCTGTCTCTGAGCTGAACGATGAGCTCTGCCCAGGAATACTGGATACCTACGCACAACTGACACGAGCACACAGACACACTAATGAATAATTCTTGCTCATATTTACCCATGGAACAAAAATAATCTTATACAACATCAGAAATTATAACACTGATAAAAAAACAAAAAAAACAACACACTATTTTTCCCTTTTACCTTGTAGATAGATACTATTGAGGCATTTTGGGAAACACACTCAGTTTTAGCATAATGAGATTATAAAAAAACAAGATAAGATGCAGCAGTAAAATTGCAAAGTCAGAGCCATGGTCGAGAGTGGCATAGACCCCCCGTTAAATGTGACAGGCCACCCCTGGTACTACCTTAAAATCCTCAACTGTGATTGGTTATTCTCATTTTGGAGGTTAGACTTGGTGTGAAAGGAGGACTGTTTGGACCATATGACTATTTGGCTCCAATTGTTTCATCTTTGGTGCTTAAATTGAAGAGAAAATACTTGCAAGCAAACTCAAACTTGCTCGCACTTTTTTGAGTACTTTAACTTTTGACTTGGGACCGATAACTTCTTTGTTACAATACAATAAAATATACTTGAATAAATAATAATGTGAATGATGTGAGACTGATTATAAAGCAGCAGTTGTCTTATGATTGTTATGGAGGAGTCCTGATTCTACAGTGTAGTTGAGGTATTACAGATATTAAAAAGTCTTGCAGTAACATCACATAGAATCACTTTTTTATGCGTGTGGCTCCATGATGAGAAAAGTCCGTACATTGTCACTTCTCTCATTCCTCCTACTGTTTCTCAGACAAATAACAGAGCTCAGATGAGGTGGAGCGAGGAAGCAGCAGCATCGGTATCTGAAACTTTTAAAGAGGAGGACAACAGCCTCTACAGGGAGCTCTCATCATCAGGAGACAGATTGGAAAAATGTCTCATCGTCCTTGACTGCAGGGGAGGGAGCGAGAGGACGTAGCTATCCATCTCCACCTGTCTCCTTCCCTTCTCTTCTCCACCCTTCAGCCTTCTCTCTCGTCATCTGTAGCACCCCATCCGATCCAATTGTCTCCCTCTTTTTCATCTTCCTCTACCTCTCAACACCTATAAGAATCATTTCTCTCCCCTTTTTCCTCTCTTTGTGCCTTTCTTGTTTTATGAATCCTGCCATGAAGAGACAGAGCAATGTCTCTTTATTTATCTGCATGCCTGGATAGCTTCAAAGCAACTTCACACCAAGGCTCTGACCCTTGACCCCTGATTTCCACATCCACCATGGAGCCATTTATCACTGCTTTATATACATTCACACACACATACACACACACAACGCAACTCAGGAGGGAGAAACATACCCTCAACGGGGACGTAGCTGAGCGGACTGGGTTCCTCTGGGAATGAGCCATCAGCCAGTTGAAGCAGCAGGAGAAGAAATGTGAGGGGAGGGGCCATGGTCGCCATGGTAGCAACACACATGTACTGTTAACACAAAGAAAGGAGAGAGAAAAGTGTCATCATTGTGAACTCAATATTTTCAGAGTGTGAGCATGGGAGTGTGCACGTATTGACATTTTGACGGATTTCTTCTTGAACAGGTTTGTGTGTATTTGTGTGTGTTTGTGTGTGTTTGTGTGTGTGTGTGGGAGAGCAAAGCACAGGGTCAGAAGTGCAGCAGGGTGACTGCTGCCACCAACCTGGCTCCAGCAGGGAGCTAATGTGCATCTATTGTCTGCTGGGTGATGTAATGGGGATCTATTGTCAGAAATGTCACTTCATTGTCAAACAGTTTGAATTGAAGGAGACGCTCACAGCCATTTAACACGCCAGGACACAAAACATTCCCAGGATTACAAAGCCACTGAGAGGTGGTGATGTCTCCTTCAATAATTGTCTTCATATGTCTACACAGACATTTGAAGGTTACACTACAGCTAATAACCACCAAATAATTACAAAAATACTGGTCTGCATAGAACACAGGAAGAGTATAGAAGAATCAGAGAGAAAAAAGTTACCGAGACAAGAAAGCTGAAGGTCTTTGGAAAGGTCGAAGTTCATGACTGTAAATCATGAGCAGCCTAAAGAGAAAGGGAACAGGTTTCTCTTTATGGGGCCAGAGTAGGGTCATGCAGTGTGAGAAATACTTATACATAAACAAAGGAAGACTAGGCCAGGCTCAGACTTCAATAGTTTTTTCAATGATACTTAAAAATATGTTTGCATCTTGCACATGTTGTGTAACGAAACAGAAACTATCATCTTTAATATCAAACATGCACACATTAAAGATATTAAAATAATAGTGCACCACCCACTGCAGGATATTATTATTCAATATTAAGTGTACACAAGTATAAGGATCATTCCTTATGTGATCTCTCTTGAGATCTCACAGCAATGTAAACTGAACTGAGGCTGGCAACAACCTGCTGTTGTAGGCTGATACTTTTTCATACTCTAGGCGATAAGTTCAGTCAGAAATAACAAGCAAAATGTTTGACAAGTCTGGATAGGAGAGTGTTTTATGTGAAGTGGTCCATTTTGATGGTCTAGTCACAGGGAAGAACTAAAAGTAGGTGTTTTCTGTCAACAACAGCATGCTAGCTGACATTAGCCTTAGGACAAGGCTTTTCTTCTTGAAAACGTCTCAGTGAACTATCACGGCAACTCTGAAAATGTTCATGGGTTACAAGACTGGGTCTGTTAATACTTAACTTAGGCTGGATATCCGTCCCACAAAGGTCCCACACCATAATCCTTCTTTTTTGTCTAAAGAGGTGTATAAAATGGGCATCATAACTATCCACTTGTCTGAAAGAGCTGCTGCAGTAAAGGTCACAAACCCTGCTTCTGTTATGTTACCATATGGGAAAACGCTTAACACATGTGAGTAATCCTAAAACTCACGCAGTCTGAGTCTGACCTGAAAGTCTGCAGTCATGCTCTGTGAAAACTGTACTTCAATACAGATTTTGGCAAACCACTTTTGAAAAAATCTACAAAAACATGTTAAGTAGCACTCAGTGACATTACTAATAAGTCAATTTACAATCATGTTTATCAGTTTCACAAGCGTATACTCACAGTAACATTCTCACAGCCGAGGTTAAATGAGCTTATTTGTACAGGTGTTTGGTCATAAATCAAGGTACTGAATCGATTGAATTATCTGACCTATCATAGTGCTAAATGAAAAATTGTGTAATGACCAAAGTTCGGTGAGTTAATACTTTGCTGGCATTGAATGTTAGAACAAAACTCAGGGTCATTCAGGACTGAAATGTTGGAATGATCAACAGTCACTCACACGTTCTTTATACTGCTGGTTTAGCTGAAAATCTACCTTGAGGGGTGAACAATCAAAATCAGACTCCCCGCTGTGCATGAGCATCTGTCTCACCTTTAACACAGAGACAGCAGACTTACACTGCTTCTCATAACTTACTACCAGTCATAAATCGAGTCAGCTACACCATCAAACACACATTAAAATGTAGAAGCTTTTCTGTGCATTTACTCCAAATGCCTGTGGCTCAGCTGCACAGCTTGCATCTTTGATGTGAGACTACTTTGAAAGAAGAAGAGAAACAAAGGACGGGAAAGAAAAGGCACGACAAATGAGGGGAACGAAAAGGGCGGAGCACTCAGGTTTTGTCTTGGGTTTGCTGAGGGCGCCGCTAAATCCCTGGAAAATGTGGAGTTTGATTGAGCACATAAAAAGAAAGGTTAGAAACTGAAAAAAATACCAGTATGATTCTGTTCCCATCAAATCAACCTGAAAAGCATGTCCCCCAACCCCCGCTTTTTGCTTTCATCCTCCATCTCTCCCCCTCCATCACCCACACCTCTTCTCCTCTCTTCATTTCTCTTTCTTTCTATCTCTCTGCTTGTCTGTTCCAATGTGAAAAAAAAAAAATAGGACTGTTTATCAAAGATAGAAAGGCAAGCAGGTAGGGAGGTAGATGTGTTTGTTGCTAAGGTGATGATAACTGCTATTTGAAGTGCACAGATGCAACCAGATGTAAAACGCTCATACTTGGTACATAAGCACATTCATCTGTGTTGCCAACACTTCAGAGTGTGTACATGTTTGAGTGACAGGCTGTTCGAAGACTCTACTGAGGAGACGGGGGCTGCAGACTATACACCCGAGGCCACTTCTAATGAAATTCAAACCAAAAGATTGCAGGTTTGACATCTCTGAGCCTCCTCCTCATCGGAAGCACTGGAGGAGCCCTGAGGGGGGAGGAAGCTATGCTCGCTCTGACTCTCTATTGGAATTCCTTGGACTAGAACTGATTGGGGTTTGGGGTCAGCCTCATTTCCTGAAGGCCATTTCATAAGAACGTGCCAAATCCCACAATGAAATTCCGCTTGTTTTGACGGAATGAAGGAAATTAAATGGAACATGTGAGATTGTCACCAAGCTGTTTTAGATACTTGGTAAAAATTAGCTAGAAACTCATGATAATAGTGATTATGCCAGAGACAATCTGATCACACATAGGGGGTGTTCCGATCTGATATTGATATCGGTCTGATATCAGCAAAAAAAACTAATATTGGATTATAGTGGCCAGCATCTAAAATCTTCGATATCAGCACTCAGATACAAGGAGTCCATTCCAGACTCCATCCCGACACCTCTATCTCTCAGTGCACAAATCCAACATCCAGAGCCCACGTGATCACAGCAGCAGTGTGTACTAATTTACTAACAAAGTAGCAAGGAGTAGGAGTGATGTCGGCCACGTGGCAGTATTTTTTTGTCTAATTATGAAAAAGACGTAGCTGAGAGCAAAACTTGTCATGTGTCAGTTTATGCCAATTAGGGATCCATATCGTTATCGGCCAAAACTGAAGACTACAATATTGGTATCGTATTGGAAGTAAAAAAGTTTTATCGGGACACCCTTGATCACACATGACAAGTCAAATCAATCTGTGGGAAGAGGTCCGGCACATTTCAGCTCTGCCTGTTGACGTTGTGGCAAAAGTGTTAGTACCCATCTAAGGACAGTCCTGAAACTGGGTAAAAAAAGCAGCCTGAGGAGTTACAGGAGCCTACAAAATCTCTGTTAGGGAGTAAAAGTGGAGCAAGATCCTGTCCTGCAATCCAGGCAACAGCAGCAGAGCTACATCTAAAGGTCGCTGATGCATTAATACAGTATGTGGTGTAGCAACCCATGAGAAGGACAGTTAGACATATTAATGAACAAAAATATTCCCACAAAATTCCTGTTCACAGCATGCAGACCTCAGATAAAAATATTCTGTTTCATGTAAATCAAAGCAATAAGCCAGCTAAAGAGAGTGAATTGAGATGTTCAGTTCAATATTAATTTGTCCTTTGAGGATGCTGGTAAGAATCTGTGTCCAGGGAAGTGTAACTGACCCCGAGAACTCATTTTTTTTCAGCTGTATAAATGAATAATTATTATTTAAATGATATGGTTTTGTGTTATATTGTTTGTCTTTAGTTGATAGCCAGATAAAACCAGTGAAATAATGTATATTAGAGGATGGGTGTGCAGATGGATTTGCATGACCACCTGCTTATACTATCTTTTGGACATCATAGATCTGTCATGTGCTCATCAAAGCCGAAAACTGCACTGCTTCTGAATCATAACTCAGTCAGATCTTTACAGAAGATGCACAATTTCAATCATTTCATACAATTATCTCTTATGACTAATTCTCCATAAGACTGCTTTGAAAAAGAAAAGAAGAGCCTGGTTGTCTGAACAAATCTGGGTGTCTGATGAGATCTAATAATAGCTCAATTAAAGAACTTATAATAGTGCCAATTGGCAAATAGAAATTAAGATGATCTAATGAAACTCTGTGGGATTCCACAGAAAGTCTCTTTTCAATTTGTTTCCTTCCTGACCTCCTCTGCTATTAGACCCTCCCATTTGGGGTTAGGGTGGTGAGGTAGAGCGATAAAGCAACAAGCATCAGACATGATTTTTAAAACCGGATTTCATTCAAATATAGCAAATAGACTGCATTGTCTCTCTGAGTTTGAGATCACGGATGTGTAAAAACACAAATAAACTGAAATCTATATTTCAGCTTTTATGCAAATCTTTGCTGTATTCCAGTTGGATGGCATGCCTCATTTGGAAGTCATAATGCCCAAAACACATTTGTACTTATCCAACTATCCACTTATTCATCTCCCACCACTTTTGCATCCAGATGAATGTGTATATCTTTCTAAAAGGTCTGTTTGGACAGGGGATAAAGGACACTTGTAGGCATAAACTAGAGAAATAAGAAAAGCCCAAATCAAGGCCAACTGCATATGATAATTCCTTATGGCATCCTACAATCTCTATACAACCACAGTACAAAGAAACACAAACACACATCGGTGTGTCAACATGGAGCTGTATGATCTTTGTTCATTTTACAGCAGCAACTTTAATGTTTGTTTTACATTAACAAGGCCAGAAAAGTCTCATCATCTTATATGCACATTAAATTACAACTCTAGCTGCATTATAACACTCTGATCTTTTCATTTGTAAAATATATTTCAGAGTCTTGTAAACCAGCAAATATTAAATCATAAAAAAACAAACAGTTTTGATGATCATGCCCAAATTATCCCTAAACATTTTCTGTACATTTCATAGGCCAAATGCTTTTTTGTCTGGACAACTGTTTGTGTTTGAAAAATAGAAATGTTGGTCAGTGACACATGGCTCAAAAAGATAAAAATCCTCAGGTTCAAAGCCAACCATCCCTCCTGTCTTCCTCACTCTGGGTTCCTCACACACATAAATTCACTCCACATGCTACATACCTGCCGCCAATCATTGATGGAGCCTCCTCATTAGAGTGCATATTGATTAAGGTTATTGATCCATAGGGTAAACCATCAGATCTGGGCCAAGACCAGTATGTTAAAGCTCTGCTGCCGCTGCTGGTCAGTCTCATGGCACAGACAGTATTTTTAACACCGTTAGCTATATAAAGAGGTTTGAGGGCAGCACTTTGACGTTTGATTATCAAGGCTTCTGAGTTGTCCCTGCAGACAGATGAAGGATAAAAGAAGAAATGAGGAAACGGGATACTGTCTGCAAGACTGTCTGAGCTCATCAAGCTATAAAAATGATCCTGCTGGTAACAAACAAAGTCTGAGGGAATCAAGGGAGGAGAAAATGGACTGGAGACAGGGTGTTATGCTTTTAGAGTCAGACTGTGTTGGCGTGATAGGATCAAAAAGGTGTGACACTGACATGGCTATCACAGGGTGCATGTAATGAAGGCGACAGACACACGCTATAATCTAGCCTCATCAGGCAACCCATTAGCGAATCACCTGCTAACGCTCACATCATTAACCAATCAGCAGGTCATCTGGAGAAGTCGAGTCACCTGATCATGCCTCTCTTATCAGGCCGTCCATATGTTCTGGCCTCTTCAGGGGGGACTGAGCACCATTTACTGAGGTCTTTTTTCTTCAAGAGATGCTGGTGTTGTTTTTTTACTTTATATAAAACCTGTCTTAACTCCAAGGTTTGAAGACTGGGGATCAATAATGTAAACACCAGAGGGAGAACACTGACTGCTGTCTTTAACCACTGACTTTGTCAAACATTGATGTAGTCTCAGTGACGTCACCTATTGTTTTCTGAGGAGTAATATAGAGCCCAACAATGGCAGCCGTCATATTGGATTGCTGACTCAACCTAACTTTCATTCAATCTGGAAACTGCCAAAAGAAGTGGAGCTGAGGCAGGACTAAAGCCTCCTGGCAAACAGCTACAACGTGCCCACATGTCAGTCCAACAGCCATGCTATTAATTATGGACATTTATTTTTAACAGTCAGCCTTTATATAATCACAACAGACATGTTATAAATGAATTCACCCCACTTCGAGCTTTACTGAAGGTAGAAATGAGTTATTGAACCTGTAACCATTTTGTGCAGGCTTGATATATGTTCATTCAGTTTACACTGCAAAAAAGGGACTTCACAGGAGACCTAATAAGGTTTTTTCGCATCCCCACACTGACTTCATTTTTTCAGTGCAAGAGGTTATCCCTTGGCTTTAACTAGAAATACATTCTATGCTCAAACTGCACATTGGCATTAGAAATGCACTGATCCATCCAATAATGATCCAATGCTACTGTTGAATGAATGAACTGTATACCTTGCCCTGTGAGTGAAGGCATCAGGCTTGACATTAGCCTTGTTAAAAAAAGGTAACAAATTAACACAGATATAAATTTACTCAATATTACTGATTAACAAATAAAAAAATTGCACATTAGCACACAGCAAAAAGAAGTAAGACTTCTATGTATTAAAAGAAAAATTAATTAAAAGGAAAAAAAAAAACTGGATTGGAATGCTAGATCAGCGTCATTCCTCCAATATCCGATCCAGTTAATTTGTCAATATCAGAGCCGATATTGGATCCATATATTGGATCGGTGCATCCCTAATAGGCATCACGGGTATGACACAGCATTTAACAGATAGACAGACATGAATCACAGTCCGAAATTGAACTTGCAACATTGCAGCTCCATTTACAACATGCAAGACAAGATACATAAACAAGTGACAAAATACAACACTTCAAACAGGAGATGGCACATTCTTATTGAGACACAAGAGCCTGTCTCGGGTTAGATGGTAATAGTTCATATTTAGAGCATGGTTGGGGCCTTAGCATGTTTTTGTTGGAGGCTGATTCATAGAGTCTCTGAAGGGGCTGACCAACAATCTTTGAAGAGAATATCATCTGATGGAGGAGGTTGGACTTTAAGGTAGTGGACAGTGCACCATGTGGTGTGACAATAGTGTAGGACACTCAAAATCACAGAAGTTAAAAATAATGTGTACATTAACCTTGTAGAGAGTTGTATTACTAATATGAAATGCAAAAACTTGAGGAATATCGAAACAAACACATTCACAATAACACACTTTCTCAGTTGATCAGCTGTTTTTTTCATTTTCTTTTCTATTTTTATCTGATAATATTGTATTCTGTGTTTCACACAATCCTATCCTTAGGCTTCTTCATCTTATTTGCACGAGGCATATCAACTAGTTGAGCTGCTAAACAAGATCAATACACTTCCCTCCTGCTAAACACAGACAGAATAAAGACCCCCACCCATCCATACAGAGGAGCGCCCATTGAATAAGAGGAAACACTGAGAAATAAACATCACAGGCCTGAGCAGCTAAACAAAACCCAAATGTGTCTAATACTGCTAGCACAGTTGTCAAGCTGCATGAGCCATGACCTGTGCAGCACACAGAATCAGCGCAGCCAATAATTAATCCTCTGATATGAGTGCGTGATCATGCATGAGACAAAATTTAGACAAATCAAATCTCAGCATATTTTTCTGTGGTAATGACGTTTTGCTCGTCTCTGTGTCTGAACTGTGTTGTCCGATGTATTATGTTGTTGTGATTAGGTCTACAGGCAAAAATCTCTCTCTCTCTGCCTCTTTTTTTTCTGTTTTCCCTCCGTCTTTCGCTTGCTCTCTCGCTGCTGCAGCCACTCCACTCTGTGCCTTTGTTACCGTAGCAACCAATAGCAAAGCTAGGCAGAGATGTTGTATTGCAGTGGATGTAAAAGGGAGGAGGAAGAGTTCGCCCTCTAACACATAGAATACATGCACGGACATGTGTGAGCGATACCCAGACGTTCGCACAGTGATGCATACAATTAAACATGGACAAATATGTAGATTTATTTGAGAGTGCATCGACATGCACATGGAGCAGATATATGGGGAGGAGGGACCCCCTCTGTCTCAGTGAGGAGGGGGATGGGGAGCAGCAAAGATTTTGTCTTTATGTATTATCACCACACAACCAAGACATTATAGCTCATTTGAAAATCAATAGGTCAACCACTGACAATACTTCTTCAAACACAACCTCACATTTATTTATGACACATTTACTTTAAAAAAGATAATGAATTTCTTTTTATAAATGGGTTTCCTCTTTGGCCTGAGTGAGCTAGCCCTGTTATTATCTGAAATCCATTCAGAGTCTTTGTGTTCATATAGGTTGGACTATGATGCTGAAATCATATTGACAAAAATAAGTGTTTTTATATGGAAGCTGGACGCTCTGACTTTGCCGGGTTATTATGACAGACTGAGTTAAAAAGATGAAGAGAGAATGATAAACTTGGATCTTAAAGTCTAAAAAGAAAAGACATAAACATGAATCCTGGGCTGACACAAAATCCTTTGCATCCTCCCTTCATTACGAACACACTCACTTCTTGAGAACAGTATGCAGGTTAAAGCCCGGAATAAAGCAGAAGGCCTGAGGGTAGAGACACAGACATGGGCTAAACTAGGAGAAGTGGGTCACCTTCACACATCAGTCCTCCACCCTACAAGCTCCACAGTTTCATTAATTGACTTTTAACAGATTTCCACTCAAAAAGGGGAGGATATGAACAAAATGTAGCTGCCATAGTAGAGGGTTTGTCTCATAATGAATCAACAATGAATTTCGATGATGTCACATTAACAGTCCTGTAGTTTGTCCAGTAACTTGACCAGAATTATGTCTCTGCCAAAGCCACAATGCAGCCACAACCTTTTATCTACCAGTTTGTATTCTTTGAAATAACTAGAAACTGACTAATAATTCACATTTTACAATAAATAAATAAATAAATAAAAGAACAAATAGCATAGTGGAAAAAAATAGTAACGTATATGTATAATGCTGACTTTGCATTGTTGTTCAGCTTGAAGTTTGGGAGTCTGTCAGTTAGAGGGGATTTCAGTCATTACAGTATTACACTTGCTCTGGAAAAATACAAATATTAGTGGAAGGACAATAGAAATAGGGATGAAAAATGGATAAATCCGAAATTGCAACAGTAAGTAGAAAGTGCAGAATATTAGAAATAAAACTTACAAAGCGTACAGTAATCAGCCATGTATAGAGAGAAGGACGTGTATACAACACCAACATCCAGCATTGCGTCTTGTACAAAACAAAACTTAGTGTGGATTTCATGAAAGAATATGTTTTTAATCTGCCTTTTAATTCCATGTTAGATAGTATCATGATAAAATTCAGAGGTATTTCTTTTGTTTGCTGTTAAAAAACAACATCATGGTGGTGTTGATTGCCTGGCAATCTTAGCACCTCACATATAGAGGCAACAGCCCTCATTTAGGAGAGATCAATAGTTTTCATTTGTACTGATACTGCTACCAGGACTCCATTATGATTTAAGTCCTCCATGATACTGCTATTAAATCTTTTCTGTTATTTGAAGGGAAAAAAAGATAATATATTTTTGCAGAGCTGAACAGAATAACAAATTTTTAAGCCTTCAAAAACACGGCAGATGTAACACCTCTCAATGAAGCATTTAACTTGGAAGAATAAAATCAATCACCAGCAACAATTTCATCCCCGCAATGAAGAAAATAAATTCATGAATATGTGCTGATTAGAAATTATGTGGAAAGTGTAACAGGTCACATTGTTTGAGTAATGGGGGTGCCTGATCATAATTTATTTTTTAAAATGATGTTTAAATTCAAAACCATCGCTTGAAAAGGGCGACTTCCTCTCATTTTAGTCTGGATCATATTTTATTTAAATTAGGAAAATCAAATGGAAACATTACCAACTGTATCAGGCCAGTGGTGTAGCAGTTAGAAATGCTGATTTTGAACTAGAGGGCCCCAGAAAGAGCCTTTCCAAATACAGCATCAACAATTTGCTTTACTCACGCTGTAGTCTAGTCTAGGCTAAGCTTTTGACATACAACACTGGCATAAAATCAGACTGGCCAGTGGAGGAGTTAATGCTACTGCCTTTGGTTAAATAGTTCAATGTTCAATTCTTGATCAGGGATTTACAATGTACGGTGAGTTTCCACACTCTGCAGTCTGAACTGAGTAACCATGATGCAACGTTGACCTGAACTCACCGAATTTGGCAGGCCTCTGGTGTGGAGGTGCTTCCTTTGAGAGCTAAGGTTCAAATTCTGATCAAGTATTTCCCACATGAGGTGGACATGTAAGAGTCTTCTCAACCTGAACCCAGAGCTGTGCTTTTGAACAACCACAACAATAACTTTAAATAAAATGACCCTAAATTGCAAGCTAGGCAAGCGGGCCTGTGGCGTGGTGGCAATGGCTAATGCTTATGAGCAGATTTTTCATTGATCGAATCCCAGTTGGGGACTTACCATGCGAGGCATGAATGAAAGAATTTATTCGCCTGATAGTCTGAACCCTGCTTTTGAAAAGCCATAATGTGATGGTGAAAAGACAAGGCTTGTGACATGGATGTGAGAGCTGCTGCTTTTGAGTGAAATGGTTCTTGGTTCGGATCCAGTACAGGGAAAGTGCTTGGTAGAGGTAGGGACAGTAAAAAGCTAAGAATTGGCAGAAAGGCCTGTTGTGATGAGTACTTTTTTTAGCCTTGTTTTTTTTGCTGTTAGCTGTCCTGCAGCAGCTTCCACGAAACAGCAGCGCACCTAACCCTCATCAGACTTACATCTTTACTGATTTTAACTAAGAGTGACACAATGCTAGATGTTGGCCCTGCTGATCCATGTGAACTCAGCGTCCCTGGTTAGCTAGGCTAACTAGCTGTTAGCTGTAGCTTGTTAGACACTAGTATTAAACTTTTGGTGTCTTACTATTCACTACATATCCAATAATACCATTAATTCCTTCATAATTATATGTTTTCGTAGACTTGTGGTGCTCTCTGTAAATGTCACACACCTTGCTGTAGAGTTAGACATGATATTTTTAATAACACTGATGACAGTAGTGCTTGCTTTGAGGGCAAAATGGCTGCAGAAAGACTAATAATTATGAATAAAGGTGACTCTTATAACAGGAGTCAATACCAGTGACACCACCTGATGTCAAAGTAGGCCAGAGTAAATAGAAATGAAGACTGTGATATTTATTCAGATAGATAAACCTGTTCACATGCACCTCAGCATAAACAGTTGCAAGAGCAAATGTGTCTTTGAACACACCCATTCACACACACACAATCATGTTCTCCTCGGCAGTGGAATCACTGTGTCAAGTCTTTATCTTATCGAGGTAGAGGCGATATTCCCTCAAGTGGCTGCCTGTCTCCTCTGAACACCTCTAATCAGAGTTGAGGGAATCTGTCTTTTGCTGTTAAATATCCTAAAATGCTATTCAATCTACAGGGTCATTTATATGCTAATGCAAAGGTTACCTCTGCATAGACACTTGACGCAGCCGTGTGCTGCCTGCTAGGTTAGGTTGTAGGATAGAAGAAAGAAAGATTGAAAGAAAAAGGATAGAAAGAGTGAATGAACGATAGACTGAGATGAAAAGAGAAGATGTTAGCAGAGAGAGGGGGGTGTGAAGGAGGAGAGGAGATACAGAGGCGAGAGAGGATGGAAGATATTCCCCTGGGTGTGTGCCATAGGTAATTAAAATAGGATGGACAGAGCTGGAGTCTAGCCAGAGAGAGCTCCATCTCCCCTCAGACTTCTTCCCCAATCAGGCCCTCTGCCTAAAACCAAATTGCTGCCAGTGACTGACACACAGTAGAGAAGGATGCAGTGAGTTATAAGCCTATAGATAATGAAGACGTAGCTTAAAGGACGGCTTACAAATGCAAGTGCAAAGCTATCAAACACCTGCGAATTTCAACATTGTAATCTACAGAACAGGTGCTGTATGTTCTTTTAGTGATGTAGTGAAATGAACAATGAAACTTACGCCCATGCATGCACGAGCACGTACACAAACATACATACACGTTTTATACTGCTGTACAAAGCTGCAGCAAGGGCAAACGTTCCTAACCAGAGTTTGACTGCAGTAAGCACATATACATTCACTGCACAGCTCCGAGCTGGGGGCGAACACATGAGTATGCAGTGCACGCACTCAGATACACACTATGAGCACGGAGTTTAACACACACACTAGTGCGTATGACAGCAATGAAGATGCGGTCTAATTACACGGCAGTGACAGGAGGGTTTTCATCTATGAATTTAACCTGTTTTATTACCATTTCTATTCGATTTGTCACACAGTAATGGTGCATTTTGTACTGTACAAGGCAGCACCGGTCTCTGGGGAGCGTTGTGATTTTCTAATGTACAGAACAAAGACTAATCATTTTATGGTTGGGGAAAATAGTGATCTTATTGTTGTTGTACCTGCAGCTTATCTATCTGTTTTTGTTTTCCTTTCAGATTCTGCAACCCACAGCTAAACACCTCTCTTCCTTTTATGCATCCATGCCAAATGGGTTTTGCCAAAACATGGCTGACATTACCATACATCTCACATGCTGGTTGTTGTTTTTTTCTTCATTGTTAAAAAGGAGGCATGGGGCTGAAAGGTAGCTCATACGCTCATCATGTTTCTCTTTGTGGATGCAATCACCATCTACATACAGTGGTGATCACTGCTAGTAAATACAGCTCTTTTGGCAGAAGCCCACAAAGAGGATCAGAGCTCTCAATAGGTGGTCCTCACATAGCAGACATCAAAATGCCAACAAAAATGAACCCATGAGTGGATTGACATATGTACACACACCGGCACATGATGTATGCGTGCACCCTTCCCCACACACACTCACACATATGTAGAGACACCACCTCCCCACCAGCCTTTTCCCCCTCCTTGAAGGTGTAATTGTGTTGCTGCTGCTCTCCTCTCAGTTGCGTCTGGGCCCCAGATAAAAAGCCATAATTAAAAGGGTGAAAAGTTGTGTTTGTTGCAAAAAAACAGAAGGGTTGGGTGTAGGAGAGGACAGGATGAAGCAGAGAGAAAGATTAGCCACAACAAAGCTTCATTGGCTGCAAAACCATCTCGAGTAGCTGGGAGACAAAGGACTCGGATGCGCCTTTATCTCCAAATAAAAAAGTCTTCCAAATCCCTGTGGCTAAGCTGCCATAACTAAAGCTGCCTTTGGCTTGGGACCTCGCTGGATTTGTTGGACAACAAAAGCAGAGAAATATAAGAAGATAGACCGAGCTAGCTAGACATAAGTATATACACCTCCCTGCATTCTCAGGAACAAAGTAAAAAGTCAAGAGCATCAGCAGTGGCATTTGAGAAAAAGGTTATTTTGCGATTTGCCTTTTTGTTTGCATGTGCGTGAAAATGTATAAAAGCCTCAGTGAAAGCTGTAAGTGGATGGTCATTTTCTCTCTCTGCAATTTGGGGGTGTAAACGAGACCACAAAAGGTGAAAGATTAGACTACCTCCATCGCTGAGTTGAAACAGCTGCGATGTCACTCACCACCAAATGCACAACCAGCTGCATGCAAACAGACAGGCTCATTTCAGAGACAAACTAACGCTGAGTAGTTGTTATGGTGCTCACGTTCACTATAGCAAATACACACATGCAATATGCATGGACAATTGCATGTGTGCAGTGCGTGTGTCATTATTCGCCTGGTCCTCGATTGAGGGCGTGTCAGTGCTGTGAAACAATGACAGGGGCAACACTCTGCAAAATGAACACACATGTTAGTGCGTTATAGCCCACACAGTGTGCACAGGGATGCATAAAAAAGAAAAGCTGCACCTCAGGGGAAGAATCAGTGAAGACAGAGAGTCATAAAAGTGAAGATGCATGGCCGCTGTAAAGTATATGAGGGGTTTCTACTTTGAAAACAACTGCGAGGTATTAAAACACAGGCTGATACAGCAAACCGAACGCACATCATTCATCAACATGAGACTTACTTTTTATCTTTAGTTTATGGCACCATAGACGATTAACAGCAGAATTTGTCATAGGTGATTCTCCACAGCGTGTGTGGTGCGACTTTCCTCCTTTCAACATCTGGAAGGACTTGTCCCAAAAGCCAGGTTAGGCTCCTGAAAGCCTCTCACATCCACGCTGAGAAGAAAAATGTTTTGCATGAGGGAGTTTTTTTTTTTTTAAATACGCCGTACCTGCCTGTGTGACTCTTGACCCTCTGCCTTATTTAATCCTGCACAATGACTCCCTGAGGTGCTCACTCTTAGTAGGACCCTGCTGGAGCAGGTCACCCGGCAGATGCCAGCCGGTGAGGTTCTTTTTGATCTCCCTGCCCCAAGGTGTGCAGACCTCAACACCCTTTTCAAAGGCTGATATTGTACAAAAAGAACCAACACTGCACTCTGTGTGAGCCTGGGACGCCTTTAACTTACGGCTTTTTAGGAAAATAAGCATTCCTTCAAATCTCTTGGCGCTACTCATAACGTTGCTTTATTTTCTGATCAGATTAGCGTCTAATCCTGTCTACTTTCTGGAGCAGAGCGAGGTGGTTACTCTGGGGCTGATGGGAGTTGATAGAGCTAGTTGTGAAAGTTACTTTAAGTTTATCTAAACACTGTTTGAGCATACTTTGGAATTCCTTCTTACAGAAGCACGGCAGTGAGTGGGAGGTTTCTCCAGACTGTGAGAAAACAAGGACAGCTAAAGTGGGTGAGGATTCAAATTTGAGAGAAAAACATCATTTTTGGTAGCTTTAAGACACTATCCTTCATGGCTTTGGTTTGGGGGAAAAAAAAGAAACAAATCAATCCCATTGTCTGGTATGATGCAGAAAAAGAAAACATCAGATTTAGTGTCAGCTCAGAACCCAGAATTCAGTGTTCCACTCTGAGCAGCAGAGGTAAAGACAAGAAATGTGTCCCTGATTGCTTGACGTATTCTCTTGGCTAAAAAGAAGCTGTTAGGTAACAACTCTCTGCTTCCAACATCTCTGTCTGATTCATCTCACACTATTTAACACACACAAAGACACACACACACACACACGCACAGAAGAGATCTCAGACAGTAATCTCACACATTTCTAGATACATGCTCCTTAGCAACCCCAGTACACTAAGCTGCCGTTGATTTACTCCCTTTGAGAGCATGCTATATTATGCTGCAATCCAATCCCCTTTTTTTTCTCCGTGCTTGAGATGGCGTGTTTGCAGCTTAGCATGTGTGATTGAATAGGGTCCTGTGTGATCAATAGAGCTCATTAAATGTCCCTGTGGGCAGTTGTCTCACCCTGAGGCTCTCTTAGATTGCTTTTTACCTGCAGCCTGCTTGGCCTCATTGCTTCAAGTGCTTCCAACTTTGTTTGCGGTGTAATTAATTTCCTAATTGAATTACTCAAGCCTGGCCTTTGTGTGCTATTTTCCTAAATGTGGATTGAAGTATCCATTTGGTTCCCTTCAGTGCAGTCTGGGAGTATTTCTAGGAGGATTGCCCCGAGCTCGGGATGGGCGGGTGGTGGAGGCTGAGGGAAACAGTGGCTGCACCTGTTGTTCCCTGTGGTGGCTGTGTGGTGGGGTTAGCACCTGCTCGCATGGCTGCTGTGTGGCTGTCTGTGTGGGCAGCGGGACTAACAGGGAGACCATTCACACCCCGTACAGACTGCTGTCTGCAGCCCTTCTCCCCTCAGCGCTCGTTCACTCAGGGATCCCTGCTCCATCATTTTCTTTCTCTGTCGTTTACATCCTTGGTGTTGCCTGCATGCCAGATTGCTATCTGCCACACTTAATCCTTTGTGTATCCCCCAGTCTGTCTAACTTTTCCTCTCCACTGTGTCCTCTTGCTCTTTTTACATCTTCAAATATGTCTTTTTGCCTTTACCCTCACACACGGAGTCACAAACACAAACAGCAGCAGCTGGAGGCTGTTAAAGTCCTTCAGTGGAAGCTGGATAGCTTTTAGTGTGAGGGATGAAACTGTAAACAATAAATTATATAAAACAACTAAATCACTTTAGTGAGAGTTGAGAGGGCAGTGAGTGAGCATTTAACTTGGGACAGGAAGGTTGTGGATGTGCGCAGTGTGGTCATGTGCAATTTAGGTGATAAGGTATTGTATGTGTGTGAGACACATTTGGACAAAGACATATTTTACAATTTCACTAAGGTGTTTTCCGTTTTTATTTTGCAATCATGTTATAGCAGCAGTGGGTTACACTTGGCACCCTTAATCACCAGTAAGTGGGTTATGTTTAATTTCTTAAATACAGTGTGCTCAGTGCCACTCCTGTTTCCCTACTGTGACTGAGTAATGACATAATCAATTGGCTTTATGGGCTGCCAAATCATTGCATATGACCTTTAACAGCAGACCTTAAGCAAATATTTAATAAAGCAATAACACAGGGGGACAATTACATGTAATAATACACCATCAGAAAACACAAGCCTTATTTACATCTCGATTTACGATCCGGGTCGTGATCCAAATAAGAATTTCAATCAGGCTTTGTGCTCGTCTTTGCAACGCAGTGCTGAAATGTACAAGAAGAATGAGCCCCTTTTTCTGCTGAGACATCACTTCAAACCTACATGAAGGCATTGCACTGAGAAGATCCGATGCAACACGTGAGAGAACAATGATATGCAACAAAGATGATGCAGATACAACATAAAACTTGCAGCAGAGACAAAGAGCACTTCATGTCCACACATGTCCAGGCGATGCCAAACACACCCGGAGGGGAAATAATGCAGCACCCCTTTTGGTGGCAGTGATTAAAAAGAGCGCACACGCTATACAGGCTATACCTGTTCATCACATCCACCCATATAGTCTCCTTAAACACATACAGTATCTCCCAGTCTCACCATTTGGCTCACTCACCGCACCAGATGGCCAGGTATGGAGGCGGAGGCAGGTGCCAGTCGCCAGCTCGCCCTCTCTGGTCGCTCTTGTCCCTCTCGGTGGTGAAAAGGGGGCTGGTGGAAAGCACGGCTCTCGGTTGCAAAAGCCTTGGTGAAATAACAGCAGCAGCAGCTCTTCAGCCGCACCTCACCTGTCTCTTCCCTCTATGGTCCCTGCGCGCCGCCGTAGCATCACCGTTAAACGAGCGCGTACCAAACACCCAGTTAATTTCACAACGTTTTCTTCTTTCTTTTCCTCAATGGAGAGAGAAGGTGCGCTCTGTGAAAACGGTAACCCACGGTCCGAAATCACCCTTTCTTTCCCCCGTATAGCCTTGTTCCAGATCCCAAATCCTGCAGTTGCGGACCAAGTCTTCTGTCAGGGGGGAGAGACCGGCCAGTTGTCTGTCTGCTCTCTATGGTTCAAGCTGAACGGATCTGAGATGAGGAGTCAGCAAAAAATCCCCTCTCTTAAAAATTTACAGTGCCGAGGTGAAACGTCCAAACGCAGAGCAGTCACAGTGACAGCAGGGGCCCATAATTCACAGCCCCTGAAACCCAGTCCTGCAGTGGATCAATGATGAATGGAGGATCTCTCTCTCTCTCTCTCTCTCTCTCTCTCTCTCTCTCTCTCTCTCTCTCTCTCTCTCCCTCCCTCTCTCTCTCTCTCTACATAAACACACGCGCATGCACACGTTTTGTGTCAAACCATAACAGAAATAAGTGTTATGTGATGCTCAAAAAGTTGCTTGAACATAATATAGTATGTAGACCGTTCTGAGAAAGGAGACGTTTTGTTTAAAGAGAATTAAAAAAAAAAGGTTTGAAGAGCTAATTAGACTTTATGTACACATGGGGAAAGTTAATAAAACAACCAGGTAACCTTATCCGTCTGGAAATAGTCACAGACTGTGGACAGAGGCTTTAACCACTGATATAAAATTCGGTGTCACATACCTCACTTTAATGCCTGAAACCACAAATTATGGCCAGAAAATTCAAATTTTTTTTGGAGCTGAAATGTTTATTTCACTTACTACTGAAAACAACAACAACAACAAAAAAAAAAATCCAAATGTCCTGTATGATACATTAGATGTTTTTGGAAACTGATAATCTACAAGATGGCATCTTTATAATTTCTCAGACCGTGTTAAAGTCTTTTTTTGTAATTTGGTGATCATACTGATTTAATAGAAGTATCATAAAAGTATGTATCAAATATGATACAAAAGGCAATAAGGGGCTACAAGTACTGGGCCATCACTTTAATCAACTAATGCTTTAAGGGACTAAAAGTAAAGGCATACCATAACTTTGTTTGGGTGCAGTTATAACCATGTGTTAATTATTTATTAATTAATCCGTTGTATTTCTGCCCCTCTGCTTCTTAATATAAAGTGGTTATACTATAACTCCTCTAAATTTATTTTACAATATTTTTAATACTCCAAATTAAAATTCAAAACCGTTTTTTATTAAGAAAATTATTTATTTTTATTTTTCAATACGATTTTTTTTATTAATATTAACACATCTTTTATTTATGTGTTATTTTTATTTTTTATATTTTTCGTTATTATTTTTTATTAATATTAACATATTTTTTATTTATTTGTTATTTTATAATGTATTATTTTTATTAACTGTTTATTTATTGATTATTATTTTATTTTTTATTAATTGTCTTTTAAATGTCTGTCGTCTATACTTCGCTGTATAAATGTATAAAAACTAATTCTCTGTAGTTTATGATGATGTGCAATTGAAATGGACTGACATAATGAAGCCAACTCTAGAACCAATTGCAGCCTCATAGATTTAAACTTAAAATTATCCTCACTATTATGATTGGACATATGTTTGCCAGTCTCTGTTGACTGAATTGTCGCCTACTGTTCTGTTACAGGTAATTTATATTAATTGAAGATATTTATATTATATGCAAGCACAAAATGAAGACAGTGAATACAGCTTTTACTGAACAATGAAGATAGATTTTTGGCGGTTTGAGAAAAATGCTAAACTAGAAAAGTACCATATATGAATATGCAAACTATACAGGTGTAGGACTTATTTATTTTTCATTTATTCATCTTTTGACCACTTAACTTTAAGATTCCTAATTGGGGTTGCCCTCTCCCTTTTTTCTCAAGTAGGATTTTATTTGAGAAGTATTTTTAAAGGGCTGTGAGTAAAAGAAAACATTTTGTAGTAAAAGTTTCTATTAAAAAAAGATTTTGACACTGAGGCTACTATCCCGAGCAGACAATAAATGAGTAAAATGTAAAATGAAGTTGTGTTTTAAAGGTGTAAATTTAAATTTGAAAACATCTTGACTTCTTCCACCGCATTTTATTGAATAATAGATGAGAAAATGATAAATGAAATCGATGCAATGTAATGAAGTTTCAAAAACGAGCCGTCGCTACGTCACTTCCGGGTATAGACGGGCAGTTGTAGAAAAAAAAAAATCTGGTTGCCATGAATTTGAGCTTGCTAGCCACCGATAAATGTCTGCACAGATGAGTAAAACCATCCATGTCAAGAAGGAAGGAGGGTTCCCGAAGTCTTGTGCTGCTTCTGAGTCCGTATAGGAGCACAAGAACCTGCCTGCCGACCTACTGTGAATCGGTGAGTAGCTAGCTTAGAGACGAGCGAGCTGGCAGGCTAGCCGCTGCCGCTAGCTGCTTGCCTTGCTAACGATAAGTGGTCGTATTTTTTTGTCAAATTGTTGGTCTTCATCTATTCAATTAGTGTTGGTTTGAAGCTTCAATGGTGTGTCGCTTCTCCGTTCTTTTAATTGCATGAATGCACGGTCAAGACTCTGCACCCGTTATGTGTCTATACCACCGGCTAACGATGGAGGTTAACACCGTAGTTAACCATAGTGCTACCATTAGCAGATCAGTCGCTCCCTGTTGCTCTGTGTATCCGTGAGTGGGGGTGTTTTAATTAGTCACAAATGTCCATAATCACAAGAGGACATCTGAATCACTTAATCCCCTTCTGAGATTAGCTTTAGCAGACTCGACATCTACAATACAACCCCAAACAAACGCGGGGCAGTCATCAGATACTAGTCTAAAATGATGACAATAACAAAATGCATTACCAGCTGGAGCTGTTGTATTTTGTATTGAGTTTTCTCTTACCTATACCTATAACGTTAAGAGTGTATATGTCTGAATTGCATGGATGATAATATGTTGATCTTCTTGATTAACAGGAATGTGCGTTAGCTTCTGAAAGACCACAACCACTTCATCGCACATCCCTTTATACCAGCATATTAGCATGTAAAGTGTGTGGCCTCATGATGTCAAACTACTAAAATAACCCCACCCTTCTTTTCTTTTATCAAGACCCCACTGGCTCAGTGTCTAAAAGAGGAAACCTTGGTACCCTTGAGTGCCAATTCATTCCAAGGCCCAAGGATTTCTGTATCCAGGTACGTGTACTACAGGATGTTTGGTGTCAGGTTACCCCTGAGATAGTGAGCAGGGTTTGTTATGTGCTGTGTACACTGACCAGCCACAATATTATCAAAAAACCTGAGCAATCGAATGCATTCAATCGAACAACTGTACCATGAATTCTCCTATTTACCTTCTAAATGATTGTTTGTGGTTGACATGATCAGACAGGTGATTATTGTACTTCATATTTATTATAAGATCAGGATTAAAAATGCGACATAAACAGAACAAAATATTAGAAACACTTTTTATTGTTACACAGTTAAAGGGGTATTCCAATGTAAAATTAATTTAGAGTCAAACACACCGTAACACAGAGAGACACCCCCTCGAGAGATGAATTTCTTTATCATTTCCTTGAAGTTTTAATCATCATATTAATCGTTTTAAACTGCAGACACGGTAGGTCTTCTGCCTTTGTGTATCGGTCTGATTGTATTTCCATAAAGAAATGATCATAAATGTTCTTCCTTAAGCTGCGTCACCTCGCAGCAGTCCGTAATAGACCGGCCTGAGGTCTCGCTACAAATAAGCGGCTGCTGGAAGAGAGTGGTTGAGTTGTGTTAAGTCTCTTTGCTTAAGAAATTAGGCAAAGTTAAAAAGATGTTTGGTGGCTAGTGCTATGGCTAGGACCCTATATGTACTGTTGATGAAGTTAGGTTCTGTTCTGAGCATTATCTGTGGCCATAGAGTGGTGTTTTGGATGAGGTTTGTGCATGGCTCCTCAGACCACTGTGTATTGCTATCCTGCAGTTGTTACTAAAGTTGGTGTAACAAGAGAAGCAAGCGGTCGGCAACATTCATCTCTCGAGGGGCTGTCTAACACAGTGTTACGGTGTGTTTGAATTAATTTTACGCCAGAATATCCCTATAAATACACCACTATCACCTGCCTCAACCTCAGCAATTTATTTAAAGGGCAAACAATTGAACAAAAATGTAGAATAGAGAAGCTTTGAAAGGTTGACTTCATTGTAGAGCTGTTTTGTTAGGTTAGTTGCATTAGTTTACCCAAGTGTTCTTAATCCTGCGTGTATCCTCTATCCTCTGAAATTGGTTAAGTGCCAGTTTTTTTTTTATTCTCCTTCAATTAAACGCAACAAAGCAGCAGAGAATGTGGTAGACGTGAAAAATAAATGAAACCTGCTGATTTTGACACTTCAAGTCTTGAACATTTTCCTCATAAATCTATTATGTGTCTTACTTTGGTTAATGTTGTGTGTGTGTGTGTGTCACAGCTAATGTTTGTGTAAAACTTAATAGTCTGATTTCATATTCAGTCAAACTTAAAATTTAATGTGCGTAGGATGCTTTTGTTTGAAAGCAGGTTCAGGAATCCTGTAAAACACCAAGAGAAGCTCTACTGTGAATTAAAGCTGAAATGACATGCTTTTACATGCAGCAGTAACTCTGATTTTCTTACGGTAAACTGTCTCTTTGATGTTTTTTGACCAGAGGATGAACGGTCTGTCCATACGAGAGCTATGCTGCCTGTTTTGCTGCCCCCCTTGCCCCAGCCGCATTGCAGCCAAGCTAGCTTTCCTCCCTCCAGAGCCAACCTACGCCCTCCTGCCTGACCCAGATCCAGGCTCTGGAGCTGGAGCTGCCTCCGGGTCCAGCTCTGGGGCTGCTCTGCCCTCGCTTGGAGCTCCAGGACTGCGCTCTCGGCTAAGCACCAGTAGTGGAGGTGACAGAGGAGGTGGAGGTGGTGGCGGCGGAGGTGGAGGTGGCGGTGGTGTTGGAGGTAGCGGTGGACCCAGTGGGGGAAGCAGTGGTGGCAGTGGGAGTGAGGGCAGGTGGAAGCTTCATCTCACAGAGAGAGCAGAGTTCCAGTATTCGCAGAGAGAGCTGGATGTGACAGATGTGTTCCTGACCAGATCCAGCCGAGGGAACAGGGTGGGATGCATGTACATTCGTTGTGCCCCCAATGCAAGGTGAGACAAACTGAATCTCCTGGAAAACATGCATCACTACAATGTATCTCTGTGTTTGCTTGGTTTTGAATAGGGTGGCTTTTTTTGCCCTGTGGGAGTGAACTACAACTTTATACTGTAAATGTCCAAATATAAACCAGGGTTTGAATTTGCCTTTACTACAGAAGGTGCTTGGCCTTCACACGAAGCAGGCTTGTATTAGAAAGAGGCGAATATCAAATTCTTCAATTGTATTTATGTCGTATTAATAGACATTCTTGTACAATACGTCAGCGTGACAGAGGTTTTAAATGACAGGCTTCACACTGTTTACAAGACACAAGAACACTCAGGATAAGAGAAATAATAAATATAACATATAACATATTCCTTTGCATGTTACAGTCAAATGGTGCCAAAGAGAAAGGGAGAGAACATGACAGACTGAAAGACTGTGATATGGACATTTTATTATAAAGGCTACTGCTGCTCCGTGACGTATGTCAGTGTATGAAATGAAATGAAATGTGGTCTGGAGTCTGTAAACACAGACAAACAGTGATAGCTGTCACATTTGATAGATGCCTCTGTGGGCTGAAAGTGCAACTATAGAGTAGTGCATCACTTGACAAGTGTTGTTAGTGATGCCCTTGCCAGTGGTGCGTTAATGAGATGCTCTTTTCAGCTGCACTAATTCTGATACATCCCCAGCTGGTGCCTGATCGTTGTGAATATGCTGTCACCCAGTTCTCCATGATGGAAATATGAGAGTAACTCTGCAAGTATTTAGAATCAGGTCCTAATTCATTTTTAAAGGTTAAGGGTCCATTTGCAACTTGATTATCAGTCTTTATTTGAGGATTTGCATCATACATTTTTGAGTCATACAATGAAATACCATTTCTACATCATAACAAGCCTTTCCAGATCAGCATCGTCTCTTTTTAACCTTACTTCCTTCTACTTCTTCCTCCTTTCTCTCTCAGGTTCACGGTGTTGTTTTCTCACGGTAATGCTGTTGACTTGGGCCAGATGAGCAGCTTCTACATCGGCTTAGGCACCCGCATCAACTGCAACATCTTCTCCTACGATTACTCAGGCTACGGTGTTAGCACTGGCAAGCCCTCTGAAAAGAATCTCTACGCTGACATCGATGCTGCCTGGCACGCCCTGCGCTCCCGGTAAGCAGGGAGAAACTGTCTGTTCTCGTCACACAGGGTCCAAAATAAACAGTCAACAAACACCAAATGTCCGTCTGGATGTCTTTGGTAGATAAATAAGTGAGTCACTCACGTCATGGGCCAGATATTTTTTGTGAAGATAACATTTGGTTGGCACAGTTACACACAGCCCTTGTCCCCGCTGACCACATAGCTCGCTCTGTCTCTGACCATCACACAGTCAAATCAAAGCTCAACAATGGCTCTGTTTCAAACAGGCCGGTGATTGGCTGTCATACAGTCCTCTGCAGAAAGAAGCCGCATCTGAAATTCTTATAAATATTCCTCTTGTTTACATTCTGCCAGTGTGGGTACTGGGCCAAGTTACACTCCCATGTGAGGAACTTTGAGGCCAATAGAAAATCAAGAATTCAAGAAAGAAACAGGGATTTTGTGAAATATTGTGAATTTACTCACATAGTTACTGAATCTCCTAACCAAGAGGTTGATACACAGTCTGGTTATGATTTTGCAGCTCCTTTTTGACTTATCTGTCTTTGGCAAATGAGTCAGCATGTTCTGTACTTAATCATGTCAAACCTCAATGAGCGTGAATAAATAAATAGCTGTTTGTCATTAATATTAAATACAGCGGTAATTATACTGGCGTGTTGGACTAAAAGGCATCCTGAACTCTGAATTGCCATATGGGAATTTTCATACTCTTAAACCGCACCATCACTGCTTTTACGCCTTTAGTTTTTGTAAAAAGGAGACTCTTATTGAAATAGACTTGAAAACATGTGGCTTATTCTGTCTCAGGTATGGCATCAGCCCAGAGAATATCATCCTGTACGGACAGAGCATCGGCACAGTGCCCACAGTCGACTTGGCATCCCGGTTTGAGTGTGCTGCTGTGGTCCTCCACTCTCCCCTCACCTCTGGCATGAGAGTGGCCTTCCCTGACACTAAGAAAACATACTGTTTTGATGCCTTCCCAAAGTAAGTTTTTCTCTACAGTTTCAACTGAACAGTTTTTTTTTATGTGCTTTAAATAGAGAAGATGTGTTTTCGATGTGTGTTCAAAGAGAAGAAGAAAACAGCCCATCTGTTTAAAATTTGAAAACAAACATTTACATTTTGGGGGAACTTTCTCAACTTGTTCAATAAGTTTCTGTTAGTGTTGCCCAATATGCTGCCAAGCCAAAATATCATATATGTAAATTAGAGCTGAGTATCGAATCACAGTTTCAGAATGTTACAATTTGCACTTGACAGGAAAACTGTCATTTATTGCAGTGGTTCTCGAGGCCCACTGTCCTGCATGTTTTGGATGTTTCCCTGCTCCAACACACCTGATTCAAATGATCAGCTCGTTATTACGTCATTGCAGAGCTTGATAACGAGCCGATCATTCGAATCAGGTGTGTCGGAGCAGGGAAACATCCAAAACATGCAGGACAGTGGGCCTCGAAGACTGGACTTGAGAACCACTGATTTATTGCTATGAAGAAGAAAAGTTATTCTAAGTAATTAAGCAATTCGTGCTTTATCTCACAGAAAGTGTACATGGTAACTTTTTTAACACGCTGTCACACTGCTCAAATGCAGTCATATGAAGCCTAAGATAGCTATCAGTTACTCTCAGACTAATTGATGCCAATGAAGAGAGGACAATAAAGATTTGGGGGCTGTTCTCACATTAGAGGGGAAATATTACAAAACAGGTGTCGTGTGAAACAAAGATAAACAGAGAGACAAAAGAAACTGAGAATTAAAGCTAATTTTCACTCAGGATTTCACCAACTAATCAACTAGTTTACCACTAGTCTGTGCTGTGGGCAGTTGTCCACTCGATGAATAATCAGTACCACAGCATATGGGTCTGACCTTGGCTTTGTCGTGGCTTTTATGTTGCCAAAATATAGTGATCGCACCACAGAATACTATTGTGACTTAGCACCAGTACAGTTCATTCTGCATCTTTCTTAGTCTCAACTCACCAATTACTATTTAAAAAAAACTAGGTAGTAAAAATGATAAGTCCTGAAACCCCTAATGTTTAGCTTTTTATCACAGTCCATGTTGTTTTATTTATGTAAAGATCATCTTTCCAAACTCCCATGACAAAGTGCTTCACAGAATAAAAACCAAACTGAACGAGGCAAGCATTAGATCACAGAGTGGCTAATAAGACTGTGATCTAACTCCGTATTCAGGGCATCGTCATTAAATATTATTTGTTTATTTATCTATTTATAAAATTGTGTTATTGCTTCATAGTGTATAGAAAAGTAGATATCATGCATACAGGTTTTTTAGCCATGGCTAATTTGCAATCCCTGTCACTCGTTAGGCTTCCATAAGTGAAAACAGAAATGACGGAGCATTGAGTATAAATTACTATTAAATTACCATTTTTAATTACCATTAAAAAAACACAGTAATTTCAGTATTCACAATTAAAATGAAGGACTGAAAGATGGATACTTAAAAGAAAATCAAACCAACACTGTTATTACACATATTCACTGAGATAATTCCACAGCAATTATACACTATAACATTATTTACACATTACAGTCACAGGTTACACAAGAACACTGTGGGCAGTGTTGCATATCGTTTAGCCCTCATTGTAGCAGAAATGTGTTTTCTAAATGTTTATCATTGGATTCCCATTAGTTGTTACCATGGCAACAACTACACTCCAAGGTCTCATATATTTTGCTGCCTGGGGGTAGATGATGTACCTTGATTTATCAGGTAAACTTAACATCCCATCAAGGTACTTTGTAGTTTCATAATGAATTTTCAGAGAGTGTAATTCATTTTGATTATCTGTATGTTTATCAGGAAAAATTTGATATAGTAAGATTATCAGAATTTGATGAGACAAAAGTCAACTTGTCTGCACTAGAACTGTATTAAACAATCCCTGACTGTACAGCTTTTGTTGAACTGACAGAGAGAAAAAACTAACTTCTTTGGCCATTTTTAAAGCATCAAGGTTTGATAATACTCACTTAATTCTGTTTCCACTATTTCCGCTCTCTGCATGTGTTATAGTTGCTGTTGTTAGTCGTCGCTGACTAAAACCACCAGTTTCTTTAGCCAAAAGATATCCTGGTTGGCGCCTTGAACTTCCCCTCATCTTTCTTCCAGCATCGAGAAAGTGTCCAAGATCCCGTCTCCAGTGCTCATCATCCACGGTACAGAAGACGAGGTGATCGACTTTTCGCATGGCCTCGCCCTGTTTGAGCGCTGCCCCAAGGCCGTGGAGCCCCTCTGGGTGGAGGGAGCGGGTCACAACGACATTGAGCTTTACAGTCAGTACCTGGAGAGGCTACGGCGCTTCATCAACCAGGACCTAGCTGCACAGCACGCCTGAGAAACAAACAAACAAACAGCCTCTCTGCATTTGTATGAATGAGTGTGTAAATGAGAATGGTGTCAGCATGTTTGAAAGGTATGGGTGGAAAAATTTACCTAAAAAAAAAAACAAGTTTAACTAATAATTTTTCCTCACATTTGTGTGTCTTTGAAGCAGCACACTTTTAGGTTACCTTTCTACACAACATATGTTTGAATAGTTTCCTGTTTCGAAGGTGAGACCACTTTTTAATACATCATTAGCTGCATCCATCTGTGAGGCAGCGAAACGTTGAAAACATGTTCTGATTACACAACTTCACACACGGTTTTTAACAGGAGAATCACAGCTTTAAGATGTGACTCAAGAAGTGTACGCAGTTCTTAGTTTGAAATAGGCACACAGATGTAATCTTTGAAGTTTGATGTTGTCGGTGAATGTATGAGCCATAGATGTTAGTGTCGAGTGTGTATTCATATCTTCATGGACACCTGAGTCAAATGTGTGTGTGTGCGTGTATTTGTATGTGTGTGAAAGAGGTGGTGCTGAAAGAAAAATGAAGGACATCTTGAAATCTTGTTTGGCTGCAAGTGAAGGAGGCTCATGGAAACTTCTTGATAGTTTTTTTTTTTTTTTTGGTTTTCAATGCGTGTGTGTATGAAGAATACCTCCACAGCTTCAAAGCGCATCGCTTGACCACTTATCTCTCTCCGGTGGACAAAAATGGTCAAGCAGGTGCCCCTCACTTTTAAATTACCCCTTCTTCACTCAGTTTACCTGTTCATGGACATTCACCTGACTGCCAGGGCATTTCTCACGCTGTCATCCAGCTAACACTACCCTACTTCTCTCCTGTGGTTTGGGGGTCCATCCTCTTTACTGTCGATTATCTTTGAAACTCAAGGACTGGTCTGGAATCCCGTCATAACTTGAATGGTTGAGCATCTCACACATTTCCTCTGTTTTGACTCTGGAATGGTCATCTTACACTTCATTTCCCATCCGGGCTGTAGGTTCAGCCTCCTACTCTCTACTGAATTGCACCCTGATTATCCGTACTGACTTTCCCGACCCAGTACCCCGACATATATGTGATCAAGAATGATTGTATGGTTGCAGTGGATACAGGTCTCAGGCAGCAGCCGCACACTGATTAGATCATGTGTAGCCGATTCTTTAGCATAACAGCAGTCGGAGTGAAGGTTTACTTTGTTGTTCTCATGTCAAATTAGATCAAGTAGCTCAGATGTTTAAAGGTTTAGCACACCACACTGACTTTGTCACAGGATAAATAAGTCACCTTTTAAAGGAGTAGTTCAACATTTTCTGGAATGTTTTCTTTCGTGTTTAGAGTTGGAGGAGGAAATTTGTACCACTATCGTCTGCAGGCAAGGAAGAGCAGAATCAGGCCCCAAACCAGTCGTGAAAAAGTGTTTCATTTTTACACCTGAGTCTTTGTATACAAAAAGATTCTGAATGTAGAGGTGCTAGCAGGTAAATTTGTTACCTTTGTACAAGCAGATGAGCTCTTTAAACGCTTTTTTTCCAGTCTTTATACAAAGCTAAGCCAACCAACTACACGCTGTAGCTTGTAATACTCAGCATCTAGACATGGGGAGTGGCAAAGAGCAAATGAAGGGTTCTCTCACTTTAAAACCACTCTTTACTTCAAAGACTGAGATCCTATGGCTGGATTTGGAGGTTTCTTAAGGTGTAAAGGTACAAGGTGACGAGGTAGCTGCTCATTTCACCAAACTAAAGAGGATTTGTGTGAATTTGGTTCATAATATCCTCTCACTTCATCACTTTGTGAAACTGATTTACTCGTGGTCTCACAGTGCAGTTTTTTTCCAGGTTTTGCTCCAGGAAAATTGATTACCTAGGTTCAGTCCGCCTCATGTTCTCTTTGACCCTCATGCACATTTTTTTTTTCCCAGCGTTTTTGTCTCGATGTAATTATTCTGAACGTGTTCGTTGTAGTGTAGGGCCATGGATCGTGCGTTTCAGAACCCGGCGTGTTGACGTCATGACAAACCAAGATTCAGATGTGGTGCAGGGACGGGACACCATGCCTCCCCCCCTCCCCCCTCGCTCTGTTTAACCTCTGTGGCCCAAATATACAGGAAGCTCTCTTATGGTCGGCAGCACGCTTCATGTGTGACACAAGCCATATTTGAGCCTCTCACTGTTTGTGTGGTGCAGGTTCCACCACACACACACACACATGCGCGCACGTATACATTCAAACACTACTTACAAATACACACACGCGCACACACACTAAACGTACTGTAGAATACGGTGCGTTTACACACTTATATATCAGATCAAGCATGACAAAAGCAGGTCTTAAGTTCAGCACTATTGTACAAAGCATCCAAAGTGTAATAAGGGTATAAAATGTCAGTTTGTGTGTCTTCATTATTATTGACGTGTCTTGTACAGGCCAGCATCAAGGATACTAACATCATGTTTGAATAAGTTGTAACAAACACTGTGTGTAGGCCTGAATATCCCAAGAACAAGAAGGCTAACCCGTTTCAGATCTACACACAGGAGACCCATCAGTGTCAGTGATAGTGGCTGCGTTTTTGTAAGGGAACATAAACTGAACTTGCACTGATCTGATTACTCCATTTTTGGGAGTACAAGTGGGTCTTGGTAAGCTGTGGAATAGTTACTGAACACCAGTTGCTCTCTGTCATCATTTCGAGCAGGGAAACATTCAGTTGTCATTCTGTGTCTCTGATATTTAAATAATGGAGATCTGTTACCATTTTGACCCAGGGATCTGAGCCGTCAGAAGACTGAGAGAGTTGAACACTGCTCTCTAAAATCAGGCCTCAGCTCCTCTTGGAAAAAAAAATCTTGTTTTCAGGGAAACCACTGGATCCACCTTTCACTCATGGGGTTCAAGGCAGGCAGTGGATACTTGTTGTGTAATTGATGCACCACTATGGTTGACGTTTATTGTATCCTCTGGCCCTGAATGTTTATTGATGGGGGTGGGGGCGGGGGGGTCGACAGTGAAAACTGTATGCATGTCTATCGTGTTTTTGCAGAGCAAGTGACGGGGTGGGACACTATCTCTATTATTATGTATTCTATGTGAGGGTAAAGCTGAACTCATGGCATCGGAACATTGAAGCGCTTTTTAAAGAAAAAAAAACAGGATTTTATTTGAATTTTTTTTATTGCTGATACTAACTGATGTAATGTTGAGTTTTGTGCTAGAGTTTGAGTGGGGCAGTGTTTGGTGGGTGGGTGGGAGGGGAGGGGTGGGCTAGATAATATTGGTGGGCTGTTTATATGGTTACTGTACTTACCTATTCTATTCTTTGTATTATGATTTGTAATTTTATGTTGCTTTTTTGAACTGAGAATATGATGTAATGAAATTAATTCATGGGACTGAATCTTGACCTTTTTATGGACAACAAAATAATAAAAAGATCACTTATGTACAAAATGTGTTGTCTTTAAGATTTGTTTTGATCCAATACAAAAATAGAGTAAATGTAATGATTTAAGAACATCTGGATGACCTTACTGGGACAGAAATATAGATCAAATCCTCAAAAAGGGACAACAGAGACTTTACTTTCTTAAGAAACTGGTGTCCTTCCAGGTTGACAAAACCATGCTGAAGTTGTTTTGCAGAGCTTTTGTTGAGAGCGCTCTGACATTTTGTATTGTTTGTTGCTACAGGGCTTTAACAGAGTCGCAAAAGAGCTCCCTTAAGAAGAATAATCACTGTTGCGAGCAAAATCCAAGGCATTCCCCTGAACAGCCTACAGGACATTTATCTATCTCGTGCCCTGGACAAAGCTGAGAAAATACTCTCAGACTCAAAACATCCCTTGTTCAGAGGGTTTGAGCAGCTGCCCTCAGGCCGCAGATACCGGTGCCCAGCCCTCATAAAGAACAGGTCCAAGCGGTCGTTTGTACCACAGTTGATTTTACAATTGAATAAACTAAAATAGATTGTGAGCAGCTTTATTTTATTATTATATTATTATTTAAAGACTATTTATTGAAATACTTTTTTGAATTGACAAAGTACAGTACAGTAGTATTTTTATACTGTCTTTTCTGAGTTGTTTTGTTTTGTTTTATATGGGAGAGTGTACGGAACTGTGTATATGTGCTGTCTTTGTGCATGTTTTCAACTAACTGCAAATGAATTTCCTCACAGGGACAATAAATTCAACCTACCTACCTACCTTACTACACAGCTGTGGTTGTCAAGTCCAGTCCTCGAGGCCTACTGTCCTGCCACCTGATTCAAATGATCAGCTCGTTATCAAGGTCTGTGATGGCTTAATAACAAGCTGATCATTTGAATCAGGTGTGTTGGAGCAGGGAAACATTCAAAACATGCAGGACAATGGGCCTCGAGGACTGGACCTGACAACCACTGCTACACAGTGAAATGAATTGATTTATCCTTCATAAAACCAAGCAAAGTTTCTACTTTAATCAACGGTTATGAGTACATGTTTATTGTCCTTACTACACAAAAAAGTAAAATCTGAAATATGAAACATATCCTACTTTGCCTATCACTGCCTAAAGAGGAAAAGAACAATCTGTATTTGATTCCTCTGTAAGTTAAAGTTATGTGACTGACTGCCCTCTGCTGGCTTATTAATGTCATTGCAGTAAATCGACACAATACATTACACCTGCAGTTACCTTACACAATCTGAACCCTTATCTTTAACGCAGGCATCATTCAAATCCAAAGACTGAACAGGGTTTTTTTCACCTTCATGTAAAGATGAAATCTCTTTGGTTCTCTGTGGTGGAGGTCGTGTTGATCCCACTCTGCAGAAACATCTGCTTACTGAGCTCAACTGTCCACCAGCCAGGAAACAAACCTGGCTTCAGCAAGCTGCCTCCATATGGCCCATTGCTGGAGAAATTGCAACCTTTTTTTATATGTCAGCAGAAAATGATTGCACTCCTAACAGAAGTACTGTTCTGGCGTTTTTTTTTTTGCCAAGCAGTCAGTCATCCATGTGACCACCCACTGCATATGGCTATGTTCAGATTTACAGAGAGCTGATCGAGGGGATTTCAAAGCTGTATCCTCTATAGTCATCGTTTTCACACAGGAGGTTAACTTTTATTGTTTACAAAACAGTTAATTTCTTGACATAGTATTTATGCTACTAAGTGCTTTACATCATAAAGTGGAAGTCTCTCAGTCTGCTAAGATGCTTCTGGGAGCTTGTCTAGACAGGGATCAATGTGTGCAACAGGATCTTAATAGTGTAGAGCATTGCATGAGTTCCTCAAAGGATTTGTCACAGCCAGCTGCCTCTGGCTATGTTTCCTGGTACCTGCATGGGAAATGGAAAGAGCAGCGGTGGAGAGAAGTTACATTTTATCATATGAGATTTGAAAAAATCTAAGCTCATCGTAGAAATGGACCTGCAGTGAAAGTGAGAAGCAATAATAGAAAAATACAAAAGGTGTCTGTGATGCAGAATGGTTATGATTGTAGATGCACTCATTTTTGTACAATACAATACAATACAATACAATACAATACAATACAATACAGTAGAATAACTTTATTGATCCCCGAGGGGAAAGGTATTACTACATACAAATTCATTCAGAGCTTGTAGCAGCTTTTCTTTATTAACCTTCAACAATGAATCATTTATTATTTGGTATCTCATGTGTCTGAGAAGACATCGTAACAGCTCTGAAATATATAAACAGTAAAAAAAAAACATTTTAGAGCACAAAGTAGGAATTTAAATGTGTATTAGTTCAGATTAAAAAGGTTTACGTACTGTCCTTTACTAAGACAGAAACACATTTTGTAAATTAACTTCATAATAGATTTTTTCAAATATCTTTATTTTGACTGTTTCATCTTCAAGCGTGACTAAGTCAGTAAGGGTTTTTCCACAGCATCATCTTAAGGTCACATTTAGGACACAGTGGTGTGATGGGAGGAACGTTATCAGTGATCTTACGTCTGTGCTGCTGTCACAAACCTGTAAAACTACTCTGCTTCTGTCTAATCTCATCTACTGGCTACGGTTTTAAAAGTCACCAAAACCGGTTCGGGCTTGGTCATGTGTTTTTTCTGCAGTCCCCAAATCACTTCCTCCTTCATCTTCTTTTCAGCAGCTTTTCTTTTCTTGTCTTTCTGAATGTTTGGGTGATAACTCACTGTCTGTGTCTCAAAGCCAACTCTGTCAGGGTCCCTAAAGAGTTAAGCTGCTCCTCCAAAGCGATGATTCTCAGTCCAATGTACCCTGATGCCACCAGCAGCAACGCCATCCTGCAAACACAGACACAAGAATTACGTGAATGCTTTGTGTTTTGCTGTCACACGCTACAACACTTTACCCTCTGGGGAAAGCACATTTTTTTCGTAGAGCAGATCAAAGGCTGAGCGGGGACAGGAACATACTGTACAACAAAAACAATGTGATATCAGTAAATTGTATCTGCGTGCAGCCTGTGAGAACATTGTGTGGTGACATTTCTAAAACTACATCTCAAGGATTGCATTTCCTCAGCCCAGAAACCCATGAAAAGATGTGCGTCCAGGTGCAAAATTCATCTAAGAAATGTAAACCCAAAGCAGTAAGAGTTTTGGGGGCTTCTGTGTACTCTTTCAAAAAACCCAATCTGATGTTTTGAGAGAATTTACATTTATATTAAACCTCTATGGTTCACAAAAAAAAAAAAAAACACTCAATTTTAGGTCTTAAGGGGAACTGTTACTGATAAATCTAAGTGAAAAACTGTTCAATGAGAATTCAATATATATAATATTTGAAATAATTCAATAAGAACAAGTCTATTTGTACTCTTCCATATTCTATTGAGCAGCTGTAATTTAAATTAAATTTAAAACAGTGTGTCTGAATCTGTAGCAGCAAACTAATGGTGATAAGAGTACCTAAAACTATCCTTGAGCACAGTCTCTGAGTAAATCTAATTGACTTTTATACTCACAGTGTCACATAGATGTAGAAGAGAATGCTGAGGTTCCTCATGTCGCTGACAAAGAGGAACGGTGCAACTCTCTCCAAGATGCTCCACATCCACGGTCTCTCTGCTGGATTAAAAAAAAACGTTTTATTCCTTTTTGACACTTTTCTCTATACTAGACCAGGTAGTATAATGGTCACAATAAATGGACTGTGTTCATAAAGCTCACACATTTACGTTACATGTCACTTTCACAGCTGCCATGTTAAGTGTCTATCAGGATTAACTAATCCTGTCCACACATTTGGGGTCAAGTATCTTGTCTAAGGACACTCCAACATGTGGAACCCCAGACCTTCTGATTGAGAGATGTCACAGCTGCCCTACAGTGAAATGTCAGCTGCTGTTCGGTAGCCAATAGGCAATAAATCAGTCATTTTAACCTGAAGCATGGTCAGCTATGTATTTAGCTTTTTGATGTCCATCGTCCTATAAGTTCACTTTTGGTAACACTTTACAATAAGGTACAACAAAATACAATAGTTACTGAGGAACTAATAAAGAACTAACGGGGAAATAATGAGAAGTTACTGTGGAACTTGGGCACACGAAATGAGAGTATAGTTACTGAGGAAGTAATCTAACTATTTGATAATGATCAGTTCTTAAGTAACCCCTGATCAAGTTAATGAGGAACTAAGGCATGCAAAATTAGAGTAGTTACTGAAGAACTTCACATTAACTAAAAGTTAGTTCCTCATTCATTCAAAATTTGTTTCTTAGTAAAAATTCTTGTGATTGCTTGTAAAGCTGAAGAATTTACACCTATCCTGTAAACTATGCGGCTTTTTAACAGACGAGCTTGTTAGAATATCCGAGTCAGCAGACTCGAGTGTTAATGCTCCAGAAGTTACAGGTGATATTAAATTGGAGTCAAAATCTTTTGTAACATTTGTAACAGTGTGACACGTCTGATGAGTTATTCTCACTAGACATACAGCCCATTTTATCTTTTTAATGTCCACTGACACTAAAGGTGCTGATAAATTGGAGAGGAGTAAAATGCAGCTGGTTCATGAGAACAGCAGTACATTATGTTGTGGCTTAAGGAAAATGGTTGCCATGTATATTTGCTATGTGCAACTATGTGTGAGCTCGACCACACACCTCGAGTTTCTGGGTCTGCAATACTGCTTTGACGTGTGGAATTGGTCCTGGAAGGACCTACAAAGTCACAAACACACATATGCATTGTTCCCCATGGTGTTGTTGAAATACTTGGTGTTAGGGTTGAAGATTTTTAATGCTAGTATCTCAGATATTACCATCTTGGCACGACTCCCATACAAGACACTGCTGACAAATCATATTGTACTCCAGTTTTTCTCACCTTCGCTGGACATTTGAGGAATGCCAAAGTCGTGGCTGCTCTGTCTGCTCGTATGGTCTATGCTGTCCTCTAAGCTGGAATAAGCGGGGGCCTGTCAACAAGGACAGTGACACCGAAGGTTAGAGCCATCCCGCATCACGCATGCATGTTAGACCCCTCAAACTTTGTTTGCTGCAGCGAACCTACCACGTCATGCTCAGCTTCGTTCTCTGCAGAGGAGAGGTGAGGACTGCTGTTGGGACTCCCCTCCTGTTTGAAACAGAAACATACATTTAACCTGCAGCTCTTCTTCTGTTTCCTTTTTTATGTGTCAGTAGATAAGTGAAACTTACCTTTGCGTATGAGCAGATATTTGTAAGGAGATGGTAACACAGCTCACGGTTCCTCAAAGACACAAAGGTGTACTAATAAAGAAAAAAAAATAAGGGGTTAATTCTGGCAAGAAACAGTCCGTATTTGTGCCCAATATCAAAAAATATGACTATAAGTCCAGCAGGATCCTTACTTAAATGTCAATTTTTACAGCAGGACCAAACATATTTACAACCTTGTCTTTTGTTGTTGTTATAGAGAACTTTATAATTAACAGATAAACTAAAATAAAAACAAAGAACAGAGAACAATATGAGTATAGATGTATTTTTTTGATGTGTAGTCTGACCTTCTCTCCATCTGAAGTCTTAATGGACAACATGGATAAAGCTGAGTTGTATTTCTTCACCTCCCTGACACTGCATCCTGAAACAGCCACCTGCAAGGTCGACAAAATAGCTTTTAATTAAATGTCATCACAGGAATCAAAAGGTCATTAATGTCATTTTACAATCTATTATAAAAGAGAAATAGATAGTACAATCTATTATCTGTTATGAAACATTTCAGTGAAAAGGGAGTCCTTGGTATTTTGAATGCCGGAGGGGATAGTGAATTTGAAATACGCTGATTTAAATGTCAACCTTCTCTTTGACAAAATGTGAGCTGTTCTGCCAAAGTTACAACAAAACTAAGGTCAAATAAATGTAATTCATCAATTTATAAACAATTACTACCCTGATTAAAACAAAAAATCAGCTTACTGGAACTTCACCAGTGTGCACTGGGTTTAGCTCTTGAGTCTAAATTTGTTACCTTGGTGTCTTTGAGCAGCACAGATGAGTGGAAACAAACATGGTGTTCAGATATATACAGCTTTCCATGATACAGCCCCTCCTTCTGCATGGAGCAGGTGAATGCTGCAACAGACACACAAAGACACCACATCACTTAAAGCTGTGAAAACCTTGTCCACAAATGTTTCACCTGGTAAACAGTATCAGCCAGAAATCAGTAAGATAGGAATTTAAAACTGGATGGATCAGCTCACCGTGGGTCAGGTTCTCTGCTTCAGGGATATCCGGGAAAAGTTTGTGAAAGCTTTTGTTGTGCTTTTTGAAGCTCTGTGGGGGGGAAATAGTCAAGTGTTAAAAAGCTAAAACTCAGCATACAGTAATACGGTGGGTTCATAGTAGTCCTTCACACTGGTTAGAAAATGTCACAAAACAGAGTAGAGACAAAAAAGAACCTGCTGCTGCTCGTAAGGTCTCTAAAAGATGACTAGACACTTGTAAATATTGAAATTCAAGGATTTACCGTTAATCCAAAAACATTAGAGCTTGTGTATCTTCAGGTTACAGGTCAAATGAACATTTATACTTTTTAACCGCTCTTTTAATTGTTTTCATTTAGATCTGCACCTCATGATGTACAATTACTATCTTACATTTCAAATAGAAAGCGTAGTTTTATCATGTAGGAAATAAAGCACACTTAACACAAGAAATTATGAAATTAAAAAAAAGTTACATTGACAAACCATCATTGATTTAAACTGATATGTCTAATAACAATATTATTCAAATTATGGAGTTGTGTTTCTGACCATCTCGGTAATGTTTGTATGTTTTGGCAACAACTCCTCTGTCTCTCAGGTGCCTAGCGCTTGCTAATGTTCATAAGCTATGCATCCCCTGTGTGCATACTGTATCATACTGAGCTGGTGGGCCTTAATTACAGTGAGATTTTATAAGTTACAGCTGCCAGGTACAGGAAAAAGAAGACTTTTAAAAGCATTGGCAGTGGGCTTAAACAGTAAAATTACAGATTGCTCATACAGAGAATAAACAGGACATTCTGTGAAGCTGGCATCATTATGCAAAATGAAATTACAGATTTGTTTCTCTCCTTTTACCACTTTCACATATTAATTGCATTAAAGTAAATGATATATTGTTACCATGAAAGTATGAAGCTGAGCTTTAAACATCAAGGAGTAAGATAACATGCAATTACATTACTGTTGATGAGTCCATCTGGTTTGTCCATGTTCTCCTCTGCTATGGGCTGCTCCCTGAAGACACAAACAAGATCATAACACAATTAACGTTCTCAGGATTTTAAGTAAAAAAACCCTCTAATACCTTAAAATGCCTGTGTGGTATTTAAAGCAGTTTACCTGAGGGGGGCACCGGAATTCATGGAGCGATTTAGCTCCTGGAACTCCATCCGGGCATCATCCAGGCTCTGGGTCTGTTTGGATTTCTTACTGCCGAGTTTACCGCCACTTCCTTTAGCACCGAGAAGTCCTGCTCCGTCTGCAATACTGTCTCAAGAGAGCAGGGAAGATATAATTGCTCAGTGAGGATGCAGCACACAGGTGGGACTGACATAACAATGTCACATGAATAAATAAACAAAATGAAAACACAAAGATTATGTAACACTATACAAAAGTAAATGTGGGAGACAGCAAGTCCTGTCTTGTCACTATCTTTACTTGCATTGTTTTCATCAGGTGAGGCTTTATTTCCCACAGAGATTGTTGATTTTACATGATGTATCAACAAAACACCTTTTACTGTAGTCTATCATCAACAGAGTGTCAGGAGCACTGTAGGCTGAAGAGTAAAGAGGTAGTATACGTGACTATACTGTTGATTGAAGATTATAAATTATATATTTCAGTTTGAATCGTTCCTGGGGGTGAAGTAAAACTAGCTAAAACAACCTGTAACAGCTGTCCTCTCCAAATTGAGCTGGCTGTCCCACCATAAGGCCTGAGGTTAGTTTGCACTGTCTGAGTAACAGCAGGGGTCTCTGGAGGACACTTTTACATCTATTCACCAATGGCCACAAACGCAAAAGCGACTTAACAAGAATATTGATGTACATTATGCACTTTTTCTCATCTCCATCAGCTGTAAAAGAGAAGTATAAGTGACCAAATATAACCAAGAATATCAAGGTAACAGAGAGTTCAGGTAAAAGTCACTGAAAATGTCGGATATTTACTCACACAGAGCTGTCCAATGAGAATCTCCTGCTTGCCATTGTCGCGTTAAGACACGAGCACTCCCAGCTCCTAGAATTCAAACACTTTTAGACTCTCAATGCAAAACCACCTTCAATTTCAAGTGTGCATACTCGTAAACACTCCAGAGGTTAACTTTGGCTCCTTTTTCTGAAAGTAACTCAAAACAAGCAAGACGCAGGTGAGCATTAGACTCGGGGACAGCCTACTTCGAGGGTTGGCTTTGTGCTGTAAAATTAGCCAATCAGGAGTGAGAGACAGGGGTCATCGCCCGAGATCAACCAATCAGCGAAGGCAGCGATTGGCTCTTGGTGGCAACGGTTGCTACAGGTGGCACCTGCTACAATGGGCTGTCATTTTGACACACAAGTCTGAACACAAATGCTTGTATTGCGTTTATAGTTATGGGGAGCCTGAGGGTATGAACTTAGAAAAGGCTCACAGTATTTACTCTAACTCAAATTTCTGTCCTGGAAAATAAAACATGTCTTACATCTCCAATAATCCTTTTAATGGTTAAACAGTGAAAGCTCTCCCTTTTCAAAAAGTCTTTACTCCCAGGATTAAAAGCTGAAAGTGTATGGTGTTTCAGTACACTCCTGTGCACATGTAGGCCTATACACAGTGTGACAAAGTTATGCAAATGTCATGTGTTTTCAGCAGTACAGCCGGCTCAGCCTGCACAGATGGATATCAGAGGGTGACTTATGGCCTACAGCTTGACACAACAACAAAGAAACCCTCTGGCAAGTTTTCCATACCTTGAAGATGTGATAAATGCTCAGAAAAAGAAAGAAATGTCATGTGTATTGTTGTGCATCAGATGTACTAATAGTAGTGTGTTACTTTTAGCCTACATAGCCAGCTTGCTCTGTGTTTAAGTCTAATGTGTACAAGCTCAGTAGTGTTTCCACATGATTGTTATGCTGCTTGTCAAACAGAGAAAAACAAACGAGAAATTGAACAAATATTTGTGTAAATACAACTGGTTTGACAGAGGGACACGGGGTCAAACAAATGTCACCTGATCAGTTCTCACTGAACGTCTTATACGACTGAGGAAAAGGGTGGAAATAGTCTGTTTTAGTGGTGATATTCTGGGTGTAGTAGAGACCGCACAAACTGTGAGGGCTTGGAGAATATTTTTCTTTATTCGTTCAGTAAAGATGCTTTGAGGTTGGCTAAGTTATTCTCAAAAGTTTGATTCAAACAAGACAAGAGGGACTTTGACATTACTTCATTTTACACCTCCAGATTTTATAATGGTTCTGTTGTGGACAATAGTTTCTATATTGCAGATATTCTGAATTAATGGTATCATTACTGAACATTCTCCTCTTTATGAACTCTTGGGAATAATTGTACTTTTCAGTGTTGGTTTTTATGCAGAGTAGAGCGTTATGCTTCCTTAGCAATAAAGTCAAAATCTTGGCTGTGTACACAGGGGATCCGTTTTTACTTTTATTCTATCAGAGTCTTGATTTTGGTGTTTCAGTTTAGTTATAAAGTAATAATATAAAAGCACACAAGTGCATTCAATTACAATCGATATTATTCCTGAAATGCCATGAACAGTACACATACAGTTACCTTCAACCAAGTCCAAGTGTATTCAGCTAATATGGCAACTCACCTTCTTGTCCAGCTGTCCAGTCTTACCACATAGAGCCACGTGGTTATGTTTGGTCACACCACATATTGACTGTCTTTATTTCCTTCATCTTTACCCTATCTCATCCTTTATCTTCTTTTGTATGAAGCTCAGGGAGCTATGATCCTTGTCCATGTACTCTAATTTTTATTAAGAACTTTGTAAACCTTGAGTATGATCAAGATAGATGATCAGCATCATGTATGATCAGCATTTAGTCTCTGTATGAAAACCTTTCCAGGTTCTCCATGACCTTTGAAAGGATTTTTTATGGTCAGGTTTTATAGTCCTTGGGGATATTTGCAAACATATAAAGATGGACATTTGTAAGGGGCCGCTGTGGACAAATATAAAATGTTGATTTGTATATTCTTTTTAAACAATAAGATGATGTTATGGTCTTTGTGAATCCTTTCAGCTGAGGTGCACTGATAATTTCTAGTTGACAGGGTTTCAAATGATCAGCATTTTGAAATAAACATGCTCTTTCATGCTCAGCAGGTGTTTGGAGAAAAAGCACTTTGAGGTCACATAGATTTTCATAACCGTGTCTCGTCGCTATGAGGCAGACACAAAAGCAGATCGGCCGGCTGATGAAAACGAATACTTCTCACATGAATGGGGTTGATTTCGGTCTGTATAGTCCTTGAATCAGAACTGAAGGTGTCAATTTTCTAGGCCTGTCCTAACATACCTGAAGGAGCCATGACAACATTCAAACAACCATAAACAAAAGCAGTGAATTGTCCTGTGATTGACAGAACAATACATTCTTCTTATCCTGTTTTCTCCGTAACCCTTTCTCTCTAATTACGTTTAAAAATATGAGTACAAAGGCTAATGGTTTTCTGAAGAAGTAGAGAGTCAATCCGGTGATAAGGAACAAATACCTCTGTTCAGGTGCAGCAGGTTTTTATATCAACAGATCAGATTATAATGCGAAACAATGAGGATTACGTGTCTCTATCTGAACTCCACATAATCAAAGGACTTGTACAGAAAAATCAGATATGAGGGGTGCTGTGATGAGGTCAAATGGACGATATCAGTGAGTTTAATTATAAGTGAATGAAAGCTAATTTCTTTTCCCTGTGTGTGGGTGTGCGAGTCCAGCTGTACTCGAGCACAGCGTCACTTATGCAAGGAGCAACATTCCTTTCTGTCTCTGAACACTAAACATAACACTAGATGTACAGAGAGTCAAAAAAAAGGCACACAAATGGAAAACATAAGAGATAGTCTGAATACCTTTTGTCATTCACTCATTCAGAAACTGAAAGGAGAGTTTTTCCTGGTTCCTGTAGACCTTCAGTTTGAGTGAGGGCATATTGTTCAAACACCGGCTATAGCTCTTCAAGCAACACCAAAGAAAGTTACTTCAAAAGGGAGAAAAAGAAATATAACAATGATGGTTTTGTAGTTGGGTCGTATGGATGGTTCAGTCTTGTTTGATCAAAGTTGAGTTGTCTGGTTTACTCTTCCAGTCCTTGTACTAAGCTATGTTCAGACAAATTGATAAAACAAAGCTAAAACACTGATAAATTGAAAATTTGTAAAACCAAATCTCAACAGGTCATATTTGTGTATTTTAGCAGATATAGTGAAAAAATGATTTTTGTTTCTTAGCAGCCAAGTTAGCTGTTGTCTCCTGCTTCAGGTTCTTAAAAGCTAAGATAAAATATCTGCTACAGCCAGTTTGACTCATTCAAAATACAACAGAAAAATATATAAATGACTCAAAACTTAAGACTTTTCAAAATCTGCATTTTCATACCATCCTTAGTACTTACCTGTCACTCAAAAAGGAGAGCTGTTCACCTAGTTTCCAAATCCAATGCCACTAGCTCATCTTTCAACACTTCTTTTCTCCTCAGGTTGAATAAGACGATTCTGGTGATTTATGTAATGAGCTGTTGCAGCAATAATGTTTTATTTTACTCTTAAAGGCCTTTTGATAATTTTTGGACTACTTGTACTGTTAAGACAATGACTGACTTATCCACTGTATTGAAAAACATTTGGATGCCAAAAGAGGGGGTCTTGTCAAACTGTGCTTAATGGGAGAACAGTAGACAAACATATATTGATGAATAAAAAAAGGATCAATAATTTAAATATTTGAAAAGTAAAGCAGGGGAACCGTCCCCTTGTTATTATGGCAATGTCAAAGGTAAAAAGCAAAGTATTAATTATGTTCTTACTGAAAAGTTAATTACAAATAGCTTGCTGTTTTGATTTAAGAATAATCACAGTCTACATTGTTTTCATTAATAATTTCATGTTTTTTTTAACCATTTGCCATCCCTTAACTACTCAATTTTCCTTTTTAATGCATTTTTTTTGCCCCTTTTCTATGTGTAGCCTTATCTCTTATACACAGTGTGTGTGTCAGTTACTGCATTAAAAAGTCTGCATGTCCTTATCGTTATTATGACACAGAACAAGTACCCTAGTATAGCAAACGTTAATGTTCAGCAAAACAAAAACATTGGTATTTAAAATATTTTTTGTATGGTGGCTCATCAGTCAGCGGTTTTTAGAAGGGATACTTAATTAACATGCAGAGCTCAAGAAGTCATCCCAGAAAGAGAAGACATAGAGCAAGTGCAGAAGTGTTCCTGAGTGTCTCTGAGACCTGATGGACTTTGCTGTAATCATTGATTTTACTTCCTGAAAGCCTACCTTTTATTTTACAGAAAGTTTTGAGGAAAATCCAATAATGATCCAATAATAGTCTAAATTGGGTAAAAAAGTGTCTCTGGAAAAAAAATCTGTGAGAGTGGGATATTCTCATCCCCTTCTCACATTGCAGTGTGCTCACCTGATATGGAGAGATGACCGGAATCCTGCATTTCCGGGGATGGTCTCCTGCTCAGTTACAGATCAATGACTTTTCAATCATATCATCATCTCCTTCTTAACCATAAATCAATGACCTATCGATCATGTCATCATCTCCTTCTCAACCATAAATCAATGACTTTTTGATCATATCATCATCTTAATATCAATGTCCTGGTATTATCAATTATGATTAGGACAACAGTAGATCAGTGTTGTGTCAACATCACGGCCATCATTGTTATAAATAATCAGTTTTCATCGTTTTTTTGATCTTGTATTGAAATTTCAACCTCAACCATAATAATTCTGATGGAAAATCAACACTGATTCAGCGATGTCTGTCTGTCTATCTGGGTCGACTAAAATGGTATTTAATTCCACTCATCAGCCAAAGCGTGTGAGGGTTTCTTTTATACTTTCTATATACTTTTATAGTTCATATAGGTTGCCCTCCTCCGACATACCTGTGGCCCCGTCAAGTGTGCAGAGATATCATCCTCTTCTACATTTGTAATTATGTGTGAAAGTGAAATTTTTTCTTGGAAGAACCATTCTATCATATTTAGCTCTAGATAGTAAAGGTTGAAAAAATTAAAAGGGCTTCAAAAACAAAGTTGAAAGATATGCCTCATCTCCATTCAATACTAATGTAAAGTGCACTACAGTTATACCAAAATTTTATGAATAAGGTTAAATATTTTAACCCAATATATGAATGATCAAACCACCAATATTTATTATAAGAATGGTTTTATCACCATAATCTCTCCCATATTTACTGAAGCCCTAAGAGGACATGATAAAATATTTTTTTTCTTTTCCTCCATTTTCTTGAGATCTCAAGTTATTTTTTTTTATCAATCATCACGAGGAAACAAAGTTTTTGCATCATGGTCTGGCTGATGCAATGCTTGGGGCAACTGGCCCAGATGGTGGAGTTGTCTCCCAATCGGAAAGGTACCATCCCAGAGCCGTCCACTGGGCTTAGCCAGTGGACGTGTGAATAAGATTAATCAGAAACTGATGGACGATACAAATCAGCCTCTGCCATCAGTGTATGAATGTGATATAATGTAAAGTGTTTTGAGTGGTCAGAAGAATAGGGAAAGCCTGGTCTATATCAAAAAGCCAATTTTAATGAAAGTGATTGACGTCTTGTTTTGGTTTCTGGATCACAAGAAAATTAACTTGTTATCACGAGAAAAAGAGCTTTATTTTCTTGAGATAGCAAGATAAATATCCCATTATCTTAAGAAAACCAACTTTGTTTTCCAGAGATAATGAGAAAACTTACTCCTGATCTTCAAAAAAACTACTGAAATTAAATCACAACATAACAGAGAAAGGAAAAACTCATTTTATCATGTCCTTTAGGGCTTCCGTACAGATTTTATATATGTGTTTCAATCTTACCTCTGCCTCTTTGTAATATTTTGTGTGCAGTGCATTCAGTCAAAGCAGGCTGCTTTAATGATGGTGCACTTCAGCTGCTTTAGTCCCATCTAGTGGACAAAAAGGGAATAAAAAAAAAAAAAAAGGCCACAGGAATCAAGCAGCTCATTGTGCTGTATATCCAATCATCCTGCTTTTAATACAAAGTCAAGGTACAATATCTACATCCATGGTTTGAAAGGAAAGAACAGGTACATAAGTGAGGGGGATGGCGTCATCAGAGCTGACCCTCAACACATTTCATATTATGTTCATGTGTGTGCCTTTTTATATTTCTCTTGACACAATAATCATTAGAAATCGAAGGAATAACATATTCTTATATATGTCACACACTGTCAAGACTTCTGGACCACACATAAATTTCATACCAGAATAATTTGAGATTTTAACAATAACTTTAGAGTGTGTGTATGTGTGTGTAGGTGTGTGTAGTTGGGCGATTTATCACCCATTCTCTGTCAAAAAATACACTTGCTACCATTTGCTTTCCAGCAAACTAATTACAAACAGCCTGTCTGAGGTTTTCACCCACAAGTCTCCTCTAAATCTGTAGCTTCTCTGATGCCCTTGAACCTATCGGGATGACGTGTGTCATACCTGCGCTGCTATGATCACACCGCTGCTGTTACCAGGGAGGTCAACAAGGAAGGGACGGCATCACTGTAAACTTAAACTAGGTCTGCCTCTAATGTTCATCTCTAGCTATCTACTCAGACATCAGTATCAGTATCAAATAGGACCCTACACAGAGGGCGTACATTATAACAAAGCAAATAAAAAAGCACCAAAACTGACCATTAAAAAAAAGGAAAAAAAAAAAAAAAAGAAAAATCAAACAAATAGTGACAATATCATACTTCAACATTGGCTCGCCAAAGAAACAAGTAAACAACATCTTATTGGTTATAGTGGCTAGATATCCCAAATCAATAAATTAAAAACATATGTAAAAAGTAACAAAATAGAATAATAAATATCTTAAAAAAACATATGAAATAAATATGACAAAGTGAACAATAACAATAAGGCGTTTTTTGCGACAATAAGAACTACATCACATCCAATCCCACGTTATATCTTGTGCTCAGACGTATTTTACTGTACTGTAAAGGACTCCAATGATAGACCATATGTACAAAATTGGTGAAATTGCCCGAATGTCTGATACACTGGAACATTGCTGTGCTCTTCAATCACCACGTGGGACCAATTATGATTATATGTCAAATCAAAAAAGAAAAGATATAGATCCATATCAAGGACTTGTGCAGTTGTAGCGGAGAGGACAGAGGGGAAAACATCATTTGGTTAAGTTGGGGTCTTCTGTACAGTGTGAGTCAGGAGCAGAGAGATTTCTAATGGAGTTTAAATGGAGCAAGATCAGCTAAGTGAGGGGAGAGGACTGGTGAAAGTGAGCAATTAACCACTCACACTGAATGTTTTCGGGAATTCTGTCATTATCTCTCATTGCCCGTAGCCTTAAACAGTAAAATATCAGAGTGATTAAACTGCAAAGTGGTGCAATTCAAGTAGGTAAGCTTCAGAGGAGGAAGATGATTAGAGAAACAGTTTTTCATCCTCACGTTAAGATACTGTATGACAATAGAAATTTAGCACACAACGCGTGAACAATAAGCAGCATGTTAAAACACAAAATATATGTCAGCATAAGGCAAAGACATACAGTAAAAACATTACAAAAACATGAAATGGGCTGTTTGAAGTTCAAGAAGAAGCTCGTTTCTTTCATTAGCATCTCTCTCAATAAGCCACTAATGCTGTACTGACACAATGGGGCTGACATCAAGAGGAGCTGAAGGATGAACAAGTAACTACAGCGAATAGCAGGCAAGCTTTGTCGAATGAAAAATGCACTGAACTGCAAATCTCGGTCCAGTTGAGGATACAATGGGGGTGTTTTCACTGTTCCAGGCCGGCTGAGGACGCGGTTCGGGGGGGTGTGGGCTTCTCCTTAGCCAGCGCTGTAAGAGTCAGACACTGCTGGATTAAAGAGGGGAGTCGTCTCTCCTCGTAGGCCGCAGTTCTTGTTCTGTATGGTTTGACTTGGCACTGTGCATCAGGTAAATGAGCATCCACATGCTTCTCCGGCAGTCCTCAGGGTGTGGTGAGTCTGCACTGTCGGCTTCCGCTGAGCCATGACCTAATAATGTTTTAAAATCAGTCAGAACTACCCGAGGAGGCAGTAGACACCTTTGAAATAGACTCACGAACACATAGAAATGTTCACCTTTGCACTTTGTAACCCTTTAGTACACCAAACCGATAGATACAAAGTTGAGGATAAAAAGCCCATTAAGGGTGCAGCAAATATCCAGGCTCTTTGTGTTTTTGTTTGTTTTTTTAAACTTTTTTTTATACACATATAGTATAATTCCTGTTCAGAAGCCGTTTGTAATTCACTGGTTCATATTGGAGATAGCTGACCACAACACACATGTATTATACGTCCTTCACACTGGAACACTGAGGTAAGTATATGGATTACACATGGACAGTCTCCACACACACCAGCTCCCCCCACGATGAGTGTGGCTGCTGTTACACACAGATTTTTCTTGTTGCTGTTTTTAGTTGTTGCTTTTATGTCCTTGTTGGTGTTGATTTCATCTTTGAGCCTCACAACCCAGGAAAAGAAAAAGGTTCAATGTTCATGTTGTTATTATTTCAAGCCGTCTCTCTCTCTCTTTCTCTCTCTCTGTTTTTCACTCGGTTTGTTTGTCGACCTCGAGGCAGAAAGATGGATGGATGCTTGACTCTTCACTTACGTTGCATAGTGGTCAAAGCTACCCAGGTACTCCAGAGCAGCCTGGTAGCAGAACTGATACTCATCCTGGGTGAAAAACAAAAAAGAGGACACAGACAGAAAGACAAATATATCATTGTTATACACATGTGTGAGCTGCTTACAACACATATCCGCTGTTGCAGAGTCAAATACTGGAGATCAAAAAGCATAAACAAAAGAAACACGACTAGATTGACGGAGACATGAGCTTCAAGCAGCACTACAGATGTGCTGTATCAGTGTTTTCCTTGCATGCCTCAGCCCTCCTTCAAAATAAATAAATCTGACATCCTGTTCGGTGTTTACCTCAGTCTGCACCATGGCTGGTCTCTGTGTGCGCAGCATTTTGACAGTCTGGAAGATGTCCACCGCCCCCTCGTAACGCATCCTCTCCAGGACAATACTAAGAGTGATGAAGACACCTGTCCGCCCCACGCCAGCACTTTAACCACAAAGGGGGAACAACATCAGACAAAGTTTCGCAGAGATCAGGAGACATGCCCCTCATTGAGACCAACAAAGTGTAATCAAAGTACTTTTGATCGACTATGACCGAACTTCTTACCTGCAATGAACGCTGATTGGTCCGTCCTGGCCGAACTGCTCCTTAGTTTTGTGCACCTGGCCGATAAAATCAATGAAGCCCTCCCCAGATTTAGGAACGCCTTGCTCCGGCCAATCAGTAAACTGGAATTGGCGCACTGTCCGTGATTGGCCATCCTGATAGGAGCGAGCACATGATAGGATTAATGTTACTCGAATATCTGAATCTAAAATCGTCTCTTCTCCTCTGAGTGAGACGTTATAGTTTATGTGGGGTGATTATTTCAGAATAGCTTCTTCACTCTGAATTGACTGCAGGGTGAGACGCTGCCAAGCAATATCCTGTTTTTTCTCTCTAATGATTACTGTTATCTGACCCTGGATCAGTGGTTGTGGTTAACATCAGGCTGTAACGTCAGTGCGTCTGCTATTGTCAGCCACTCAGTAGGCAATTACATCTTTTCTCTGCTGCTCAGCCTTCCTGACTCCCCCTTTAATGGAGATCAATAGAGCATCTGTCAATGTGGCGTCAGTGCAGGACAGGCTGGACTGGAGTTATCTATGACGGGCACACACATGCACACACGAGCAGACTTTTGCACATGCACACGCAGAGACACACCAAGGCTGTCAAGGTAATCTGACGACAGCATGGCTGACTGAGTAATCCAGGTCTTCCTGTCAATAGGGCTAACCCGCTGTGTTACGCACATTCAGACACGAAGACACAATAACGGATACACACTACAGGTCGATGGGACACGCGATGCACCGCTGCTTTCTGACAGCACTGATGGATCAGGAAAAGAGCACCCAAGTCCAGGAGTGTACAGTTGCACTGCTGTTTGGATACAACCTCCAACACGAGAAACACACGGACTCCATGAACTCACCCTGGCATCCGTGACTTTAAACTCCCGTAGAATGTACTGAGGCATGTTGTACTCAGCCATGGGGTCCACTACGAAGTACTGGTACCTGGCTGAGCGCTCAGCTGGCCAGTACTGGTGACATTTCTCCTAAGAGGGTAGAAAAGAAAAAAAGAGTTGACGTTCAGCCTTTCCTCGAAGGACCAGAATTTAACAAGTGAAACTTTAAAGTTCAGTAAAATACTTTTTAAGAAGTTAGTCAAGAAACACCTTTTTACCATAGAGATTTAAAACTTATTACAGGATAATGGTAAGTACAAGCATGACCAAAAATAAATGAATATAGGTAGGTTGGTAAGTAGGTAGATAGGTAGATAGGTAGATAGATAGATAGATAGATAGATAGCACCTTTTTGCAACAGAAATAATCCTTGAGAAAATGTTTATTGGAAATATGAAAATCTGTTTTGACTTCTGTCTAACCTGCTTGATTCCGGAATGGATAAGACATCAAAGGGCTAAAGAAAATTAAGATTTAATAGTGTGAACAATATACAGAATATATGTAAACCTATTTTCATATTATGATATGTAAAGATTATATAGTACTGCTGACTAGGAGCTGTCCATGTATCGTTGTGTTGTTATCTGTTTGTATTATGTTTGTGTTTATCTTACATTTGAACAAGGATTGTATTATATGAGGGTTTTTTTTCTGCATTGATACATTGTAAGGGAAGAATAGCTTTGGCATCGCTATGGCTAATGGGGATCCAAATAGATCAAATCAAATCAGATTATCACACTTTCCGTTGGACCTGCAAAGCTGGGAATTAAAATGTGTTACGATGCAACTTTTCCGCCCTGAAAGAGTCACAGGTTGTTGTTTTAATAAATACAATGTTCCATTTATCATGCCTTTGTATTCCTTAACCAAGCTTGTACATATGAAATGCAGCATTTTGGATCTCTAAAAATAAATCTCTTTCTATTCTGAAAACAGAACAAAGCTCTCACACTCAAACATAAAAAATGCAGTTGCTGCCATTGCCCACAACAAATCAGAGGACTTTTTCTCTTAAGTGCCACAGTTTTGGTCTATTTTGGCTCTTAATGTGTTACTATGTTGAACCAAAGTGAATGTTTTCTTAAATAAAAGTAGTTAATTAAACATGTGGCTCAGTGAAATATTGCTACAAGGAACGTTTAGATCTCTGTCTAGGAAAACATCATCATTATCATCAAAGTGCATTATTCTATACATCATAACAGTTTATGTTAAACACTAGCCAGTGACTGTTTTAGATTCCAAATGTTGTTAAGTGTATTTTTCATTTGGAAAGATAATGAGTGGTATCGGCTTTGTAAGGGCTGATGCCGATATGACGTCAAAATGCGGTTAATTGTCCCAGTTAATCAGCCAACTGATCAATCAGTCTATGTCTAATATTGACCAAATAGACACAATTAAGATCCACTGATTGAGAGCAACTTAGTGAAAATGAGTTGACTTGATATCTTTCAGGTCTGGATGACTTGAACCTCATTTCAACCACTTTTAATGCCCAGCTATAACACCAACATGCCTCTAAACAAGTTGTTGATTATCGTGTTGAAGGAGGATTTTGATGGTATTTTGATGGTATTTCTCCAAAGGAATTTCCTAGTGATAGTTGAAACACTGTCTATGCAAAGACAAAATTTCAGACAGAATTTAGTAAACATAAATCTCAGCGGCTGCAATAAAAGAAAAAAATACGGGCTGTTTTAGTCTTTTTTACGGGATTTATTTTGGGGCTTTTTGCCTTTATTTGGAGAGGAAAGGAAAGCGGATAGAAAAAGAGGTGGAGAGAGATAGCAGGGAGTGACATGCGAGAACGGAGCCACGGGCTGGAAGTGAACCTGGGCAGGCCACTTGGCGTACCCATAACCTCTCTATTTGCGGGTGCGTGTCGACTGTCATGCCAGCGGTGCCCCGGGCTGCTCGACTCTGACTATAAAAGATAAAAAGACCCCTTGATCGATCAAAATGTGACAGATTATTCCGCAGACTCTGGGCACTGACAGATAAGTGCTGGACCAGCATGTCGGCTACATACGGTTGTTTTCTGCTCCATTTATGCGATACTGCATGAAAATTTACCATCAATTTGTGAATGTGTGATGAATCTTATGACAAGGTCTGGTTTCTTTTTAAAATGTCGACAATTTTTAACATCTGCAGATACATGTTAGAAAAAAAAAATCCCTTTTGAAGCATCTTTGTGCATCTTCAATGGTGACAAAAGACATTCCTGAGTGCCACTCCAACAGAAAATGCTTGAACTTATAGACTGATGAAATAACATGAAATCTTTTTGAACGCATCAACAGCTTGAGAGGGAACGTCTCTAACCTCTCGAGTTAGAGATGTTTCTTTCAGTCACATAAAATTTTTTTGTGTTTATTACTTTTAAAAAGCAGTATGATGAATCCTTACCCGTCCCATTTCCCTCAGTTTAGTAAGCATGACCACTATAGTCGAGTTGTGCTCCCACAGCATCCTCCAGAAGTCCTCCGTGGTCTCAGCCAGTGGACCCTGGGTAGCAATGTAGCCTCTCTGCTGCCTGCACACACACATACACACACACACACACACATGCACACAGGATGATGTCACCTCCATCATTCTTTGTCCCTGTTTCTCTGCTTCTTTAACTATCGCATTGAAAAGGGGGTCAGGCTTCAGGCGGGGACAAGAACAATCAGAACGTGTGTACAACGAGGCTGAACGGCTGACTCATCAGAAGTGCTTCACATCAGGACAGATAGCGAGAACATGGATACAGTAGGGACGGATCTGACAAGACGTGACAGGTGAGAGCGCCGCAGTGAAAACCTATCCCATCCTTTCACTCGTCAAAAATCATGAGGAGGCGAGGGGATCAGGTCATATTAGTGTTCCTGGGACCAAAACATACCTGTACCCGTCTATGTAACTGGCGTTGATGTAGTCAGAGCCCTCCAGGCCTCTGATTGGCTGAAGGCAGACGCGGGTGGTCTCATAGGGCATGATGTTTACCAGTCGGTTCTTGAATTTGTTGCAAGGCAGGTTGGCTGTGACAAATCGGGACGTGTGGGCTTTGGTGTTCGCCAGTCGCTGGACGGACAGAGAAAATGTGAATGTCATGTTATCATGGTTTTTTAAACTTCAGAGTAAATTATCTAACAAACCACAAGTGCTTTTGCACGCAAGACTGAAGGATTATTCAGGATTATTTGCCCGGTTAGCAAACGAACAGGGCCGCTACATTTTATAATCTGATAGTTCCAAACCGCAAAATAATTGGAGGGATTGTGAGAAAAAAATGAAACAAGAGAGAAAAGTAGTTTTCTGTGTTACACACAAAGTTGTTAATCTTTTAAAGGTTATAATTTTTTCATTTGTCTTTCTGGGTCAATGTTACATATTCCAGCTGTGAGACATCAAGTCAAACAATACTCCTCTACCTTAAACTCCAGCTCCATTCCGGTCACATGCTCCCCGCTCTCCACCTTTGAAAGCTTCTGCATGTATGAGTACAGACTCCGGGCGGCCACCTCGGTGTTACCGCAGGCGACGGCCTCCAGCAGAGCCTCGTGGATGAAGCTGTATTGGTCCTCTGTCTGCACCATGTAGTTCCTCTGTGAGCGCATCAAGGTCACATGACCGTAGATGTCCACAGTGCGCTCGTGTCGAATGCGTTCCAGCATGGCGTCGATAACGATGAAACAGCCGGTGCGACCGACACCGGCACTGAGACCGAGGAGAAAGGTGAAACATGATTTAGCAGAAAGGACAGGAGTTGTCAGTGATGCTTAAGGAGAGTTTTTTTTATTAGCTTTTCTGCTTTCCTGCAAAAACCTGATACAACTGTCACATCAGGTCTTCAGATGGTGAATCATCGTTCCAACTTTATGGTCTCCATCTGTGGAACAGCCTATCTGCAGACCTGAGAGCTACACCTAATGTTCATATTTTTAAAGTAAACTTAAGACCTACCTTTTTAGTCTGGCTTTTAGTTGAAATTTGTTTTAATCTTTTAATCTGCATTACGTGAAATTACCCTTTTTTAGTCCAAGAGTAACTATTTTGTGTTTTAAAACCTCTTTTTTTAAATTTATTTTTCATTTTTTAATTTAAAAACTGTTTTATTTGAATAACTTTTAACACTTTATCACCTTTATTTTATTTTATCATGGTTTTATCGTTTTAGTCCTTGAACTAATGTTTCCTCATCTTTTTTAACTCAAGATAGCGTTTCCTCAGTCATCTGCAGCAAGTTGAAGAGTCCTCACCTGGTCTTTTGCGTATGCATCTGTGTGTGAGTGTGAATGCTAGTTGTGTTGACTGGGGGTTGGGAGAGGTGGGTGAGGTTTGGTATTTGTAGTTTCATTCATTTTATTTCTTTTTTTTTTTTTTAATATCCTTCGCGAATGGACAGCATTTTGTGTTACATTCTATAAATGAAAAGTGCTTTAAAAAATAAAGTTTGATTGATTGATTGATTAAATATGAGGCTATAACCAACAGCAAATCCAAGATGGCAAACAGAAAATCATCATCTTCAGGGCTACTAAATTCTCCAAACCTTTCGCAATCAAACATATTTTATCTCATCTGTTTAACTGAAACAAAAACTGAGGTATTAAAACGACTTCAGAGTTTTCCACTCCTCTTTGCTGAACAATTTGTTTTCTGGGCCATGAAGCTCAGAGTTACTCTCTCTGGCTGAGCCATCACATGTCCCCTGCAAAACTGAGTGTAATGTTATTCTTTTAATAATTTCTTTTTTTATCAAAGAACATATCAGGTGTGCTTTTGTGAGTTTCACAGATGCATGTAGGCGTTTTTTTATTACCTCTGGATAGAACCGACTAGCTGTTTTCTTCTCCTTGTTCTTAACCATCTCTGAACTCTCAGTAGCGCTTATATAAAACACTGATCTCATCTAACACCCTTGAAGATATTTCTAAAAGTATCACTTTGTCCTGTTAGGAGGAACTTGGGTGTACTGTACCTGCAGTGAGCGATGATAGGTCCAGCATCAGGAGGGTTGCAGGCTTTGACCCTGCGGAGGAAGTTGAGGAAGGGGGTAGGATACTCCGGCACACCGTGATCAGGCCAGGCCGTGAACTGGAACTGACGCACTTCTCTCCGTTCACTGCAGCCGCTCTGATGTGAGACACAGACATAAAACAAGCTTAAATATCACTGGGGTCAAAACTGTATTCATCCCTTTTGGGTCATTGAGTGCTACAAAAAACAACTAAGTAGCTGAACCGACATATTTGCCAATTTTGTTGAGTGCAGGTTTTCAGCTGAATTTTCATTTGTTCGGACTCTTTCCTTATCACCTGCAGTCACATCAGCACATCTCACTTCTTTTAAACAGATTGTCCATCATGCTTTCAACTTAATTAATGTGGCAGAAAATAATCTAATCATCTGTAGACTTCATTCCAGGAATTATTCAGGATTATCAAAGAGTAAGAAGAAATGCTCTTAATATTGTCCCCGAAAGAGAGGAACAATACCGGCTTTGTTGAATATTTAGTGCGCCTCTATCTCAACTGTATGATGCCTCCTCGAACTTGACATTTCAAAACACATCAACAAAATTTTTGAGAAGCATGGCTTCACTTGGAAGCTACAGTTGGCCTAGTTTCTGTGTTTGTAAGTAGGCCACAGAGACACGCTAGCCTGATGGTCCTAGATTAGCCTCTTGCTGTAAGAAAGTGCTGTGCCTCCAACAACGTCGATCAAATCTTAGGGCCCGACACGGGGAGGCTGGCCTGGTTTGAGAACTGCATGAAGGCTAGACTAATCTATTCTCCTCTGTGTATCCACATGCGCAGCTTATTCTGTGACAGTGGAAATTTATGATTGTAGTGGGCGCCCCCGGTTGCTGACTGTAAACTCCAGAGATCAAAGCAGTGGGTGAGAGAGAGAGAGAGGAGTGAGGGAGTTACAGAGAATAAGAGAAAGGCGTAATTTACCTTATGCAGGGAAAGAGTGCGGACACAGAACGTGGCCAGCTCCATTGTGTCCAGCAGGGTGACCTGAATCATCCCGTAGGTCTCTGTGCCGCGACTCGGCCAGTACTGATCACATTTTATCTACAAATACAAAAAAAAGCATCATCGTAACTGCAAATATGACTAGTTTAGGGGAAAGTTTTTTTTTTTTTTTTTTTTTACAATATCTACAAACAGGAACAAAAAAATACCAGAGGTGTGTAAAATGGTCCCAGGGTACAGAAGAGCACATACATACACCGTCAGATCAAATTTTCATGCTATACACACTTCCATAGAATAGTGTGAACAACAAGACAAAACCAAGGCGGTCAGGGCCTCCCAAAGAAGGAAAATATTCATGAGTCCATCTAAGATACATTATCATGTAGACCAGGGGTGTCAAACTAAACCACAGCAAGCGCCATAATCTGGATTTAAGTCTAACCTGAGGGTCCAAAAGGGTCAACATTTAACTCAAACTGTCAACCTCCTTTTCAAAATCTATTACAAAATCATTGATGATTATAAACCACTTGAATATTCAAAAAGATAAAATGAAACATTTAAAGGCAATCTGAGATTAAAAAAAAAATCCAATAGGTTAGTCCAGAAGATCAGAGCACGATATCAAAAATAGAAAAATCATGCTTTTAAAGAGCAAATAGATGAGGAGAAAGTTGAAATCATAAGTTTGAAAGGTTAAAATATGAGATCATTTTGAAATTGAGAGTTAAAAGCCAAAATATGACTTAAGATTTAAAATTGGAATCTAAAGGGTTTAAAATGACAGAAATCGAAATACTGAGTTGCAAAAAAACAAAGCACAAAATAAAAAGTCAAGTCATGTTCGACTTGTAATCTTTAGATGCAAAATTGGAAATATGGATAAAACACATTTTTTTCCCCACTTTCTTGACTATTTATCGAATCTTCCTTACTCTTTACTTTCCCAGATTTTCATGGTTTATTAAGGATACGTTAAATATTGGTGCTAAAGTTTACATTATTATCCTGGAGGAAATCTGCAGACTTCATACTGGTGGGTCAATAATCATACAAATATGATATGATCTCGTGGGCCAGATTTGGCCCGCGGGCCTTGAGTTTGACACCTGTGATGTAGACCATGTAGATCATGGGTCGTGCAGAGGGTGCACTTATACTGTTCCAAGCTCTTCCATCAGATGAGACAAATCTTTGTCCTTCATTTTGTTGATAAAACAACCTAATATCTTTTGAAATATCTCCTGTTTGTCCCTAAGTGTGTAAGAATTTTTTTCCAGTGGTTAACAAGAAATTAGTTCCCTAAACCACACAGCAATTGCTGGTTTACCAAAGCTTTTCCATGATATGGCTATTGTCCTTTTTGCCTGTAGAGAACACATATTAATTAAAATTTTTTCATGTTGCTTTATTCTGCGTCCCTCTGGGAAGAGACCTAACAGTGAGAGCTTAGGTTCCAAGTGTAGGGGATAGTTTGTTTATCGATCAACCTGAAGAACTGCAACTTTCATGTAACTGTACCCTTGTATTCTTATATGGGTGCATAACCCATGTGTCCTACCCTTGATTTCTCCTCCAGTCGGGTCATCATGACCACAGAGGCGGCCCGCTGCTCCCACACCATCCTCCAGAAATCCCCAAACGTCTCCGCCAGCGGGCCCTGTGTTGCGATGTAAGCATTCTGCTTTCTGTAGCCGTCAATGTAGTTGGCATTGATGTAGTCGCTCCCCAGGATACCTGCAAATGAGACACTTGTGAGGCTCTCGCTAAACTGCGATCTGCATGAGCGACATAATAAATTAACCTGCATGTATGACATCAAACAGCCTAACGAACTGTTTGTTTCCCCGGCAGCCGCGGCTTCCAACAGACAGCTGCCAGATGACTAGTGGACGACAACAAACAAACAAGCCTCTGTCGGTGTAAATTCATGAGCTCCAGATGAAATCCCCTCTCCCCCTTGTTGTTCTGGAGTGCTGGCTGCACTTGAATGCACTCGCGCTGTTTGTCAGTCTCATGCCGCTGCACACAGGCGGACTCCAGCACTGTTTGCAATTTCAGATTTCATCCATCATGCAGCTTTCTCCCCCCTCTCCTGCCTCTTTCTCACCTCTCTTTGTGCTCCCCCCACCTCTGCACACAAACACACTCAGACTCTCGCTCATTAAAACCTCTTAACATCTTCTTTAACTCGCCGCACTCTCCTTACCGTCTATGGGAGCCAGGATGACTCTGGTGTGGTCGTACGCGATCACGTTGGCGTAGCGGTTTTTGGGTTTGTTGACCTCCAGGTTCGAATGCTCCCAGGTGAACTGTTGACTGGGGTCGATGGACTGAGGAGGAGCGGAAAAAGCGCACACACACGTTAACAGCGAGAGGTTGCATGTTTAGCAGTGCATTTGAGCTTTATGTAAAGAGAGTGCTGTGTAATGTAGACGAGTTATCGCAATAAACTGCGATGCTGAATAAATCATGAGCGTGGAGTCGGCACACAGGGATACAGACGTTGAATAAGATTAACTTTATGAAGCAAAGGCTTGCATTTCTAAACAATAACGATGTAATCTATTTATTCATGTTGTGTAATAATAACACCTCGCTCACCTCGTACTCCTGGGACAGTCTCAGGTTGTCGTTGGCTTTCAGCAGCTCGATGTGCTCGGCCAGCTCGCTGATGGGGATCGGGGGATGGCTCATCATTCCTGCGTGACAACAAAGAGTCAGAAGTGATGCAAAGTTGGGCGAAATAGCCCAAAATTACCGCGGGGTCATCGCTAATATGCAAAGATGTGACGCTAAATTTTACAATCAGAGAACACAACACGTCATTACGGAACACGCTGGGGCAGAAAATCGATTTTGATCCATGTGTGAGAACAAAGTGAGGCGAGTCTTGTTTGTTTGTAAATTGTTTTTTTCTTTGATAAATTGCTTTCTCCGTGATCAGAGGAGCAGCGACTCAGAGAAAACAAACACAGACAGAACGCTAATTAGGAGGGCTGCATGCACGCACACACAGACTCGGGAAGGAAGCAATCTTTGCCTCCTACAGTCGCTTCTTTTCACAGCTGGAGTGAGAAAAGAGGAGCTGTAGTCATCCATTGTCCATTCGGGATCCAAACAGCGACAACAATATTTCTAAATAATATTGCTTCCCATTCAATCAACAGTCTACTTAATGCCAAAGCAGATTGGCTTTTCAATGTTTCCAGATCTGTAAAACACGTTGATGCACTGCTCAGACTCATTGTGCAGCCACGGCTATAAAGCAGGCTCATAATAACTGTAATGTTCCGCTTCACCATGGCACCCACAAGTGATCACGACAAAACACTCCTGTCACGACCAGAAATGACCTCAGATATCACCAGGCGGCTCTGCTGGAAATAAATTTCATCTCTGCCAAACACCTCAGAAGCACAAATCTCGAGGGAGGAGAAGTGGGTGAGGTGGGAGCTTCAAGGTTGCTGCCACAAGAGAGTGTAAAAAAAAAAAAAAAAAAGGAGGATAAGAGAGAAGAGCTTTAATCTGTGGGTTTTTCATTGCCTGCTGGAACAGGTTAGAAAAAGACTTCCAGCCATCATCTATGGATTTAATAAAACATAATATTTGATTTTTTAAATCCTGGCAGGTAAAGACTAAAGCTTTCTATGTGGTGACACATCTTACCACCTTTTCTACGCGAGATTTCTATAAACTGCAACCATGGAAATACAGCGAGAAGAGGAATTCACTTCCTTCAGGGCGTGTGTGTGTATGTGTTTTTGGACGCTGTTCTAATTTAATGAAAGGAGTGAAAGCAAGGCTTCAGCGGCTTTCTGCCTCCACCAAAGCAGATGTGTTGTTAGATCACTCTCAGTAGGGGGTTAGGAGTTGCAAAGTCCAAAATGTAGTTACTTCACAGTGGGGGTTTTTTGGTTGGATATGCTGGTTTGTGCAGATTTGATTGGTTCGCAAACAATCCCAGTTAAACCCCAGCTCACCTTTTGATCCAGCGATTTGACCGTTACACTCCGAGAGACAGATAGCTGTCGTTCCTGTCTGTTCTGAGGCGCTATCTGCAGCCTGGCATGTGGCATGTGGAATGTGGGCGAGCGTAGATGATCGGATTTTTGTCACACCGGTATGACTCAGCCGTGACTAAGCACTGACTGTACTACCTGGGCGGCAGCCATTTTGATCCCTCCAAAATGACTGGAAGCTGCCAGGTACATGTTTGTGGTACTGCGGAGGAGTGCTTTCACAATCCCGTCTGCATAATCTCGCCCGAGTTAAAATTAGTCGCATGCATATTTCATTATACAATCAGGAGAAATCGGAAGTTTACTTTATTATGCAAATACAAAAGCGTGTGTTTGGGTGCCTGTGTGGGTTCACGCGTCTCACCGGGAGTCTGGAAGTTGATGCGTCTCATTTCCACAGGATCTGTCGGGTGATGCGCCATCATCTCCGCGTTGCTCAACAGGCTCTTTGTCCCCGGTTCAGAGTCCTTGCGCTTGCTGCTCAAACATCAGTGAGTCAAAAGAGCAATTAGCACATGCAAACAAGCAGAGAGCGAAAACCAGGCTCACTACTGACACGTCATTAGCAAGGCTACTCCAGTCGAGTAAATAGTGCATTAACAGATATCTGTTTTATGGCTTTACACAACATCTCTGCAAAGCATCGTGCATCATGTAATTACTGTGGACTAAAAGAGACAAAATGCTTGACATTGGTTTAATCTCACCTGTCAGGTTTGCTGCTTTCCGCGAAACAGGAGCAAGGAGGGAATAATTAGGGGTAGAAAAGGAAGGAAACAGACAGATTGTTAGAAAGGTAAATCAATACTTTGCATTAGTATTCGCAAGCTTGATGGCTCGCTGCAGATATCACAGGCTTACAGAAGATTCAGACTGTTCTTCTTAACTGGAACAAATCTGGTGAAGACCTGACTTAAAATTAAGCATTTATGAGCGGATGGCCGAACACGAAGTATTCCCTAAACCAGGAGGTAAAGCTGGACACTCTGAACAAGAGTAAGCACATTAAGTCCCATGTTAATACGCCCATTTCAGCAACTTTTGTTAAAGATACTTTCTATTTCTTTGTGTGCAGTCATCACATTTGGGAGCATGGCTTTTTTTCGAAGAGCTCTCTGCCCTTCCACAGGTTTATGTAAAATGTCAAGGCAGGGAGAGCAGCAGCAAAGAGACCAGGGTAGAGGGTAGAGCAGCCAACAGTGACAACACATATGACTGGTCAAGTATGACACAGAATACAAAGGCGGAGCTGGTGGGAGGTGGGTTGAGAAGGAAAGCTGAAGCATTTTAAATAGAGTATCAATTTTGACACTCAACATTTAGAGGCGTTAAAGGTTATTGGCTAAGCTGTAAGCTGATGTGGGCTGGCATCAGGATCAGCTGTTGTACTGTAGGCTGAGCTTGACTTTGTGGCCTTTGTGCTCAGTTTTTACAGCAAAACTTTTCATACTTGTAGCTTGATTTAAATGGTGATTAAAAACTTTTACATTTATTCACTGAATTAGGCGCACAGCTGAGTTTACTGACAGATGTGCACATGTAGCTCTCTGCAGTAGGCTAAAACCCACTCTAACTGTTTTGTCTGTGTCTAGGATTACTGACAGTAAGATCAGCACTTCCAATATGGTGTCCACCATCTTTGGTCTTCAAAATATCTGTTTGAAACCAGTAGGTGATGTAACAGAGACATCTGTGTCTTTTTTGGCCCCCTTCCTTTACACAAATATGTTAACCTTACGTCAGTTTGGGTCAGCCTCTAATACAACATCCCGCTGCTATAAACATTTAGGAGTCGTGGGTTGAACTTTAAATCACTGACTGAAAATGGTCCTACAAGAAAAAATAACTTTTTAATCAAATCAAATTTCTCTGTCCAAAGTTAGGGTGTTCAGCATTTATGAAAGAAATAAGTCTTTTTAAATATGAAAGGATTTAGCTTTCGCCATTTTTTAATTTTCTGTTGTATTAACTCGGGTCTTACTTTGACAAAAACAAACAAAAATTCCAAATTCATGTCACGTTTAGCTTTCATACAAACTTTTTAAAGATAATAATATTAATTTTTCATATAATCATATTGATTAGTGCCAGATTGTCTTTGAAGAGTTTTAATTGTAGCTGACTCACAACTTGTACTTATAATTAGTTTTTGGCAGTTGTTTTCTGTCACGGGGATTATCAGACCCACTCACTTTTTGTAAAGTAGGATAGCGATAACGATGCAGATGATGAAAACCACAGCCAGGACTGGTCCGACTACCCAGATAAGACCGTCTCCCGCATCCAGGGGCTGGGGGTCTGAATCTGGGGCAATTACGGGGTCTGTGTAGGGACTGGCCACATACATTTTCTGCAAAAAAACAAACAAGCACAAAGTCAAGAAAGGCAGTGGAAAAGCTTTGGTTTTTATTAAACTTTTGAAAGAGATGCCTGAATGATGGCAGCTTTTTTTTATGACCATATTTTAATATTTTGTTTAAGGGAGGCAAAATTACACAAGTCAAATATATTGACCTGCAACAGATTCAAAGTTTTAGCACACTGTGATCCAGATACACCCCAGAGTCAAGCCAAAAGCTCTTAAACTCAGCCTCAACAAAATGTTACCCACTAAAAGTGTTACACATTGCAAAGATGTTGCAATGATTGCATTAGATTAAAGATGAACCCTGCAACCATGACTAAGATGTCCATGACTGGTTTTATATGTAAAAGTGTGTATGAGACAGTATTTCATTAGTTTTTCACATAAAACAACATACTTTTACTTAATTACATCACGTGTGTTTTATTATCACATTAAGTTGATTAAAGTGCTTTTTTATTACTTCAGCAGGACTTCTGAAGAGCACCCCTTGGGTTAAAAGCACTTCTAATAAAAACATGTCATAAAAAAAATATATAAAATCTGACTTAATATCAGTTGTATATCTCTTCCAATTCAAATCAACATACATACATGAGCAGAACACAGAGCAATATCTCTTCCACTGCTACAGGAACACGCTCACTCTTTATTAGCAGCTGATGGAAGTACATGAGGGTTATTGCCTTTTGCCTACAACCCTCTGACTGACGGGCCTTTTATTGTTCTAGCACTAAGGCCATATTGATTACAATGTATAGTGACAGCCTGCAGGAGGGAAAAAACAGGCAGCAAGGGAATAAGGGAGTGGTTATAAACATGGAAATAAAAGTGATGTGACACAATGACTTGTACCCCAGTTGTTGAGTTGAGCTCAGCCAGGATGAAGAAGACGTACTCCTGCCCTGGGTCTAGAGCACGGTTCTCAAAGCCACCGTAATCCAGTTGGTCTCCCAGGGTGAAGAAGGCAGGGAGAGTGGCAGGTGTGAAACGGGCAGTGATGTAAGCCCGGCGCAGGTCCACCTGCTTCTGCTGCCGAGTATCCCTCTGCTTTTGACTGATGTCCTTTAACAGCTGAAAGACGGAGAGAGAAGGAAAACAGAGACAGTCACAGGCAGACAGAGATGAGACGTTCCAATATCTCTGACTAATGTTTAAACACAGATATTAAAATTATAAAGGGTAAGCGTTGCCAGGAGTTCTAAGTGTGTGTGTGTGTGTGTGCGTTTTGTCTTTTAAAGTCTTTCCTCCTTCCAGGCACAGACATCTGTGGGTGCTGTCATTGTTGTGGTTCTCACCTCCTCTAGGTCCATCTCATCTGGGCTCTTGAGGTGTCTGATGACGCCGCGGGCTCTCCTCAGCGGAACCACAACAACATAGACATTCCTGTCAAAGCAGAGGGAGGAAAAACTTCAAACGAGTTGCACTTTTTGAGACAAGAAACTTGGAGCGAACTAGTTTCACATTTCCTTGCCAGCTAAGATTCAAACACTGACTGTATATAAAGATGGACAGCTTATCTCCACCTCAGGTCAAATGCATTTAAAGCTGTATTCAACCAGGGAAGCCTCATTGAGATTAAGAAAGTCTTTTACCTTACAGTCTGACACCCTGGATGTAATATGTCAGAGTCAGGGCAGTAGAGATCAACTGGTGAAACCACTGTTTTTTTTTCTTTTCTGCTGTTCTTCCTCTACTACACTAATAAAACAACAAACAGTTTCATCAAACGTGAGATTACACATGGCTCTGTTCTAGGACCCTTGCAGTTTTGAATTTACATGTTACTACTAATTAAAAACCACAGTATTGATAACCATTTCTATGCTAACCACATAGTTTTACCTCTTCTTTGTCACTAAGACACAATGCCACTGATCTGCTTTCAAATGGGCTTGAAGATATTAATAACTGGATGGCCACCAGTTTCTTACAGTAAACTCTCAAAACTCATAAACTGTCATAGGCCCAGAATCTTGGTACCCTTCTTTTACCATCACTGACTCTTTGCTTCATGTTTGACAAACACATCAATGTAGCTGTCCCATCATGATTTGTTTCAGAGAAGTAATCTTTCAAAACTGGGCCTTTTTTACAGGCTAAAAACTTGGAAACAGTAATCCATGCTTTCATTTCATCCAAGTTAAATTTCTGCAAATCTCTGTGCTCTTCTCACACAAAACAACCTCAGTAAACTGCAGCTGATCCAGGATGCGGTTGCTAGACTCATCGTAACCAAGTCCAACAGGGAGAACACATCACACCTATTTTAAAACCTCTTCACTGGCTTTCAGTCCCTTTAAAAATTAATTTTGAGATTCTGGTGTTCATTTTTAGAGCTCAAAGAGGATCGGCTCAAGAACACAATGCTGACTTCTGAACAGCACAACCCTTAATTTAGCCTCGGATTCTCCAGTGGATCATTACTAAATATTCCTCAGTAAAACCTTAAAACTACAGATGATCCAGCCTCTTACTTCTGAGACCATCGGGAAAAGATGAGGAACATTAAACCTTCAAAGTCATTTCTTAAAACTCAAAGTTTCAGACCTGCTTTTTCATTGATATTATGTTTTATTATTTTATTGTCCTAACCATAACTTTTGTTAAGTTTTAAATCAATTGCTGCCTTTTGGTTTTAAATTAATTCAAAGTACTTTTTAAGCCCTAAGTAAATAAAGGCGCAGTAGTTATTATCATTATTATTATACTCCTTTTTTAAGCATCAAACAACATATTTAGGCTAAATTTCTCAAAAACCCAGGCTTAAACAATACAATAGATACTGTCATAACAGAAGTAATACCTGAGAGAGTCAAACTGTTGTGTATTTATATCTTTAAGTTTGACCTATGCCCCATTGGTCAACATAGAGGAGGCTGGCTTAATAACCTGTCCTTCCCACTATAAAGAAAGCAACATACAGTACATTTTGACTCCACTTAAAGAAAGATACTTTCATACAGACTTTGGTCGTAAACTGTAATTTTTTCCCTCACTTGACAGGACTGCGATTCTCCAGTGACGGAAGGATGATGGTGACTGTGGTCTCCGTGTCCCGGGTGTGGTCGATCTCAGGGCGGCGGATGGTGATGGGAGGGGAGGTCTTGGCTGAGATGCGGTGGCGAAGGCCTCCCATGTTGCCTTCTGGAGCAGTGATCTTGAAATCGTAACCGGTGTCGGGCTGGAGGTTTGTGATGACGGCTTTTTTCAGACGAGCATCCACCTCTACCTTCTGTCGATTATACTCCACCTGGACACAAGGAAGTGAAAGAAAAAGATATTCTATATGCAGTTTGCTGATGACATGGTTTCCCATGCAAGTATGTAGAGTATGGAAAAGTGTGAAAATAAATTGATCAATTTCCAGGTCTTGAAAAGTATGGAAAAATGAAAAATTAAGTAGGGAAAAATATTTATGTTTCCAGACAATGACCACTGTTCTAAAATACTGTTTTCTAAAATAGAAAAGCAGGTATTTCTAAAAACAGTTCTAAAAAGTAGGGTATGGAAAAGTAAGGAAATTCCAACTGTGTAGGAGCCATGTATTATACAGTGAAACATAATTCCACATTAAACGAGTCTGATCCAGTTAACACCACTTTGATGATTAAACTCTAGTAACTAACTCTGAGGTAATTTCCACAGACATTTACTACTTTGCAAGACTATCACATGGTCGCATTTACACCTCCTTTGATAGAAAGACTTCAAATTTTGGGAAAATATGCTTATCCAGTTTCTCGCAGAGACTGACTTTGTATGTCTTATATGTAAATGAACTGTGGCTTACATGAAGAGCCAACTAATTAGCCTAAAATCAAGCCAAAATGCCAGAAACTAGGGGAACAGCTTGCTTGGCTTTTTTTCCAAATGAGGCAAAATCTTCTACCTATTCTTATTAAGACGCAACATGTTTATGAGTGAGTTTTAGAGATACAAGTAAATAAGCTTTATCATATAATAGAAAATGTTCCTTTCAGAGTAAGGTGTCAACCCTCAATTCCGTGAAATTAGAAATAAAATCTACATCTCTCTTGTGGATAAAATGGGAGCGAAAAGGTTGTCATTTTCAAATTAAGGATCATTATTTAGCTTCTTAAAATTCTGAACGGTATGGTAATGGTTTTATAATCTAAAGCACCTGGGAAATGATACATAATGATCAGTTGTATAATGCGCATGTAAAGACAAGGAACAGCTTGTGGACATACGGTAAAGCGATAGGAGTTGCTGCTCTCCGGGAACTCCCAGGTCAGCAGAACACTCGTCTTGGTGGCCAGATTGACGGAAAAATTCCTTGGCACATCTGGAAGTGAAGCAAAAAACAAAAAGAAAAAACAAACAAACAAAAAAAAGGTTATTCATGATAAAGCTTTCTATTCAAACTAGCAGCTGCCTTGTTTTCCCAATGCACCCCTGCAAAAATGGAAGACAGGTCAGTCAAATGTGTTATTGGGGAAAGAACACATGATGGTTAGGAGGATGGGCAGGTGATGAGGAGAGTGGATGGCGAGAGTAATAAGTCCAAATGAGACGGACAGACCGGCTGCAGGAATGTGACATGCCAGATTCTCAGTGTTAGGTTGTGTTCTTTAGACTCAGACTTGTCAGCAAAGGCTTCGAAAGAGGTGCTAGTGGAGGTCTATCAGATAAAGTAAAGCTTACCTGCAGATACAGCACCAGACGCCTGATTTGACCTGAACTCAGACTGAAGACTTACCTTGTGTATGAGATACTGTACATCCCAGCCTTGCATTGACTTTTACCTGAGGGGTTGTGATAAGCAGTGCTCTTGAGGCAAACATCCATTAACATTCAGCCTGCTTCCACTGGTGGTGAAGGGTAGGTGATGAAGGTATAAGTGAGTGAGTGGAGGAAATTGGGGGGAGTAGTCGTGTTCCCGCTGGACTTGACAGTTTCTCAGCCTCTCCTAGGTGCACAGGTGACAGGCCGAACCTGTAAGAACTGGCCCACACTTCATTTAGTTGAGTGTTTTTGGAGTGAGATCCACATTAAGGGGGAGCAGAGATGTGAAGCTGAACCAGTGCTTGGGAAGTGAAGGGTTTTTTGTTTGTTTTTCCTGAGGCCTGAGGCCAGCCCTACCTGTTTCAAAAGCCAGGGTTTGGCTCACCAGAGGTGGGCTGAAGGGGCCTGGCCCTGCCACGTTGTGGGCTCTGAGCTGCACCTCGTAGGCTGTGCTGTGATTGAGGCCCAGGATGGTGTAGCTGGATTCGCTTGCTGGTATCACAATCAGCCACGGGGGAGCAGTGGGAGTGGGCAAGAAATAAAGGCCAGGGTCACTGGAGGGATTGGGGCCTGGGGCTTCTTTGTAAGCAATAGTGTACTCTGTGAGGACACCGTTACATTCCTCAGGGTGTGGGGGAAGCCAAGAGAACTGGATGGAGCAGCAGGTGACATTAACATAACTAGATAATTTGGGGTGTCCCAGGGGTGGGAACAGGGGGATTGTTATTTCTTGCTTCACTTCATCTCCGTAGCCTGCTCGGCTCTTCGCAGAGAGGACAAAGATGTAAGAGGAGCCCTGGGAAAGGTTACTAGCAGTGAAGTTTTTCTCCCGACTTGTGAATTCCACTGTGGTGTCGAAGGAGGAGGTATTCTTTAGGCCATACTGTAGGCGGTAGCCCAGTATTTCCAGCGGGGGTCCCTTACTGTCAGAGCCTGACTCAGAGCACTCTAGCGGAGGAGCCCAATGCACCGCCACTGAAGGACCCGATCCTGGACGCACCCATAAGGAAGGCGGGCCGGGTACTGAAAAGGACAGTGTAGGCAGCAGAAAATCAATGGAAACATATATATATGTACAAACCATAGATCATGTAAATCTTACAAGAATTAGAATTGATTTGGCTTTTTATTTACTGCTGGCTTCAACTACAGTGAACTGTGAGATCAATTCTTCAGTATGTTACTGAATCCAGTGCACTGAACTGTATACTTGGCATATGCTTACAGATCCCATGGGTCTGCACCAGCTTGGCTTTACTGTGCGCTCCGTCCCCTTTGGTGGTGTACGCTGCCACTGAGATAGAGTACAGAGTGTCTGCTCTCAGACCTCCCAAAACCAGCTCCTGTGAAGGCAAACACACACCACACTGTTGACTCTTTTCTTTAAATATCATTAACACTCGTCTCTTCATTCCCTTTCTTACAGTTTTTGGTACAGGAGTATATCTGTGGCTGCAGAGATCTCCAGTTTTCATACTTAATGAGTGTTTCATAAGTGCCTCTTTGTAATAAATGCATTGTGCTGTATGTATTAATAGTTGCCTCATTTATAATGAGAAGAGGACGGGAAGACTGCACTCACATATTGGGTTGAGTCATCCTCCTCCATCTTATCCCACAGACAGAGACACACCCGGCAGGCAGCCCAGACAGATGAGAGTGAGTCAAAGGACAAAGGCAGAGAGAAAAAGAGAGAAAGGGTGTTTAATGATAAATAAATGAGTGTCGTTTAATCAGTTTAAATATTCAGACATCACTCCACCTGAGACTCGTCCAATAAGAGGTCTTTGATGCGGGGAAGGTTTCGTGATTCACCGCTTTCGGCTCGGGCGAAGTGCACCTGGTAGCCACGGATCTGGCCTTGCCGTAACCGTGGCAACACTGATTTCCAGGTGACACGGAGCGCTGAGGAGTTGAACGGTTGGACGTCCACTTGACGAGGGGCTGCTCCGGGGACTAAACACACACACACACACAAATGCAGGAAAACAGAATTAATTCAGTGTCTAACAGTCAGGCCAGTAAATAATCAACTAAACGATCAATACCGTTCAGCCTGATCTACATCTCTCACTCTCACCGTCTTCATCAGTTCTGCAAAGAGTAGCTGGGCTGTCAGGTCCCGTCCCCTCAGTGGTTGTAGCTGCCATAGTGACATTGTACCAGCTCCATTTCTCCAGCCCCTCTATTACTGTCTCCGACTGCTCGGCCAGGATGGTAAGCTCCTTCACCTCCTTGCCCTGCCCTCCTCCTCCTCCTCCTCCTCCTCCTCCTCCTCTTTCTACTCCTCCGCCACCTCCTGCCCCAGAAACTTTCTGGTATCTCAGCTCATAACCTGCCAACTCGCCATTCAGGCCCTCCTTTGGAGGCGGCCTCCAACTTACTCTCAGCGAGGTGGAGCTGGCACTCTCGCAGGACACACCCTCGGGTGGGGCTGAGGGTTCTGATTGGACAAAAGGGGGAGCAGGGAATTGGCAAGGAGTTTAGGGAGAGACCCAAGACAACGGGGGTTGATAAAGAAAAGCAAGAGAGGGGATGAATCCGAGCAAAAGGACAGAAGATAAGGACGAGAGAGGAAAAACAAGAAACTAAGGTAAACTAAACTGAAAGAGATAAGCTGAGGACAAATATCATGCAGGGGAGCAACCACATAATGTAAAAGCATTATGTTAGACTTAGCGCCTAATGAAATAAACCAGAGACAAAAGAATCGACCCCGAGTGGACAACTTAATTACACTCAAGGAGAATGTGCATTCGATACCCGATGATAATATCTCATCCTTTGGCTGAGGTATTAAAGGATGCAGATTCATGAATGAAAAGCAGACAAAGTTTCTCAGTCTAAAGCCAGGAGTGCACATGAGCACAGACAAATATACACATTTCACAACACCAGCCCCCACGGTGGCTTAATCCTTGAGTCCTCGGGATAATAGAGTGGTTTCAGAATTTCCACTGCAGACTAGGGGAAGGTCTTCACACAGAGGACAGAAACAAACAAACGAAAAAAGATCTCACGGAAAAGGATTTTGGAAGCAAGCAAAAAGAGAAAAAAAAAGAAAAAGAAAAAAGAAAAGAACAGGAAGCCTGGGAGAGAAAGGCACTCAGACGGATATTGAACGTCAGGCTAGAATGATGAATTGTGGACAAGAACTGAATCAGAAGTAAGCTGGGATATTTACTGTAACACACACACAGGAATCCAAAAACACAGAAATCACCACATTTTTCTGAGCTGCAGGTTTGACTCACCCTATATAATGTTCCTTAAAGAGCACATACACACTGGCGAGTGTGACCGAGACGTCTGGGCTTGTACTGGAGCTCAGGAGCGTATAGCATGTGTGTGTGTGTGTGTGTGTAAATGTGTGTGTGTGGGAGTGTAATAGTCATAGCTGACAGGTTCAAGTATCTATCCACTCAGCCGTACAGCCAGTGTTCTGTCGGCCTCAGGGGACAATCTAGATGTGCACCAAAGCTTGGCGATAACAAAGCGCACATAACCTCCCTGGGAAATGAATTCTGCTGCATGAAATAGTCTGCTTATCTGGCACCTTCTCTTTCCTGAACACCCCCCCACCCACACCTTTACCCTCCATCCTCTGCCATCTACTCCAGTGTACCTCTTTAGGGTTTTTTCTCTTCTCACAGGTGAGGAGTGAAAGGAGAGACCAGCTACAGGCGTTGAGCATTTTTGTATCTGATTGTGTCTGATAAGTGTGTGTAAATACTTGAAAAACTTACCGATGACAGGATACAGCGCCGTGAACTCTTTCGACTTGGGACTCTTTTCTTGACCATGACTACATTATCAATTCTTTTCCTTGCCTTATTTTCTCTCTTATCTCAACATTTCCATTTCTCTTGAGAGAACATCTGAACTGTCTCGATATGTCAGAGCCAAAAAGCGCAACGTGTTTGACTCCTCTTGGCTGTTACAGAGAAATAAGCGACAATAAAACAAGGAAAAGAATCTGAGTTCAGTTTGGTTGAACTACAGACTGTCAGGTACTTACCTGTCAACACAGCAGGCCAACCACCATCCGTTAATGCGCCTCGCTGCTGACTAGCAGCCAATGAACGGCAGACATTTTGCCTTTTCAAAGACATTAGACACTGATAGATAGGAAAAAAGTGAAAGAGGGCAAAGAAAAGGAAGAGTGAAACATTAACCGGCGCTCTGTGGCCATCCGTCATGATGTTTTGGCTGCGGAATAAAGCGAGAGGCAGAGCCGAGAAAGAAAAAAAAGGCACACTCAAACGTAGATGGATGGATGAGACGGAGGGTGAGACAGATGGGTTGATATTAGAGAAAGATGGAGAGATGTGATGACGACGGTTCCCAGGTTTTTCCCGGGATCAGGAGCTCAAGATGACAAGCTGTGTGTCCATTTGTGAGTGGAGGAGAAAATATGTGCAGCAGAAATTTGCATAAACATATTATTATTATTATCTCTGTGTGTGTGCATGTGTGTGTCTGCAGGGAACCCGGTCAGTTTGAGACGTACTGGCTTGCGACGTCCTCTGCACCAGTTCATTTGTGAAAGCTCCGATGCCTTTGTTTGAGATGGCGGCCAGGGAGAAGGAGTACTCGGTGTTGGCTTTCAGGCCTTCTACGGTGTAAGAATTCCTCGGTCCAAAGGTCAGCTTCTCCTGTTAGAGAGAAGAAAGAGGAGAGCGGAGGACAGGATGAGAGGGGGGAGTGAAAGGCAGAAGATTAAAGAAGAGTTTGAGAGAAATAAAGATGAGGACTGTCATCAGCAGACAAAGTGGTGGTTAATCTCTTAAACTTTCTCTTTTATCTGTTCTGTCTTCTCTCTGTCTTATTAGGAAATCCACCCAGCAGACAGATTCATAAAAAGAGATCAAAAGGTCTTACCAAACTGCCAAACTTGACAGGTTTATAGAGCAGCTCATAGTTGACGATTCCCTCCTTGGTGTAAGCAGGCTCCCAGGTCAGCTCTATGCTGGTGTCTGTCACCCTCCCCACTTTGAACTTCCCGGGCTGGCCTGGGACTAAAGAGGACAGGATGAAACAGTCTGTTAGAGTGCTTTTCTCAATCTAAAACTAAACACATGGATTCATTTCTAAAAATGTGTAAAGCAGGTCCCTTGACTTTTCTGTTTTGTTGATAAAGGTTAAAAAATAAAACTGTTAGAGAGGGGCTGGGCGATAAACCGAAAATTTACAGATACCCAAGTTTACGTCAATAATCGACGTCATTTTGCCCTTGTCAATATATTTAATGTAAAAACAGATAAACAAATAAATAAAAGTTGTTTTTGGATGTGTGTAGGTAGGCTATGGTCTCATGTCCCTTTAAGACGCTGTCCTACATCAGAGACGTGACTCCACCCCATCCAGTCCGTAACAAAGAGGGAAAGACAGGTGAGGAGATGGAGGTTGTGGCGGCTGAAGTAGACAAAGTTAATGTGGGACGGGGTGAGCAGCTTGTGGAGTAGTTATCGTCCATTTAACGTTATCAAGGTGAACTGCTCAATGTATCTTGATATTGATTTAAGGCCATATCACCCAGCCCTATCTTAGAGCTCCTGTAAGGATCCTCTGGGTTTTGTTAAAGTTGTTGCCCCATCAGGCTAAACTGAGATAATACATCTTTTTGCTGATCTTTGTGAGTTGGTAAGAATTTTGACATCTACCATTACTTTTTATTATTTCAGTTCTGTTTGCAATTTTACCATGAGGAAAACATACGTCTGACCAGCTGGACCACAAACATTAACCGCACAACAATTTTTAACATGTTTATGAGTTAATAGTTATTTCATCTACTCTAACAGCTAAAGTCATTTCCCTCTTTAAATATGTGGTGTTTCGAAGAAAGATATTAATATGCAGACTTTATTATTCTCAGGCCACGGCCACTCTCTTGCCATTGCCATGCCAGTAAATATTACTGTCATTGAGCAGGCTTAGTCATTTGTCATTGCCTTGCCTTCCCTGGCCTGGCTGTTATTAACCCTGATACTGCCAATAATAACTCTTCAGATGCAGTCCAGTCAATACTTCTCTATACTATTACTAGAGATCTGAGGACATCGTCCCCCATCTATGTATGAGTGGTTTTAAAATAGAAGAATCTCACTTTTTTTTTTTTCGAAATAACTAAAGTGAAACCCAAAATCCATCTGAGCGTGGGAAAATTTCAATGTGAATATCTTGTTCAACTCAGCACTGAAAGAAGAGTGGAAATGATTATTTTGGCAGCGTTTCTGGTTGAAAAGCTTTCTAATTTGCAAAGATGGTATTTTAAATTTCCCTTATTTTCTATTTTCAGTTAGTTTCTCTGGACGCTACACTTCAAGGACTGTGTTGTAAACTAGAGGGTCCAGAAACTTTGAACTTTATCTAGACTGGCCGTGCTCTTGCACTGAAGCTGCACAGCTCTGGCTATGAAAACATAAAAGCTTTTGGATGCTAATACTGCTGCTTGATATGCAAAGGCAGCAATTGTTAGAAGAGCTAGTGTGGCTGATGGCTATTAGTGTTTGACTTGCGATCACATGTTGGGTGTTTGACTTCGGGCCATGCATGAAAGGCTGTGGCACCCTGCTCGGTTTCACAATCATTTAATGGTCAAAATAAAATCTGTGGTCGAAATCAACATCAACACATGAGCACTGAAAAACTTTTGAACCCTTTTTGGATATCAACAGTGGTCATAGATGCTTTTTGAATGTTGTTTAAACAGAAAACTGCTCACCAAGCTGCTTCTGCAGGGTAAATGAACTCAATCAAAAACCACCCATCTCCTCCCTGATGGTCCACTTTGCTTTTGCAGGTGAAAATGAAGCACCAATATTAATTTTGGTCTGACTCGCTAAAACCTCCACACAGCAGCTTTACAAAACTTAAGTCCTAATTAAAACTATATTATCTGCAAAAGGTTGAAGGATACTTACGTGTGAATATAAATTTATTGACACAATGGGAAAAATAAAAATCATTAGACAGTGTCTTTATGCTCCAATAGGTAAGAAATCATTTTTTATTATGAATTACCATCCCGTGTAACTGTATTGCCTTTGTTTAAAGCTCCTCTAAGGAATTTTCAGCAGGTTAAAAAATAACAGGACGTAATGTTAATACCTTGTTTGACCTAAACAAAGAAGCAGCTAGATCCCAGCATGAAGATTGACTCTATTTTGCTGTTTGTTTAAAAGAACAAGCCTTTTGGGGGCTAGGCATCAGTCCAATACTGTTGTTTAACTGCAAGCTAACAAGCATTTATTTTGAAAAATTTTCATAGCAATGATTTACGCCATGTGATGTATTTCTATACTGTTGTAAAACAGGATGAGATTTTTCTTTTGGAAAAAAATAACTTTCAAATATAGTGAAGAGATAGGAGAAACTGCTTTGTCAACAAGGCACAACCAAATTAACCCAAATATGGAAATAGACCTGCTCCTCAGCCTTTCTGTGTTAAATGAGGACTACACAGCTGCAGCAGTTCAACTGGAGCAGTGTCAAGTGGAGACTTGGAGGATTGATTAGACAAAACAACATTTTCTGTGCGAGAAGTAAATCTTGGGAATTATTTCCTGATCATTTAAAATGTACTGCAAACCTGACCACATTTACAGGAGCGATGATATCCTGGTTATTCCAGTAACAAACCTGCACTCATGTCCTTCCACAGCTTTGTCTCTGATGTATGTGTTTTTAATCGTTTCATGCTAACCTAATTTACCTTCTCTGTTTCCACCATTACTGGACTGTTTTATTCAGAAGCCTCTCTAGGAATGAATGTTTCAAATAAGCATTTCCTTAAGATACTGTAATACTTGCATGTGATGGCTGTACTCTGTTTCATTTTTTTACTCTACATTAATATTTTAGGAACAAATATTATATCTAATTCTAAAAAATAATCCGTAAATGAAGTAATATTTGATTTTTTTTCCTCTAACCTTATCAGTCATTGTGTTTACCCAAAATCAGCAGCCTAGGATTAAAGTTTGAAATTGATCATTTCTATCCTGACCCTCCAAACTCTTGCCTTATTAGCGCAGTTTCTTTATCACTCCCTTCCTCTACGGTAACAGACATTTTAGGTATATTAATAGTACAGCAGCAGCAGCTCAAGCTGCTCTCCACACAAACTCAACCTAGTAATACCACCAGAGTAATCATCCCTTTGTACCTCCCATCACATAAAAACCTGCCACGGCAGTTGTCACGGCGACACAGCGGCAACGAGCTACGACGGACATCTTGGGCTGTTAATCCCTGTTTCCTTTTCGTAAGTCTCCACGGCTCCATCCCGGCAGGTGGAATTTTATTCATTTTCAAGAAGTCATATTTTCTGACAGGTCAAGCTTATATTAAGTATTTCACAGTGGATTGCCTCCCAAACTTTACATAAGTCACTCAGATAAGCTACTTAACACTTTGGATACTCTCGCTCACACACAATAATGACTCATGTGTGCACGGATTCAAAAAACACTCTCCTGCACAAGACCGAACGGTTACCTACGCACCAGCATGAAGGACGGACTCGCAAACACTTTCACACACACACACACACACACACACTGACCTCCAGGCATGACTTTAACATGGACAGGGTCTGAGAAGGGCCCGTCCCCCACGGAGGTGAAAGCTAGGACCTGGATGGTGTAGGTCTCTGAGGTCACCAGGTTCTGAATGGTTGTGATCACACTATCCTGGACGTTGTGTATCTGCCATTCGTTCATGGGCCGAGATGGGTCCATGGTGTAGTAAACACGGTAGCCTTTCACCTACAGGAGCAGAGGAAGAGGAGAGAAAGAAAGGCTGCTTAGTGGATTTAGTCCGGATGTTAATGCCGCTGGTAACCCCTGCTATATGAAATGGTCTCTTGCCTAATTCCAATAACTCTCCAGCAGTGCTAATCCACAACTCAACCAGAGTTTATCACAGCAAAGTCATCATCTATGAATTATTTTTCACTTTAATCTTGATCGTCTCATGGATTTGTTGCTTCGCTGGCAGTGATGGTCACTGTCACAAGGTGATGTCCCTGCGATTCTGGGCCTGTTGTGCCGCTGACCCTGATAAACAAATGTCACTCTGAAGCTTAAACCAAACCAGTTCCAATACATGCCCTCATATTGTAGTGCTTAAGATATAATCACTATACCCCTCTCCCATGGGATTTGTTTATGGGTAGTTCAGAGTATGTGTAATCCCTCTGCCATGCTTCAGCCCTCACCCTCACCACCTCTTTCACCTCTCCTGTTATTACTCTTTAATATCCACAATCCCCATATGCACTCAATTCAATCTTGCACTTTTATGAACATACTGTACAGATAGGTTGGCTCAAAAAAGGAAATAGGCCTCAAGAGGGAGCGCTCTTAACTCAGAGAGGACAGTCCAATTACCTTTTTCTTTCTTTAGCGGCTGGGGGAAGTGGCGAGGGAGTTACAGTGGGGCATCTCTGGGAAGAGGAAGACACAGTCCCAGAACGGAATGTGAACAATACACTGGCATAAAGCTACGGATAGGGAATTTATCAAAGATCTATCTATAAATCTTGTAGTGATCAGTGGAAAATGGGGCTAATGAAATATCAAACAAAATATCAAATTTAGGTTCTATATAGACATGATAAAGTACCTCTTTACTCAAACATTAAACCCTATATTTATATCTTTGCACTGAATATCTGCATTGGGTATCTATTTGATGCATGTTTGAGCTCATCAGGAGCTACAGTGTATTCTGAGATGATCCCACAGAGGTTTCCTTTATAACTGCGAGCTAGGGTGAAGCTAAAACAAGAGGAAACGGGACCTTTGGGGCTGAGCGATTCTGAAAACACTTGGTCTGTTTTTAGGATTTCTTTCTGTCTGATCAGTTTTTTTTTTTTTAACCTTTTCACTTACTTTTCACTTTGTGTCAGTTGTTCATACCTCACTTGTCATCTTTACTGCAGTGATTCTTCTCCCCTTGATGTATTTTTATTGCTGCTGATTTATTGTCCCCATAAGTCAAACAGTCAGTTGCGTTTTGATGGTGCTTTACAACTACTGTGATTGTATAGTGTGCCGTTGTTAAAAAGACGAGTTGCTGAACGAACTCACAACCGAATGGCTATTTTTTAGCAGTGGTTTTTGCTGCAGATATCAATGAACAAACTGGTTTGTTATTTATGAGAGAGAAAAAAAACAGCAGCTTGTAAAAAAAAGTTAATTTGTGTTTTCTACTTCTGATATCACCCATCATCCCACCTGTCCATTGGGCTCCTCCGGCTCCTCCCAGCGGACCATCACTGTGTTCTGAGAAATGATGTGGGCTTGGACGTTTCGGGGAGGACTTGCAGGTGCCTGCTCTCCTGTGCGGGCCTCCACCTTTGTAGATGGAGGCCCCTGGCCGATGCTGTTAAAGGCCGACACTCTGATTTCGTACTCGGTGTTAGGGTACAGTCCTCCGATGCTATAGCGGGTGGTGGTGATGCTGTCGACCGTCTCATACTTGCTGTCAGGCCCTTTGGCTCGGTACTGGATGATGTAGTAGGACACAGGGTCTGGGTTACCAGAGTCCCAGGTGATGGTCACACTGGTGGCGGTGGTCTCAGTGACTATAGGTGTGCCGGGAGGCTTTGGCAAAGCTAGAGATCAGAGAAAGGGCAGAAAAAGAAAATTATATCACTTATTCCAACATTTCATATTGATTGGTTTCTTTGAATTCTACCATCCTCTGAGGATAACACAACACCTTTCATCTCTGCTGATGTTGTCCTGTATGTGTGCAAACAGAGCTCCTTTCTTTTCCAACTGAACACATCACTTATTGAGAATCTTGGCAGAGGAAAATACGAATAAAGATTTTTTTTTATGCAACATAATGTAACTCACTTTTTCTCAGTCCTGCTTTGAAGCAGCAATTGAAGTCATCAATAAGTACATTACACTCATAATCACTACACTCATTCTTGTCCCTGACGGCTTTGTTTACTTCACTAAGTCATACAGAGGCATCAGTCTCAATCTTGTCCTGTTTCTAAACCAGTTAAAATCTGCTGACGGGACTTTAAGCTAATATTTCAAGGGAGTGTGCTGTTGAACAAGAGCATGGTTCCATATGAAATTTTGGTGATTTTTCCTCCTCCAGTTTCCTCTTTAATTGTACAAGAAGAGATCATTTCATTGTCTAACAATTCATGAATTTGGCTCTGGCTACACGACCACTTCATAAACTTGACTGTTGCCTAGAAACACAAAGGTTTTCCTGCCCTCATGCTACGTTTGTGCATCTGCATGTTTAAGAGGATCAACTATTTATAATTTTGAAAAAGATAATGTTTCATTTCATCTGATTTGGACCACTACAGGGTCAAAACAAATGGTTGACAGTCCCTTATACTCATAGAGTGTTTCTCGTCCAATCAGATTCCTCGGTTGGAACTGACTGTTTTATAATTTCTCCATGACGCATATTCTGCAGATTTATTTACCAAGCAACTTGCAATAAAGGACATATTATACTTCCTCCCACACTGCTATGATTCAACAATAAACTTTGGGTGATTCATCATGTTGTTCGAGCTTCTCTTACTTTTTACCAAGACCTGAGCGTTGGCTTCGATGATACCCAGGCTGCTCATGGCCATACAGGTGTAGTTCGCAGACTCCCGGACCCCCTTGAGCTCCAAAACGTTCCGTCCGACCGGCATTTCATCCTCCGGGGTGAGGTCCTCGCTGCCCAGCATCCACTTGACGTAGGGCATGGGCGAACCCACAGCCACGCAGGTGATATTCACGCTCCCTCCTGGCATAATCTCGTGGTTGGAGGGGTGGATGGAGAAACGAGGGGGCACACGTCGCACTGGGAAAGGAGGAGAGTCAGGGTAGAGAGAAAGGGGAGGGGATGGGTTTAGGGGTAAGGGTCGGGGAGGGTGAGGAGAACAGTGGGGAAGGGAGTGAGGAGAAGAAAGGCGGAGAAAGAAGGAGGAGGGGAGGAGGGGGGAGGAAGGGGGCGAGGGAGAGAGAATCAGAGAGAAAAAGAGAGAGAGAGAGGAAGAGCGAGGCAGAGAAGCAAGGTGAAGATCGAGAGAGAAAAGCAAGGTCAGGAAAGTTAAAAAGAAAGAAAAGGAGAGAGAGAGAGAGAAGAAGAGAGGAGAGGTAACAGGAAGGGGGAGAATGAACTTCAGGGTTTTTACAGAAAATTACAAAGGGATATTTCAAGTTTTGTCCCAATTACTTTATGGTACTAATGATTCCAACAGAAAGACACAAATCTTGTGTTGAGCTCAACCAATCAGAGTGAGCTGCCTAAAAAATCATAAAGTGACAAACTCTTGAGTATCGTTTCAGCCAGGACATGACACCTATAGTCAGTTTCTCTTGTAATTGTTTTTAAACTCATATTAATTTTTTTTTTAGTTAGATTCTCATTTTTCCCCTCAAGGAGATGCTCAACTTTTCCAAAGACTTTATGTGACAAACTTTTACTTCATTGTGATTTTTTTTCGCCTCAGGGCGCTTCCGCATCATATGGGTTCTTTTTAGAGGGAGCGTATGCATCATAGGGGCCGATCAATAGGCCCTACTTGCTATTTGTGTCCCCCTTAAGAAGAACAAGAGAAGTGGCAAAGAATATCGGATGCTGCATCTGTCAGAACTGGGTTGACTTTGTATTAGGGAGAGATGCATCGAGAGACTGAACTCATAGGTCGCTTGCATGCCTGGACGACTCAAGAGGAAAAAATGGTGGAGGAACACAAAGAAGAGAACGAAGAACTGAAGAGGAGACGGAGGGAAGCAAGACGAGAGCAGAGACACTGATAGAGGGATAGAGGAAGGTCCAGATCGAGAGATAGAGAGAAATAAAGAGAGAGAGAGAGAGAAGGAAAGAAAGAAAGAGAGAGGCAGCTCTGCTTCTCTTCCAGACAATGACAGGCAATGTAGCAAAGGACAGCCACATTGTACAACAAGATACTGTACAATACATAGGATTCATAACTGATACAGTGTGTAGTCAAATGAGTTGGAGATGTGGACAGGAGTGGAGTCTAAAAAGGTGTCGTGGCAAATTACAGAGTGATCATTGACACATTGAGTAAAGAACACCAAGACAGCATGAAAGAGGCAGAACGGGAAAGAACAAGTGCGAGCAAAAAAGAGAGATATGTGAGGTAGTATGTGCATGTTTATAAGTTAATAAACTTATGTACATGTGTCTGTCGCTCCTACACATCAGGGTGCAGACAGAATGCAGAAGAAGAAGAAGAGAAAAAAAGGAAGGGGAGAGGGAAAGGAGGGGAGAAGACAGGGAGGTGGAGATAAAGAGAGGATTAGAAGAGGGTTTTAGGGGGAAGGAGGGAAAAAGGGGGGAAGAAAAGAGGAGCGAGGAAGAAGAAAACACATGGATCTATTTTAAAAACACGGCTATATACCAGAGTCAGGCCCATTCAGAAAGGAGGTGCTTCAAAGGTTAGAAATAAAGACTGAGAAGTAGAGAGCGGATGTTGAAGGAACAGAAGAAGAAGAAGAAGAAGAGGAGGAGGAGGAAGATACCCCAGGGTCACAAGACAGGAAACAGAGAGAGAAACGGACAAACATTTCTGTATGGGAGGAGAGAATGAAAGGGAGGGCAGACAGAGAGCAAAAAACATAGCCGAAAAAACAAAACTTAACTCACTACTAGGTAGCTTGTACGTTCAATAAAAAATGAGGGTGAGGAGCAACAAATTTTCTATTCAAACGGACAAAAGATAAGAAAACCTCAAATAAAGAAGTAAACTTCAAACCTTGGGGAGCAAATAAATAGGAGCCTCTTTCCTTTAGCTTAAATGAAGCACTACGTTTTAAGTAAGTAAAAAAAAAAAGGATTAGGTTAGGATAAAAAAAACAAAAGTAAATAAATATGGGGAAATTTGCTGCACAACCTCCACTCCAAAATGTGTAACATCATTACTTGGAATCTTCATGGGCCACATCCCCCCTACTCAAAGAATCTAGAGACAATTGGATAAAAGTTAACATTTTTTGGCATGATTTCAACAAATCAAAACAAAAAAAAGTTGCCATGACATCACTGTCGTTTCATGAGTAACAAAACATTTGATTTTTATCTGAAATTAAAAAAAAAAAAAAAAGAGAATAAATCAAAAGATGGAAGATACCCAGAATTGGATACAGAAGTCGAAGACACGAAAGAGACAAAGAGACAAAAACAGGTAGATCTGTTAGAGAACAGACATGATTAGGCAGGCATCTCCTCAAATGTGCATGCTGGAGACAGACAGACATACAGACAGACTAACAGACAGCTCCATGCACAAGACATGCAAAGCAGATTCAATACAGTAATACAAAACACCACCAATTACAATCAGTCAGTTATTTTTCCCCTATAGTTATGACAAAATAAACAAAAAAAGACGATTCGTTAAGCGTTTAGATTAGTGTGGTAATATGAGGAAGAGCAGGATGAAGGTGAAGACCCAGGATGATCATTTTGGTAAAACCTGACCCCAGCAGTAAGAGTATTTCTAAAGAAATCTGCCCGGCAAAGAGACAAAAGACTGAAGAATCCACAGCAGAGACACAGCCGCGGACTTTACAATGAAGTGAGCTCATAACAAGGGATAATCCTTCACATGCTCACAGAGCCTCCAGCTTAAAGTTAATCTAGCGGGGCTGCATGATTCCCCTCCACTTTCTATACAGTTTGAGAGAGCTTCAAGCCTCAATCTTTATTAGCAGAGCTATCATTAGTCGTGTCCTCTGCAGGGAGTCTGGAGGCTACAGACTGGGGAGACCTTGGCACAACCGTAAGGATTACCGTTGGATCCCTGCACCGCGCTGTACCCGTTCGGCAGCGGCGTCACTGAGCTGACATTTACGCAGCACCATCCAGTCTGTCTCAAGGACACGGCTTTCATTAAACACTGTAGTGAGAGGGAATCATTAATATCCCCCCACCCGTTACCTAAAATGTGAATTGATATGATTAATTTCAAATGTCAGTCAACAGATTATGTCTGAGTGTTTGCAAAGATAGCCACGGTCAGGACACAGCACTGACTGTGTGAAAATAAATAATTGACTGGGATATTGCTATACCTTAGCTCTAAACAGGGGTGCCTCGGTGTTCAAATTAATTCAGGAGACCAGAAATACTTCAATCCTTTACTCAGTTTATGACCAAAACATATAAATACCTAATCAGGAGCTAAACTCTCGCATAACAATGCCACTGATGTGAGAGTTTAAGTGTATTAGAAAACTCCAAAAGCACCTCTGAGTGTCTTTTACCGAAGGTTGCCTCTGTTAGGGTAACTGTTTATTTTCAGCTTATATATTTACTTGAAACTATATCATCAAATGGCTAAATGCTGCAAACCAACAAAACCTTACAAGTAGAGAGAAGACCTATAAAATACATAAACATACCCGTTAATGTCAAACCTTGAGGAAACAGATTTGTTTAAAGAAGTTTATAAGATAGTTAGTGATTTGTATATCTGAAGCTGGAGGGTAACAATGTGTGAAGGCTTTTTAGTTTGTATCATTGTTAGCAGGTGTGGCATCAACAAGCTAAAAAATAGCTAAACAGTTAAGCAAGGCATTCATTTCTCACATTAGGTGTCATTAGTTTTTATTTCCCAGAGGGAATCTTCCCAAAGAGGAACAATAAAGTTCTATCTTATCTAATCTAATCTGATCTAATCTAATCTAATTATCTAGCTATTATGACAATATGTGATTACTCTTTAAAAGTGTTTAATCTTAATGCTAATGTTTAAGGTAAATGTCTCTGACTGGGGTATATGTGCACTGCTCTTTTGTAATTTTAGTAAATTTTACTTTTTTAAAAATTGTGATTATTTTGGGTAATTTTAGCCTTTATTGTAGGACAGTGTGGAAATATGGGGAGATAGAAGCGAGGGGGGAGGACATGCAGCACATGGTTGGAGCCGGACTCGAACACGCAACCACTGCGAGGACAGTGGTCCCCATACATGTGGTGCGCTAACCTGCTCAGCCATCCGCGCACCCCGTAAATTTAACTTCTGAATAACACACGCCTCGAAAAGGCAACATGTTCATGAAGACATGGGATAGTTTCTGCGTTTAATCTGTTTATAAACCGTGTCTATTAACAGTCAAAGGAGCACAGTGAAAAACAACATTTCTCTCTTTTAGACACCTACAAATACACTCTTTTTCTTTCCACCATTGTTCACATGATAGTTCCCCCGCCGTCTTGATGTCGTGAATTTGGCAAAAATAACTGATGCTTCGCCTGCAAACCTGCACAACACGCCGCACCTAGACACACAAGGGCAAGTGCAAGCATGACAGCGAGTGCAAGATTTCCACCAACAAGCACATATTTAGACAAGATGTGATGTCATGGGAGCTGTGACACACACATGATAACACAAAGCTGGAAAAAAAAAAAAGTGAGACAATTGCAAGACATGACAAGACCGCATGTTCAATGATAATATCACATCTTGAGCATATCAATAGGCGTGAACACACTGTGCCATGCTCCTGTGTCAGTCCATCCATCAACACACATGCAAGTGGTGCTCCTTTCTCTTTCTCTTTCTCTTTCTCTCTCTCACTCCTTTCATGCAAACATCGCCTCTTTTTTTTAATCTTCCAATTCTTGGGTCTCCATGACAACAAGATCATACCATGCAGAAAACATTGATCGGGGAGTGAAGGCAATACCAAGGGTTCTGCACACAAGGCCTCACAATGCAGACAATGCACTCTGCTGCGTAGGCAGACCACTTCATCATCACCATCATCGTAGCAGCTTTAGAAAAATCAACTCTCTATAATTTTGGAGACATTTCACTTTAAAAAAAATCTAATCCAACGTCCTTCAAATGTCTTTTATTTTTCTTTTTTGTTTCTCTCTGTTTCAACAAGTAAAGCTTTCTGAAACAAAGGAGTAACAAAAGAAAAGAAAGAGCACACCAACCTTCTCGAAGCTCTGAGGGATGAGAGGGGGTTGATGCAGAACACAATGACGTGAGGGGGGGAGAGAGAGAACGGGGAAACACAGAGAGAATAAAAACGGCCAGCGCAAAGCCACTCGCACCTCTGCATCACACTTGCACGCAAACGCACACACATACACACACTCTTTCGTGTCACATTCACACTCTTCTGATAACGCACTTCACATAGAAAGTAGAACTTATACTTCTCAACATTGGTTGTGGTCTTTGAGCCAATAAGCACCCACAGTCCAAACTAGGATCAGTTCAACAGGGCTCACATGTGGCCGTTATTTAAATATTTAATAACAAATTATATTTTGGTTGTTTGGCTTCCAATTTGGTACTTTTTGTTTCATTCGCCTCTTGTACAGAAACCATTTTAGTAGACAGATCAGTGATGTTTCCATGCAGTTAAACCGAGGTGTGTCCCCGACTTCATCTTCAATGTGATTTCACCGTTGGGGCTCACACCGGGGTTTAAGGTGGACTTGTTAAAGGTGGTTGTGAGAAACAACAGAGTCAACAAATACTGTAGACAATGAATGGGTTAGTAATACTTGTTTACAGTAAGAGCACGGCTATGGAGAAGAAATATGCTTTTTATAGCAGCACCTTTAATGTGGAGATTTCTGTGTGGTTTTCTGTCTTTGAATGTGTGCGCGTGAGGTGCACATGTCATGTGATCTGGTCCTACCTCGCACGTAGAGGTTGGCAGGAGAGGAGTAACGTACACCTTGGGAGTTGGTGGCCACACACTCATACTTCCCTTGGTCGGTTTCCTCGCTGTTCTCGATCTGCAGCGCTCCTGTGAGACACAAAGTGACAGGAGGAGAGAAAAGAATAAAGATGTTTAGTTGACTTTGCAGAAAACAGTCCCTGCTGCTGCTGCTGTTGCTGCTGTCTCGCTTTCTTTGCATCCTCTGCTTTTCATCCTGCTACGTTTGTCTACTGGTCTGTTTCTGTTAAATTTTGACCCCAGGCATATCCGCCCTTCTATTGCTTTAACATCCAATGAAGTCAGTTTTGTTGTCATATCTGTGAAACATCATAAAAATGGGCCATGCTCTTATAAACCATCAGCAAAATAAAAAGATTATTTTAGACTTTACCCCCCTCTCGAAAAGCAAACAGACTCGTAAAAACACTGAAAAATTTTACATTTTCCCAAAAAGTTTGGAGGCCAAGTCTCAAAATGACTTTTTATAAACTTCTATGACATTTAAGGGAGCTTCTGTTGTATATATTTTTTGCAAGCAAGTTATTCCTCTCCTACAGCACTGCTGCGGCGAAGAAAGTCTGTTTCTATCTTGGCAGTTAACTGGCAGCAACTACACGGCTTTCCCCCTGCGGCTACAACCCAGCGATGCTCTTTAACTCCTCAACTTGTTCCTTTTACTTCCTCAATTTTTATCCTCCTCCCCTGATCCCAGCATGGTAAACAGTGTCTCCCTAAATGTACTATAATTACACACAGTGCTTGTCAGGTATTCTTTTGTTTCTTTTGCTTCACGCGGTGCCATTCTCACGGCTTCTTAAAACCTTTTTTTTTTTTTTTTTGCTAACAGCTTTTTGAATTACCAGCAGTGATTTTTTTTTATTTTTTTTTTCAGCCGGCTCTGTCACATTCATCTCATCTGAAACTGACTTTGACATGGAGCCTGAGGAGGAAGCACAAAACCATGGATTACACTCTGCTGCAGGAAGAGAGAGAAAAAAGACAAAACTAAAAAAAAAAAAAAAAAAAACGGACGCACGCACACACACACAGATAGAGAGGCATGTAGAGACACACAGTGCACAAGCACACACACAAGCGTAGTGTTTTGTATCAGATCTTCTGTAAAACTGATAAAGGGGTCTGGTTTATATTACAAGAACAGATATATCAAAAGAAACAGAAATATAGAGTGTTTTCATGATATTACTTTGTATGTACATTTAATTTAACAGTATCTTCACATTTTGACTAAAGTAAGAATAGCAACACAGTGCTACAACCCATAAATACTCAACTGTGTATTTCATTACACTTTTAAATGACAGACTCACTTTATTCCTTTTGAAGCATCAGAACTTTTTCCTCATGATTACCCAGCATGCACACACCGATCACTGCTGGTTCATTACCTGTATACCAGCACCAGAGTCAACACCCACACTAGATTTCAAAACTGTGGAGGATGACAGAGTTTTTATTTATTTTTTTTAGTGGTAACAGGATTAATCAGCGCTGTGTGGTTGATGAGAGGTGCATGAGTGATATTGAATCGTGTGTAAAAAAAAAAAAAAAAAAAAAAGAGCTGCTGTCAAAACTGAGCAAAGAACAACCAAAGCTATTTGGCTGGGTGAGTTAAAGAGAGTAACTTTTATTACATTTTGTTCAGGTTGTATCTTAAAAACAATCCTCTGATCTGCAGACTTGCATTAAAAAAAGAGAGAGAGAGAAAGAAGAGTAGGAGCACAAACAAAAAATAAGATAGATGAAAGTAGGGCTGAGCGATAAAACGAAAATCTGCTGATACTGAAATTGACGACAATAACCAATGTCATTTTGCCTATATCAATATATTCTGTGTCAAAAAAATAAATAAATAAAAGTTGGTTTTGGATGTGTGTAGGTAGGTTATGGTCTCATGTCCCTTTAAGATGCTGTCCTATGTCAGAGACATGACTTCACCCAATCCAGTCCATAATAAAAAGGGAAAGACAGGTGAGGAGACGGAGGACGGTTCAAAAGTTGTAGCGGCTGAAGTAGATGAAGTTTATGTGGGAGGGGGTGAGCAGCTTGTGGAGTAGTTTTTGTCCATTTATTGTTTTCCAGGTGAACTGCTCAATATATCGTAATATTCATTTGAGGCCATATCGCCCAGCCCTAGATGGAAATCTGGTCTTTTTTCCTTATACCAATGACATACAACTTTTATGAAGTTTAAATACTGTTTGTATATTTTCAGAGCATCTTTTTCAATTGTATGACCATATTATCTGTATTTATCATATGGTACTATGGATCCACTATTGATATTATTGAGTGTGGTCATTAAATGGTTAAACGGTTCCAATTATTTGACAATAATAATACCAGACATTGGTTTGTTGAACTGCCCCACTAGAATTTAAAGAGTTTTTTCTGACCATTCAAAGACCAGATCATTAGCTCGATCAATTCCAGTCTGGTCACTGAAAATGAAAATAATCACCACTTGTAGCTCTGTACTTGAAACTAAATCCAAAGCTTGAGTTGATATACGGACAGTTATTTTACACCACAGCAGACACAGACGGTTCACATGGTGTGTTATCCTAATGGAGGGAAAAGCTTTCACTGATTAAATCTTAAAAAGCCGGCCAGTTAAGCACTAAAAGGCTCCACAGAGACCCCCTCTGTGTGTGTGTATGTGTGTTAGTGTGTGTGAGTCTTCACATTAGCCGATCAGAATATGCTGAAGTTTAAACAACTTGTTTTTTTGGAGGTTACGACGACGCAAAAGTTTGACTTGTTATGTTCGGCTGGGGCATGGGTGTGTGTTTCGTCTGCTGAGGCCCTGCGAGCTGGAGCTGTCATCCATTTGTTTCTGTCTTCTGCGTTACATGAAAGAAAAACAGCTCGTGCCATCCTCTTTCTCTATTTCTCCATCTCCCATTTCCCCGTGGTACAGGGCCGAGTTGGGAGATAAACAGGAATAAATTATCTGCTCTACAAGCCGAGCCTTCTTCTCATAGAGGAGGAAGAAGAAAAAGACAGAGTGGAGGAGAGATGGAGCCGGACAGGTGGAGCTTTACAAACAGGAACTCATCTGACAGCTGGAAGCAGCTCGTATGGCAAACTATCAGCACAAATTTGAAATTGGGGATTGAATTTTTCTTTTATGTAAAGACAAGTCGTTCCGTAATAGTAGTCAGCTTATATGCATATATAAAGGTTACCGTGTGTGCATAAACCAAAGATGCATATCTGGTAACACACAAACATAATGAGAGGCAGTTTGGAGGAGCAGGATAGAAAGCTGTAAAAAGGGAGAGTGAAAGATAACAGAAGAAGAGAAGGGAGAGGCAGAGCAGTTTGTTAGTGTGTGTAGAAGCTGCTGACAGACCCAGAATGAGATGTGACTTCAGTAAATCGAGCTGCTGTGAAATCGCAGAGGGTGTATTATGTCTGCTGGGCAAAGACTCTGCCGATTGGATGACAACAGATACTGCTAACCTGATCGGCCTGCGAGAACATGTAGGTCAAACAGATCAGCTGGACTCCATATCTCCCACAGGAGGGACATTAACTTTAACTGAGACCGGACATTACCAACGGTGGAGACAGACTAAGGCTATTTATACTGGAATACACTTACTCAACACAGTTCTTAAGGTTAACATATCCATAATAATATAAAAAAAAACTTTTAAAGCAAGGTAACAATATCACAATTAAATGATTAGGACTTTGACAACCTCACAACTCTGTGACAATGTATTGTTAACTACCAACTAAGTTAACTTTTTATTCTTGGTGTTGATGTCTATTGTCTTGCTTTTTTTTTATTCCACCAGATTGAACACGTTTATACTTTGGTAATTGATCAGGCATATTGAGAAATAGATATCACCTTCCTAGATTGTGGCAGCTGTGACAGGCTTTTCTTCTTAGCTTACTTTATTAACTGTATGAAAACTCCCACTGAGCATTTTTTTGGTCTAAAAGAGGTCTTATAGATGTCTAAATGTGGCCTAGACGACTGGTCTAAAATCAGGCTAGCACAGGTCTTAAAATTAAAGTTTTTTAGATGTCTAAATTTAGACCAAGTTTAGACCAAGTCTAAATCTGGGCTAAATCTATACTACACTATATATCGCACAACAGCTATCATAATTATTTTGGTTAAGTACTTGGAGATCAGTTATGCAACTCACAGTTGCTTTTTGAAATAAATAGTTATCAAATAATGGGTGAAAGTGCAACGTCCAAATTCTGTCTAAAAATATACAGAATCTAGATGGTTGAAATTAGGTCTAAAAAAAAACTATTAGTCTAATAGCCTTCTATTGCTCGGTGGGCTTGGCAAGTAAATTATTAACAGAAACAATCATAACTTAAAGTACCATACTGATTATTTTTGATCAACATGCACAGAAATGGGAATAATAACATAATTCTGATTGCATAGAAGTTGGTAGGCTATCTAAACTGGTGATAAAAACAGATATTAATGACTCACAAATCATTTACCTGCAGAACCATCTCCCTGATGACTAGATTAAGATTTAACCAGTTGGTTACTGGCCAAATAGGCAGTTTTTCAAAAATAAATATGAGAAGTGGCTCACAGCTTTGTGAGAGACTGTGCGAGCAAAACCGCGAGCACAGTCTTCAGCAATTGCAGCATAATGTTCAGTGTGTTTGAGGATTTTGTCAAACACAATTCATATCATTAACAACCCACTGAGCAATAGACGGCTATTAGACGTCTAGTTATTTTTTAGACCTTATTTCAACCGTCTAGATTCTGTATATCTGTAGACGGAATTTAGACGTTGCACTTTAACCCGCTATTCGATAAGTATTTACTTCAAAAAGCAACTGTGATTTGCATAACTGAGTACTAAACCAAAATAATTATGATAGCCGTTGAGCAATATACTGGTAGACCTCTGTTAGCCAGTCTTCTAGACTACATTTAGACGTCTATTAGACCTCTTGTAGACCAAAAAATGTTCAGTGGGAGGATTCACAGAATTTGAAGAAACCTTTGCATGAAAGGGGACTACACCAAAAACCAAGAGTGGATAGCCAAAACCTTTCGGCCCTTAGATGGCACACCATTAAAAAAAACACACACGACTCAGTAGTGTGTGTCCCTGCATAGCTTCAACACTACCAGATACAAACATGATCCAGAAACGCTAGCAACCTCCCTGGGCCTGAGCTCATTTATAATCGACAGAGTGGAAGTGGAAAACTGTCCTGTGGTCTGATTAATCAAAACTTGACTTTCAATTTGGAAGTCAGAGAGGCTGCTAGAAGGGAGCCCACAGTACAAAAGCCTGAATCCCTCATAGTATAGGGTTGCTCAAGTACCCACTGCGTGTGTAGCTTACAAATCTGGGAGGACATTATTAATGCTGGACAATGTTTACACAGTTTGGAGCAACATATGCTGCCACCCAGCCAATGCCTCGCATATTTCAACATGACTATGACAAACCACATTCTGCAAATACAACAGAAGCACGGCTCCATAAGAGTAGAGTCCTGGTGCCAAACTGACCTGCCTAAGGTCCAGACTTGTCACCCACTGAAAACATTTGGCATATCACAAAACAAAAAATAAGACAAAAGAGACCAAAGCTGTACAGCTGCTGAAACCAGGTTAGAATGAGGTAACATTTCACTTTCAACATTTGAGAAGCTGGTCTCTTTGTTTCCTTTAATTTCACAGAGTGTTGTTAAAAACAGAGCTGATGCAACACAAAGGTAAACATGCCCCTGTGGTTGAAATGGTTTCTGGTGTCAAATTTAAAATGAGCATATATTTCAAAAGACACCTTTTTTCAGACTTATCATTTCATATGTTGTGTTTGTGCTGACTTAAATTAAATACAGGCTGTAAATAGTTTGCAATTAATTCCTTTTTAAAATTTTACACAGTTCCCTGTTATTTTTAGAAGTTTTCTGAGGGTACAAGTATGACAAATGACAGAATAAAACACATTTATCTGCATATTTTCTATCATTTAGTCATGATCAGTCATATCATCTGTAAAAGGATTTCCTTGAAATAAAAATAATCCTGGATCTCTTCCAAAAATAAATGACTTTTATTTTTGGCCAGTGTCCTAATTTACCATCCAAATTTCACTGCAATCTGCTTTTAAGAAGAGATCCTGCTGGCTAACAGACAGATAAACAAGCTGGATCAGAAATAAATTCAGAGGCAGGGGTATTCAGTGACGCACAGGCAATGTATTAAGTCGGTCTTGATTAAAGAAGACTGGCCTTTTAAGAAAAAAGTCTGAGTGATCCCTGTATGAGATCTTCCTTTACTTCTTCGTTACATGTTAGTGGTTCCCTGTGAGGCTGATTTAAAGAAACAGTGTAATCTCTCCTCTGTTTTGCTTTAGGTACCATGACCACGACCTTTGATCAAATCTCAGCCAGGACAGGTCCATCCATTACCCAGCAGTCAACCTCAGGGTCCATATTGCTTGCCATCTGTTTGTGTGTGGGTCGCGAGGGCTGCTAAGTGCTTAGGTAAACTCTCCAGATCTCGTCCCAAATGTCAGAGATAGAAGGATTGCTTGTCACAGCTCTCCTCACGCACATCTAAACTGGTGCAGCAGATGGCATGGAAAAATAGATGGATCCCTCAGTCGATGTATAAAGATGTTTGGAAGTTCAACTCTATACAGCGCCATATGTTTGAACCCACAGGAAGCTGGCGTTCACGACTGTCACCTTTTGGACAGTCACCTGCAGAGGGAGGACACCGCCGATGATGGATACTCATGGGCTGTAAAGTGGCTAACAGTCATCTTTAGAGGGATTTCAGTGCGGCCATTCTCAACATCATTTTTCATTTTGACCCATATGGGCCGTAAAAATATTTCCAGCAGAGAAAGAAAAGGAAAGACAGAGAGAAAACAATGTTTGTGGCCAAGAACAGATCCCTGGCTGTGCTCCAACGAGAGCTGGCAGACGTCCACGAAATCAGAGGCACTGCTTGGAAGGTGCCCTCATTAAACAGATTTTAAAGGAGCGTTTCATCCATAACACATCTCGCTGCTATTTTGCGCCTTAGCTTAGGTGTAATTGATTTCCTCCAAGTCATTCCACTGCAGTGTTTGGTTCATTATACAGTGCATTTTGTTGTTCAGCTTCGTGATGCTTTTGGTGATTTGAAATCCTATTAAAGCCCTGTGGTGAATCTCACCGAGCCATTTGTCTTCCTACTGTTTCATTGATGTGAAATGTGCCCCAACGTTCTGTACCGGTGAATCAGTGTCATGTCTTTGTGTGACACCCTATAGAGGGCACAATGAGCCTCAGAACACACCAAGTGAAACGTATTATGATGGATTGTTAAATTATTTACCATTTTTGGGCTACAAGAATAAGTATTCACAACGCTGTATCAGAATGAAAATCTACTTTAGAGAGTAGCAAGAAAAAAAAAACAAAAAAAACAGGCAGCATAGAAGTGTTTGAGAGAGTTTCTTTTTTGTAGCTCCAAGGCCGCCAACGCTTTCTCATAAATTATGGGCAAGATATAAAATGTTTGCAAAGTATTTATCACAATTAGAAGTCCATAAAACAGTCACGACACTGCTCCCCCTGGCATGTACCTTATGTCCCCGATACCAAAGCTTTAATGGTCTCTAAGTTTTATTTGTCCAAACACTGGCTCACCTGCCTCCATGCAACAACACGACTTTTCCTACACAAACTTCAACCCACACCAACTGCAGGGTATTTTATCCAAAGGCAATTACACAAGCACTCTGCACTAAACAGTGTCAGTAAAAAAAAATGAGCACACCAGTGAGTTACAGGATTGATAAAAGAAATAGGCAGAGGAGCTAGAAGTAGGAGAGAGTGGGCAACAGCTACCTACTAAACTACTTTCCATTTGGCCAAACTGGAGCACTGACATATGAATGGGTAACTTATCACACCTACCTAAACAACTAATATGAAAGTATTGAAGTGATACAGACGTTTAACTTTAGCAAGCGACGCAGCAGAGTGACAACACTTAAAATTACTTGACTTGTTCTGAAAGGATTAATCATAGAGCTACCGTTAAATCTGGAGTCTGTTTTTTAGGGTCACCTGAGGAAAAAAGTCTGTTTTTACCGTGTAAAGTCTGCATTCCAGCCACCTACAGCTCACCCTGCAGTAGTGTAGATTAGGGATGGGCGATATTGGCTAAAAAATTTATCACAATAAGTTTTGCCATTCTGGTGACAACGATAAAAGTCCTATAAAAAATATTATAATTCCAATCAATCTTTTTAACTCATTCTGTCTTGAGAACATCAGTTGGCACAGTCAAATATGATACTTAACCACAAGTTTAGTGGTAGGTTATGGAGAAAACTAGCAAAGTCAAACAAGTCTGAAAGTGAAAACTCTTTCCAGATTCATTGAAAACTCTTAGTTTGCACAGAATGAACTGCAGCAGCAGATCCACTGTCTGATGTCAGGTATACCTAATTGCACTTGTCTATGCCCCAATCTTCACCACCTTCTGCCATGTTTGTTTGTTAATCTGCTCTGTATGGGCTACGGCTTTGAGTTCGTCAACTTGCTTTTATCGCATTTATCACGAGATAGAAAATAATTATCGTGGAGGATTTTTCAGATGGTAAATTGTGAACATGAATTTATCACCCATCCGTGGTGTTGATACTTGTAAGGCACTGTCCACGACCAATTCCACTTCTCAAAGTTTATTTACTTACTGATATAACACCATTTACTTAAAAAACATGGTTATGACCTAATGAGGGAGAAAAGCTGTGAAGAAGTAACACAGCCAACCCTGTCCACTTGCTAGCTATTTGTCTCAGCATGTTTAGTGCAGTGATGCATTTTTTGACACAGTTTAAGCCAGTAGCATCTTCAGGGTAAAACACCTCTTTGCTTTTCTTATTGGTGTATTGGTTGCACTGTTGTATGGAAAACTTGACAGGACCTACTATTGACCCTTGGGGAACACCATGATTTACTTAGTGAGATATTATTCAACAAGATCTAAAATATGAATATTGTTTTATGTGAGCTGAATAACATGTTGGATAAAATTCAAACAAGTAATAAAATGTGAAAATTCAGCGGTTAAAGAGTTTAATTGATGGTCTGCGTGGGGGTTAGAAGGAACACCTTAAACTATGATTAAATTGTACTTAATGTGTACAATAAAAAGTAATGCTGAAAATCTGGAGATATTCATATGTTGTTGTCCACACTCTCTCACATACACCTTCATATTGAAGGTGAGACACCACAGAGGTGTAAGATTAGTTTTTGCAGGTGTAAGTTTAAAGTTTTGGCATGGCATCAGATATCCCAGGGGCCATTTTACCCAATGCACCCCTGAATAATTTGCACCTTTCTCCAAGGTTACAGTGCACATCATCAGTTTGTCTCTGAGTCACAGATTACATTTGGAAACACTCTGTCCAGTACAGTATCATCCTGTGTGTAGTATTTACTTACAGAAGATCTCTCCGGATGTTACTGTATCTGAGTTAAGACTAACGTTAAGAACTCTGTTCTTGCTTTATTGGATTTGATCAAAGTCCAGGAACCCAAGCCAATCTTGTTAGCTATAATTGCATTACATCGCCAAACAAAGTCTTGACTCTAAATGTTGTTTTACTGGATTTCTACTGCAATGCTCATGAATTTTAGTGTCGTCCAATTTTTGGAATTTAGTTCAAATAGCCTGAGAGCTTGATCTCACATTGTGTTTTTATCTAAACTGTAAAACACAAATTTCCACATTTCCAAATCGTCTATGGTTAGTTTTTGCTAAAGCAGCTTTGCATGATACTATGTGTGGTAGTATGAAGCCATTAATTGCATATATGTGACCTTTTCCTTCATTTCAGAGTGGAGTCTGATAGTTACAGACTGCTTTTTACTTACAGAGTCAGAATAAATGAGCTCTCTGACTAAATCTGATTAGACCCCCCTCTTTTCCCTATAATTTCATGTGGGAGATTAAATCTGTTATTATTTTAAACTGCACGCATCCAGAGCATTACATTTCACACACACACACACACACACATACACACACACAGAAACAGTGATAAGTTACCATTGTGAACCCCCTTAATATTTCTCATAATAGCATGAACCGTGCATCCACAGACGCTCACAGGCTGACAGAGGGCACTGGTGTTCGGTAAAGGCTACTGGCTGACAGCAGGGAGATATGGGAGCTGGCAGGACGCAGGAGCACAGAGAATATGGATGAAGCGACAGCAAAATGGTTTCGCCTCACCATCACTTTCATTCCCCTTGAGGATGGCTAAGAGGGAATGGCTGAGAAAATACACGTCTGCCTCCTCCAGGAGACACTGTATCATCCATACAGGAGAGCATAAACAAAGCTGAGCAGACTGTCTTAAACGCAAGATGTTATTCCTCCGTTTTCATCCTCTGATCTGTCAGCACAAACGCAGTTTTTTACCCTGCAAAAAACAATTTCCCCCTCTCTCTTTTTCCTATTACCGTCCCTGGCAGAGTGATTTTACATTCAGAGTTCATTTCACACTCCTCAGGCTGGGCGGGTCAAAGATAAGAGGAACATCAGTTAAAAAGCTAATGTGGAGAAACTCCCGTCACTATGCATTGATTTTGAAATCTGGGAAAAGAGAACTAAGTTTTTTTTTGAGGAGGTGGATTGATTATTTCATTAAGCATTCATTATAAAGTTCTCTACTTTGTAGTTGTTTGTAACTTCTTCAACCCACTTGAGGCTCTTCTTTTTCATGCTGCTGTTATTTGACATTTATGATCCACAATGGAAGAGATTTGCGCCTTTTAAGTGTCATCCTATTCTAATCTTCTCTCCCCAATGTTATAAAAAACTGCATTTTTAATGGCTTAAGGACCGCACAATTATCCTTTTATAAAAATTGGCTTTAAAAAGGTTTTACACCCCCAAAGGATGCAGATAAACTCAGAGAGGAGCATGTAATCCCTCAATCCTAATTAAAACACGATAATCACCAAATTTAGAGCAACAGGGATTTCAACCACGATAGTAATGCTAAGCTGTAGATGCACTGTTTGTTTACTTATTTCCAAATGAAATAATCTGACAGTTACTGCTTGTCAATCCCACCTGATCGGAGCTGCTTGATGCGACCCTGGCTCGAGCTGGGGTCCACAGGCAGGAAGTCTTTGAACCAGGAGATCTCCGGGTCCGGGATGCCACTTGCAGCACACAGCATGGTGGCTGTCCTTGTCCGCTCCACCACCTTCAGCTGGGGACCCATGTCTATGCTGGGGAAGCCGAATGGCAACAGGTCCTCTGTGGGGAAGCAGATATAGAAGGAAATCTTCAGAATTTACATAAGCAAACAGGTATTACAGTAAGTCTCACCTAGATAAAAATATAGTGGGCAAATTTGATCTCAAGTAAAAAGATGAAGAACCATGTCAGCTGTTATAGGACACTTAGGCACAGAGGTACTTTAAGGTAAATGCACTGTAAACAAATGAACACTGACACAAGAGTCACTGTGCTTTCTGCAATCACTGATCAAAATCTGATCAAAATCAAAACAAGAATCTGTTCAGATTAATGATCAGATGATTTTAATTTTGCAGCATTGATTAAGACCTGATAGTGATACAGATCAAGACCCCCAAAAACCTCTCACACTCATACCCACCCCCCACCCACAGACACTCAGAGAGGAGCAACTAAAAGCATCTTTGAGACTTGGAGATATGCACCTTTCTTTGATTTTGTTGCAAAGAAGAACAAGAACACAAAGGTCAAGTGTGAACTGTTCCCTGGCCACAAAAAACTTGACCTCTGCATCAAATCTGCTTGAGCACCTGCAAAAACAATATGCTAATTCAGAGCTAGTGGCTAAAGACCCCCAGGCTAGTATGATTCTCAAGATAAGAGCCTGATGGAGACAACAACCAAGCAGGCCAGGCTTCATTTTCATCAACTACAGGTATCAACAGAGTGTTGTATCCTTCTCCATGCAGGGCTTTGTTGTATCAAAGAGCAGAAAAAAATAGATCTTGTACGCAACCTCATCATCATGAGGATTTCTGCTGAGGATAATTCTATATCTGCAACTGACAATTAAGTGACTCACAGTGACTTTCAGTACTTGCAGAAAGAAAATTCAGTTATGTGGCTGAAAAATAATGCAATTTTTCCCCTTTTTTTTAATTGAAGATCTCTGCAGGAGAAGCTGGGAGTTGAAGAGTTTGGACCTGATCAGCCAGACTACAAAAATCAAGTGACATTTCAGTGACAAAGAAGGAAATGACACTTGGTTGTTTTCAAGAGGAGGGCTTGGACAATGGCATACAGTAAAGCTAATTCTTTGTTTAGCTTCCCCTACCACCTTTTTTCAAAGATCAGGATCAGGCCCAGCTTGGATTCAGGCAGGTATAATGATGTAAAGCTTGAATAAACAAGGGTCCAAATGGAAAATGCTCCATGCACTCAGATCCGCAAATACAGATGCCTTTTATTACATCCACTAGTGTTAAATCTGTCATCTCCCCTTTTTATGGAACATGAACATTTTGAGTTTTGGATGTTGTTGCCTCCCCTGAAGAAAAATGCACCAGCTGCTACTGCAGTCCATGTGTTGCACTTGTGGGGGTTGTATTTGAATAGATGTTGATAAATGGAAAAAGCCTTTATATAAGAAAAGTTAGTGATATATTTGGCAGGATTCCTCCTGAGGAAATCTCATTATTATTGTCAGAAAAATTAAAATTGTTTAAGGCTTAAAGACATCCAGTGATAAAGACAGATCGAATATTGTGGTCAGGGTCAAAGGTATGGATTATATGAGGATAGCTGATTCTTAATTTTGGAGCAATATGACTGGGAAATCATTTAACAAATGTGCACACTCCCTATTTTTATGACGGCTGATTTTCAGCTTTTCTGAACACAAATGTCTAGTTTATCTGCCTGAACAGAGACAGACTCAACCCTGCCTTGCATCAAATCCTTGCTCACTGACACAGCGATGTGAGAGCCAGTGTCACCCCCTCCCCCTCCTTTAACATCTGCAGGCCTTTGAAAGTAGAGCTGCTGGCGAGGACAGCCGAGCCACAATATCCTTCCTCATCAAAGCGGCGTTTTCCTTCCTACAGCTAGCTAGTCATTAGGTGATCTTGTAGGCTGGCAGAAACACAGCTAGGTTTTAATGTGTGTGTGACAGGCCGTTTCTACAGGAGGATAAACACACCGCCCAGTCAGCAGGAGGGACTTAAGTGGGGACACAAAAACACACTCTGCCACACATATACACACTTTGAGTACTTTCTTCACCTAGAACACAGGTGTTTGGTGTCAGTGGCGGTGAACTGTGAGTTTTTGCGTGGTGTGGCCCTGTGTTACGTGCTGGTAATGATTCTTGTCTAATAACTATGCAGAGAGCTGCTCAGAAACAGCAGCAGCAATTAGAAGCTGGGATCAAGGGGAGGGGCAGGGCACTGGGGGTAATAAGGACTTGTTAGCAGTAATTGTTAAAATGTACCAACGATTAGAGAGGCCGATCTGGGATGTGTCTGCATGCGTCTGGAAATGTTTGATTATGGCGAGGGGGGGTGAAGAAGTGTGTGTGTGTGTGTATGTGTGTGTGTTTGTTTGTATGTATTTGCTGCTATAGCCATGTTCCGATTAGCATCTTCTCAGATTTATGCAAAGTGTGGAATAATGTACACAGACACACAGCCACACATTTCCTGGACAGTGAAGGTGTGTGCACGCAGAAAAGCAGTTGCTTTCTCTTCACACACACACAAACACACACTCACACAAGCACATTAACACTCTCTTTATCTGCTGAATGGGATTAAGCATCTTGGTGACAACAGTCCAGATGGCGAGACACGTAATCAAGCATCCATCAGCTTTCCTGCTTCCTCCTCGCCTCACCCTTTAACCACTTTCTCTCTCACACGCAGACACACACATACACACACACCTCCCCCATACCTGGGACGATGATTATATATTCCACCTTCCTACAGCAGCAAAGCAATTACCAAGACGGTAATTTGCTCGGCTAATAAATCAAACTCACCGCTGTCTCTTGATTGTCAAGCACAACAAAACACCCTAAAAGTTTGTCATGGCTCAAGCATAAGCACAGCATCTCTGACAAATCTGGAGCCAAACACAGTCCGAGATGCAGACCACAGCCACGTCAACATGTCCGTGTGTTTTTTCCCTCCTCTGCTCCTCTCCTCCTCCGGGCCCCCTGCTACCCAACCACATGACAGACCCGTACCATCTGTTTCCACACACTCTGCTATGGGGATGAGTGGCTGAGTGGAGATAGGATCTATCGCCCTCTTTCTCTCTCTCTCTCTCTCTCTTTCCACAGTCATCAGCTTTGGAGAGACACACCGTCAGATAGGAATGTCAAGCTGCTGCTGATGGCAGAGCGGGGACGAGGAAGGAGAGGAGAAATGTCGCAGAAGGCAAGAGGGCGAATCAAAGCTTGAAGGAGAGCCTGGTGACGACTCTGGATGCAGAGTGATTAGAGCTGGAAATGTCATAAATCTGACGGTGTTACCTAAAATTAAGATTAGGTTCAGAACTCAGATCTGATACCAGAGTAGGACTGAGAAAAATGCTCTTTAAAACCGTGTTTGGTTTGGATAATATCACTATCAATTTGTATTGTAGAATTCATGATAGAGACTTTCTTTTATTTGGTGGTTTGACACTCAATTCACACTGAGAAAAAAACAGTAATAAATAAATGTCAGAATAATTGACAATCCTGAAGGGACAAGATTTGTTTAACACGTCCCTCGCACTTGTGTCTGCTTTGGGAGTTTTGGAAAAATAAACATTTTATTATGAAACAGCATTATTCAGTGTTTTCACTGCTTTTAATCACTACTTTAATTTGTTTTGTTGTGAGGGAAACGTCTGCCAACAACTTGGTCCTGTTTCAAACTTCAGCAAAGATGTAAACACAGACACAGAGTGTTGACAAACTGCCTGAGCTAGCATATAATTAACAGTCGCCAGGTTAGCCGCCCTTTACACTTTCTTTCATACCAAAGCACCTGAGAAACACACAGCTCTATTTTCAAAATGTATTTCTAACCATTTCACTGCTTTCAGTCACTACATCAGTTTGTTTTATGTGTAGGAAACATCTGTTAACAACTGGGTGCTAGCTAGAAATGCTAGCATAAACACAAACGGATGTGATCTAACATGATGCTGCGATTCGTTCATTTTAAAAGTTGGGTGTGCCAGAGTCATCAGATAGGAGTTCAAGTTATGAGCTAAAACAACCAGAGAAATTATTTGGCCATTAGCTCCTGTTGTTGTTAGCGTTGCTTGCTAATACTAGCTTAGCAGCCCCTCACACTTCCTTTTGACTCCAAAGCATCAGAGCAACACTGATTATCAAAATGCTTTATTTCGATCAGTTTTGACTTCCCGACAGCTCTGTCATCTTAACCAAATAATTAACAGCCAATTGTTTAATCTTTGCTGTGTTAAAACAGCAACAACTGGTGACAGCTATATTACTGTAAATTTAACACAGCACAACTTGCAGTGAATACAGCAGTTTTAGAGCAATGAAGGAGACATCATTTTTAAGTATCCATCAGTACTTATATATTATTATATATTATGACATTTCTGATGCTAGCACCAGTCTTAGAAAAAAAAAAAAAAAACTCCAGTTCCCATCCGGGTGGAAATCAGACTTCATATGCAATTTCTTCACGCCAATAATGCCCCAGGCAGAAGGGAGACACCAACACGCCAACATCCAGCCCCCCATCTCCATGACTGTCCCCACTGATCAATGTTAATGATCCACCTGAATGGAGGCCAGTGGTACAGCCATTTACGAAACACGGAGGAAGAGAAAGAAAGAAGAGGAGGGAGATCGATGGGGAGGTCAGGAGGTTAGTTCCCCAGAGGAGAGGAATATGCTGGGCCTACATCTGCTCCCCCCCTGCCCTCCTCAAAACCCACCCCTCTCCTGAGAGGGTTCAGATGGTCTTTTTATCACCCCGCCGGCTACCACTACATGGACTCCCTGGCTGTTAATTAGAGCACGCCACTGCAGTGGGCTGGGGGCGTGTGCGAGGATATATGTGTGTCTGGCTAGTGTATGCGTGTGTGTGCTTGTGTGTGGGAGTGTGTGGTTATGTTGGGGATCTGGATTTGTATTCTAGTCAAGGCTTTATCAGAGCTGCAAATATAAAGTGTAGGTGGAACTTGTATTGAATAGTACAGAGAAATGAGAAGGTAAGAGAGCTGGACGGACAGCTATATTTTTAGATACTGCTGAATAGGAGGAATAAACTTTTACACAAATATATTCAGACAAATAAAATAGCTACTTTAAAAGGTAGTAGAGGAATTATGCTGTAGTCAACATTTCTAAATTGTTTGTTTGGGGGACAAAACTGTGAAATCTGAATGGTATGGGGCTGCAGATTTCCACAAATTTGAAACTGAATCAGCACTGATTTTTTGCTGACATAGGTCTTATTGTGGCTCTAAGACTTCTGCATCAAAGTTGCTCTGACTGCAGCGCCACAGTCATTGCTGTTCACCTTGACATTTTGTGTTCTCAGAGTCAGAGAGGGTCAGAGTCAGAGTCATTTATTTGCCACTTGCAGAAAAAAACCACATTGGAAAGCATTTGCAAGAGGACAAGGCAGAGAGACGAAGTAAGTTACATAGAACACAGAATAAAGTGAGTTAAAATGACAGTTAAAATTAAGTATAGAAGGACACTGCAAGTAATAATAGTGATAATAACGGTAATAAATAATAATGATATCTTTATCAATTTCTGCATGTGCTGACTCAAGAGAAGAGACGGTGAAGGTGAAATCATCTTTTCCCACACCACATAAATCAAGTTTTTTTATACTTGATTAATACTATGCTGATTATCTTTGTACTTGTATGATAAGGTTGAGATCATTCTTTCCAAAACTTACACTTTCCTGTAAAAGCAACTCTCCCATGTCTTGATTCGAGTGCTCTAAGATCACTGTGGAGTCGGTTTGACGTGGCCTTGGTTCACATTTTTGAAGAGATTTTGTGTGACTTTATTAAGAGAAAAGGACTGAGGGAAACTGGAAAGAAAGAAAAGGAGGATGCTTGCAGCCGTTTTTATGCATCAAAGGGCTGCAAGATTTGAACCCTGGCCACCCAAGACAATAGTCACTATAAATAGGACACACAACTCAACCAGTGAGCTGAACCAGGGCCCCTGTTCTCTCCGTTTTTAGTCTGGTTCAGAAAAGTCAGTTTTCTGATTGAAACAATTTTCTGTCTCAGTGATAAGATATCGATTCATAAAATTCCGAGATCGATCTCTTAATATATTCCCTGTCCTGTGGGCGGCCCCTCCTCTTGCGAGTCCATTCTTTTTGCAATGATATCTGAGCCACATGAGAGGCTGGTACTTCAAAACAAACGCAGTGGGATGCGGAGCTGCTCAGGGGAAGGCACTGACAAACCTCAAAGCACAAATCTTGAAGAAAGAGAAGAGCTGGACAAAAGCGAGATGTGCAACATGGAAGTAAAATACTGCAGAAATACAGCAAATCTCAGAAAACATAAAGCAAGGCATCGCTCTGATGTACAATCTGCGAAAACAATCTGAGACACAGTCAACCAAGAGATGACATTTACTTTGAAGTTACCATCCACTTCTCTGTGTCCCACCAAAAACCCAGCATCTCTTGTAGCTTTGAAATGCTAAGGTGTATCGTAAATCAATACAGTATCGTAGATAATGCTGGATTCCAAAACATGATTTGTATTAATATACAAATCATGCTACATGTTAGTGGCATGTTCATATGAATAAGACATGTTAGTGGCTGTTCTACACAGCAGCATTAAGCCATCTCAAGAAATTGATGAGGCTTTACATCATAAACATCAGGTCCATGAAAAACACAGTGAATGTGAGAATGCATGTGCATCAAAGTCCAGCACAGGAAATTAGAATTTTTAACTAAATTTGGACCTCCAGAATCAGAATCAAAAGTTTAGACAATCTGAAAATGAAGGTTGCTCTGAGATTTTTCTCACAAAGAATGTCAAGAAATTAGCTTTTAAGACATTTTTAACCTTTACGGTCTAAAAGTGATGCACTTATGATGAGAATTTTATGAGTAATAGTGAAAAGCACAAAACGTGCAGCATCTACTCTGCAGAACAAGAAGCAGACGCTGTGGTACTGGACTCTGGAGTACAGTTCAGTGGAGAGGAGAATAGGAGCTACAGGTATTCAGCCAGGCTACTGGATGAGTCAGCCGCTGCTTGAAATAGATACTGCGGGCATGGCCTTGATCACACTTTTCACCAAATGAATCATTTATCAAACACAAACACTGCTGCGCAAAAAAGTGCCGCTTATTTTTCATCTCCTGTTTGAATTGATAAGACAGCCTATGGAAAAATTAGGCGTGTGTGTGTCTAAACACTGTGTGTGTCAACAGCGTTTGGGGGAACATTGGCAAGGGACGACCAGCATTGTTCCCCCAGGCTTTGTGCCCGTGTGTGCATGTTTGTGTGCATGGAGAGGGTGAAAGCGTAAATTTGGCCTGGTAATGTTTGCAGAAGGGCAATCAGGCCCCGTGCCCAAAACCAGGCAGTGGAGCCAACCGAATCTGGGCAAATATGCAATTCATGCGTCCGTGCGCACACAAACACACACCCACACAGATACAAGGACATACACACACAGACACACACTCTCAAAGTAAAACATAAAATGCATTTGATGCAAACAAACAAAGACGAATCCAGGTTTTTCCTTTTTCCTGGCTATCGTTGTGTTTTTCTTTCACTCACCCAAACAGACACACACACACGCCCAAACACAGAAAATTATCATTCGTCCTGGTGAAGAAACAGGTTGAATATTCATCTTTCAGTTCATTTCAGTGGGGAATGGCCAATGTGCATGAAAGAGGCCTGAATAAAAGCATGATCTCAGGGAGCCTGGTTCAGGATTAATCTGCCAGCGTTCAGCACTCTTCAGAGGCTGTAATGCTTTGACTCCTATAGACTGCAGGAGGGCTGGAGGGGGAGCACTTTAAATGCTAATGGCTCTTTATGATAATACATCACAATACAAACGCACAATCAGACTTTGCATCGTAGATCAATCTCGCCAAAATCCCACATGTGTCCCCATCGTCCTGAGCCCCGCTTGTGACTCTCTAGCAGCCAGAGACTCGACACACAAAGCGGGATGATCCCACACACAAAACTCTATTAAACCCAAACACGCATGAAAAATAGACTGCAGGAAACAGGAATAAAAGAAAGGAGGGAATAAAAACAGTGAAGATGAGGGTATGTATGATGAAAGAGCCTGTTCTTCACTCCAGGAGTGTAATCCTCTTGCAGGCTGAGTTGATACTCTCAGTTGTTTCCAGACTGAAACGCTGCTTGAGCCGCCGGCCTGCCAGTGCAGCAGACGCCCGGGGGGAATCACTGATCTGACTCTGTTGTTCATTTGAAGGGTGTTTGCCGTGGTGGCAGAACATCCCCCACCCCCCCACCCCCTTTCTCTCTCTCCCTCACCCTCTTCCCTCCTCCATCCCTCGCCTCCCTTTTCTCCTAAAATGGGACACTGGGAGGTGGGTATAATCAGGATTACTCTGCACAAACCAGCAGCACAGATATGCACATGCACGCTCGTAAACAAAGAAATCCATGTGCATGCACTCAAAGACAAAGATAATCATTAAGGTTGTGCGTGCACACTGACAAACCCGCTCAGACATGCACACATATAAATATATCTACACACACACACACAGCTGCAGTCTTTTGCCTGCCAGAGGTTTTCAGACAAGCACAACTGCAGATATTCACATCTCCTTAAGGCAGAACACAACTGCAGTGTCCGTAAAAAGAGCAGCCCTGGTGGAAAAGGGGATGGGTTGGTTCTAAGGGGGGTGAGGGTGATGGTGGTGGTAGGGGTGGAGCACCAGCAGAGAGCCAGTGAAGACACAAAAGGAGAAGAGAGGAGAGAGACACACTGGATCGACAGAGAGGGTCAGGCAGAATAGATGGCAGAGAAAATGAAAGAATGAATAAAACAAGAGAAGAGAAATTAGAAACGGACATCGCTGTGAGCCAGAGACAGAGAGACCTAGTCAGGGAGAGAGAAAGGAGGAGGAGGAGCAGGAAGAGATGAGGAGAGGGATTTTCAGAAGGCATAAAAAGTACGATCTCCCTGACTATAACCTACCGCATCTCCATCCATTAGGCAGCCTACACTAGCAGCAGCCCATTTCCTGTGGCCAACCGCAGGCCCCTCACACTGTACCATGCAGCTATTAGTGTCGGTCAACCATTATACAAAATGTTGCGATGAAACACATCAGGCGGAGGGTTTGGTCAGTAATGGAAAGCATCCTTTCTACCTCAGTGGCTGGTGGACTTTTTTTTCCTCCAATGAACCGTGTTTTGTAAAGAGACTGACCCAAAGACCATTTTAGCAGACGTCTGGGCACTTTCTGTTGCCTCTAAGTAACATGAGCTATCATAAAAATATCACTCAGTCTATGAGCAACTGTTGGGGAGTTTGAGAGCAAAAGGGCAAACATTCAGAGGCGCTAAGTAATATATATTTTGTAGGACAGACTTACAGGGGAAGTACCTTGAAGTAAATGTTAGTGATTTTCATGCTTAAATGTCGGATGAATGGGATTAGGAGCAAATAATGCACTTCCCATGGAAAAGGATTCACAGGCAGCAACACTGAGAATAACTTTGTTGATAAAAAGTCAGAGGCAGAAAAATAAACGCAACAATTAAAAAAGTTCAGCATGACTTCAGGAGATCCTCATGGGAATAGACCCCAGTATAATCACAGTGCTTCAGACTTGGTTGCCTGAGCTGCTGGAAGGCTGGTAAACACAAACTAGAGTTCATGCTATAATAAAACCAGACTATGCATTTAGAAGTTTAGAACAGCGCTTTCTGATCTTTGTTTGAGGAAATATGTGACGACAGTTCTGTTCCAAGTTCCTGTGATGAAGTTTTACTGTGATCGTACCACACAGTTCTTGTTGTTCAACTGGAAATATGCAGGTAACCACAAGAGGTTTGAACATTGATTAAATACGAGTAAAAAGATCAAACAATGACTGTATCTGTTTGGAATAATATCAACAAAGGATGAACTCTCTGGGACCCAAATCTGGTTAATTTTGTTGTTTTGAAATTCACACCTGGACTTTGTGTCGGTCCAGAAATTGTCACTGTAAACATTAATAACCAATTTGCAGTCTGTCTTTTCCCCCTCTTTTTAATATCATTTTAAGGATTTTTTGTAACAAGCGTGGTGCTGCTGTTTGTGTGGATAAAGGCATAATTTTTTGGGATAACTCCAATTGTGAAAAATTTGATCACCAAAATACATCAGTATTTACCATCATGTTAATGAAGAGAGGTTGCTGTGATGGAGCAGGGACGCACAGCCGGTAAGAGGAAGCGTGACTTTGACAGTAAACAAACAAACAAAATCTGGTGCTTTTCTGCACATTTCTATAGAAAGGTGTTGACCGAGTCATAATCTCTCTGCAGTGTAACTGCTGTGGAACAAATGAAAATAAAATGTTCCTCTGATTTCTTTCTTTGTTGTCATTAGCAGCACACTCTCTCTACACTTTCTCTTTGTGTGTCTCTTTACCTTTGCTACACACTCTCTTTCTTTCCCTCTAAGCAGCTATGGGTTGAAAACACAACTGTCAATCGTTTTTTTTTTTCATAAGCTTTGGTATTGTTGGATATCAGACGTTCGAATAATGGAGATGTTTATACTTACACTGAAAAGTACTTAAGTAGAGAAACTTTTCACAATCTTGGCTGACAGATGAGCATAAGCTTCTGCTCGCTGAAATATCTGGTAATCATTTTTGGCCCACTTGAGTATTTCGAAACTATTTATGTTCATCAGACTAACAGACTAAATTCTCTGTACCAGTATCTGTCCTTTGTTCATGATTTTGGCATGTTGGTCCAGCTTTTTAACCAACGATGAAAGTGTTTTGTAATGTGGTGCAAATGTAGCTGTTTGGCTGATGAAACTTGCAGGCAAAGGCCTTTATCTTATTTCACAGAATGGCTGCCATTTACAGCTGCAACTGTGGAGTAGTCTGTAAAGGACCAGCTGTCAGGACAAGTTGACAGGAAACCAGAAAACCATAAGGTTTTTTTTAACATTTTTTTCCCTGAAGCATAGCTTGAATAATTAAAAGTTAAGGTCACTGCGTGAACTTATAATTCATTGAGTGATCAGGGGCACTCTTTCGTCTCTATGGTAACAGCACTGAGGATGTTATTATAAACCTAGACCACAGGAATCTATGGTATATGAAGGTTTGTATTTATCTGATCTGAAGTAGCTCTTTGGAAAATAAGCTGACAGAAGAAAATGAACAGAAATAAATGATGAGTTTCTTTTTTACATAAATCATAATATAATAATGCTAATTAAAAGTAACGCATCAAATGGTTTTGAAAATAATACACAAAGAGGAGTCTGAAAAAAGCACCATACTGCAAAACTATTTGTTGACCAATTTATATTATCCCATCATTACGTATCATATCACCCAGCTTAAATTGCATATCTCAAACCCTTCTGTGTCCTTATCCTGAGGATTAACACGACTCAAAGACAGCTGATTAAATTCCCAAACAGGACATAAACGTCATGGAACACAGAACTCAGTAAGAGAAAAGTTTGCACAAACAGGAACAGGCACATAAGGCCACACACACTGTGAGGCTTGCCCTGGAGGTGTGTTTTATGTGGTAATGTGCTTTAGATTGGGGCTGTGTGTGCAGAGATGATGGGCTGGGTAACAGATGGACAGGAGTCTATTCCCTGGGCTACCAGCCTTCTGCTTACCACACCGCCCTGCCAAGTCCACAATCCTCATCCATCTCCTACTCTCCTACAACCCCTCCTCCGCTCCTACAACACCCTATTTCATCTTGATTCTTTCACGCAATCCCGTAGTGTTACTCAACTCACCCCCACCTCCACCCCCCTCCATCATCTTCTCACCTCTCCTCGACCTCTTCCTCCCTCTTCCTTTCTCTTCCTCAATTTCCCCTGGCATAAATGGGTTGTCTGCCAAACAGAGGCCTAATCCCCAGATTTCTCTTCTTGTAGTAACAGCCCAAGCTGCCATCCCTCTCTTCTCTGTCCTTTCCTGCTGTGCCACATGCTGCAACCTTAGTTTGTAGCATGTTGGAGCACCACATTAGATAAGTTTCCCTCCAAGGAGTCAGTGCAGATTAGATTAACACCCTCGCTCAAGCAGGAAAGCGCAGTGATTACAGCTAGCTAATGCTAAAGTAACCTTTGGCTAAATGCTAGCTGGCCCTCTCTGTGGCCAGATCACGCTTAGTTGCACTCAAGCAGGACTATAAAAAGAACAGTCGACTGCAGCCTGCTGTGGAGAGGAGGCAGGGTGTGGCACATCTCCATTGTCACTTCCACAACTGACAACCCAAAGAAGCGGGAACGACGGCTGAAATCAGGTGTGTGCACGTAGAGAGGAAGCACCACTCGAGCGGAAAAGGATGAAGGCAGAGTGTGTCTGTGTCTATCTCTGTGTGTGTGTGTGAGGCAGGCAATTGTATCTCACCTCGTATAATGGCCAGCTTTGCGGTGACGGACACCTCTCCTTCACTGTTTCGTGCCACACACTCGTAGATGTTCTCATCTCGGGGTGCTCTGAGTGGTTGGATCCTTAGCACAGCACCTGCACCGTCATCAAACTCTACGGTCTGGACGGCCACAGAATCACAGAACAAGGCGCTTTAGTCACAGCAGAGTAAACAGATGCTTCCCCACTAGAATAAAAAACTACACTCCTAAAGATCATTCACTTAACACAGTCTCCTTTGCAGTAATAATGTGCCAGTAATTACATTTCAATATTTCAGTGATTCCTCTTTTTTTACCTGCCCCCTCATCCTCGAGGCAGCTCAGCTCCTTCTCCTGGAGCTGAAAGGGTTTCTTGCACAAAGACACTTAAGCAGTGTAGATACTTACCAATATGGGGAGTTGAATGTTGGTTCTCTGGTTGAAATGTACCATCATTAACCATTAGGTGAAATGACTGCATCAATACACATTCAGAACTCTTAACGTGATTAACAGGAGTTAACAGCTCTGTGAAGTAGCTACGCTGGGGAATCATCTTCTCAGAACATTTAGCTCAAGGACATCAATATGTTCATTTATATAACCTGAAATATGAGCAGTCTACTGTGTTGTTTCATGTGCTACTTTTGAAAGATGCTCACAAATGACTATGCTCTGATTTGATAATATTATTATTATCATTATAATTGAGAAATCATTTTTAATATACTTGTTTTTTTTAATGAAGATTATCCAAGACACTGATGCCACTCTTCTGTCCTAGCTTTAACCTTTAAGAGGCCTGGGTTTGAGTATTCTAGCTTAGTATTAGAAATGGCAGAGGGGGCAAACCCATCCTGACCTTTTTAAAGTAAAAACACCTCATTTATATCAAAACTGCTAATGATATTACATTTAATTTATTTAATCCTGATAACACCATAGTTTCACAAATCATAACAGAGCGCAGCACTAATCCATAGAAAAGTTTGGTCTGTTTTTTTGATCTGATATTTATTTATTATCATTATTTGATCAGTGGTGTACTCAGGGAGAGGGGGTAACATGGTCTAATCCCCCCTCTCCCGTTAGTACCTGCATATTCAGCCCTTTAATGCCTGAAACCACATATTATGACCAGAAAATTGAAAATTTTTTTGGAGCTGAAATGTTTATTTCACTTGGTAATGAAAACCAAAAAAATCAAAATGTTTTTAAAATTCAACAAATATATATATTTATCTCGTTTGACACATTAGATGTTTTTGGAAACTGATAAACCACAAGAGGAAATTTTTTATCATTTATCAGACTGTATTCAGGTTTTTTTTTTTTTTTTAGAATATATAATTTGGTGTAAACTATAAATGATAAACTATTCTGTTTTAAAACAGCAATGTGAAAAATAACAGATGATAAAAGTGTGAGCCTCATGCAGAAAGTAGAATCCCTTTTTTGGGTCAAATACTGTATGTTTTGTGTTTTTCTTGTCCATAATTTTTGTTCCCACTACAATAGAGGGTAAAATGTTTACCAGAAGGCTGTGAATTCATTGTTGGATTCTCAAGTTTTCCTGGAGGAGGACCCCAAGCCCCATTCCTTTTTTCCCCACATTATGGGAGTTTATTTTTTTATAGTCCTCTATTATTAAAAGTATTGTAAATATCTCAACCAGAGGTATAGTCCTCACATATGGGGAGTATGGGGTCTGTAATTTTAGCTTTGTTTGGAGGATTGACATGATATATCATACAAACCTTACAGCTTTCTTTAAACTATTCTGAATTAACCAATCAACTCACAACATTATTATTATTATTTTTATTTTATTTTATTTTTTTGACCCCCAGCCCCATTCCTATCACTTGTGTTTCAATTTGTTGAAGTGAACCTCACACTGTAGGTATTAGGAGTTTGAAAAACTGCTGCAGTTCTGTGGCCATCAGACTTTTTACTGAGCAGGTTTTCTGACCACAATTTTTACCAGCCAACTGTCTGGACAGGCTAGAACTGGGCCTTTTGTGCTACAACAGCTTTATGATTACAGATACCAAGGAGAGAGACAAAACTCTAGAGAGCTCACAAAATGGTCTTAAAAATGCTGCTACAAGCCCCACGACACACAAGAGTCCTTACTATCATCTTCTCCCCAGCAAAAAACAGACTGGCTAAGCCACTGTGCATTTTTTAATGCTGATCTGCCCATGGGAGATGTTCCATGTTCCTCGATTGTGTGTGTGTGTGTGTGTGTGTGTGTGTGTGTGTGTGTGTGTGTGTGTGTGTGTGTGTGTGTGTGTGTGTGTGTGTGTGTGTCAATTATGCAAGCATGCATGCATCATTTAAATGTGCTAAAAGTTCATTTCAGTTTACGCATCGTCTGGTCTAAACTCAGAACTTTCATTTGGCAAGATGTTTTCAATAAATGTTGAAAAAAAATACTTCATTACCTACAATCACACACAAAATTCAAATGACACATCTGTCTCATATATTTGTTCATTTTACGTAGTCAGCTTTTATGTTTTATGTTGTCACCTCCAAATCGTATTCACTCTAAATAATAATAAGGTATGACTTTTCTGTTTCTAGTATGAAAAATAAGCGCTTTTGCAGTTTTCTTCCATCAGCACAAACCCAATCTCAGAAGTTTCTCACACATTTTGTTATACTGCTTAACAGTGTTACTGGTTCCTCCACCTCCTCCTTTCAATGCTTAGAGATCTCTGTCTACACATACTCCTGCAGCCTCATGCCCTTATATGGGCATTGGAGGGACATTCACCTCTGCTAGTTGTTTAAGTACTGAGGTATTTATCGATTTAAGCTGCAACTAATGTTATAGTCTAAGAACAATTTCATACATAGTGGTCTACCCCAGACTTTTTTCTTTGGAACAAATGTTAGGCACTCATATATTTAAATATCATTTCAGGTAGATGTTTATACAGAGAAGTTAAAAATTATGAACAGTGACAACCACCTCGATACGCTGGGAATTGACCTTCTTGCCCTTCTTGTTCCAGTACACGACTGGCTTGGGGTTTCCAGTGGCCTGGCACACAAACGATGCCACACCCCCTGACACTCCGATCTGGTCTGTGGGAATCTTGGTGAACTTTGGGGAGGCTGCAAGACAGGAAGAGGGGGGAGGAAAAAAAGAGAAAAATAACAAATTAATAAAAGGACAAGCATGAACATTTATATCCTTTGACCCAAAGGATATCAAACCAGCTGAAGCAGCAACAACAACAACCCCCCTGCTGACCACACCCCATTTCACTGTCAGTGACTGGTAAGGCTGACTTGTGCTCTGATGGCTGCGTGTTGTGCTTACTTCCTGGGTATCATCTAGAGGACAAGCTGAAGGACTTCCTGTGGGTCATAAATAAAAGATGGGGTTGGGCTTCAGAGGAACATGTCTCTCTCTCTCTCTCTCTCCCTCTCTCTCTGTCCGTCTTTGCTTCCTCGCGGCCGGCCCTCGCACATAGCCACATGCAGCAGCACAGGCTGTCATGGCACATGAGCGTTTCACAGGTAGGAGAAGTGTTGGCTGGAGATTCACAGCATATAATTGGTTTAAATGTATTAATACCAGAGGTGTCATTTTGTTCTCCACACTCCTATAGGGAATTTGCACTTGCAGACTCTAATGATCTTAACAAACACAATGAACACACCTACATGAGTTGTGTTAATTTACAAGCTCCAGGGGGAGCATTTGAGCACTTCAGCTTTTGAGATGCATCTGATGTGAGATGTAAGAGCAGCAGTTGCCCTCTGAAAGAAAACAGCAATTTCCAAGTTCAATATTGAGCCAACAGTACTGAACCTATATTTTTCACAGTGGCTGAGTCAGATCAATCACACAACTTCACGCACCCACCCCTCGCTATCAGTCTGTGGCCTGTTGCCATGGTGCCCAGCTTAACTCCTCCTCAGCTACAGAATCGCTGCTATCCATCAGGGTGAAGTCAGGATGACCCTTACCATGGCAACCTGGATCCCTCCTCCCACTCCCCCCATGTGTCTGGGTGGGTGAGGTCCTGTTGTGTTGATTCACTTCTGCTCTGAAGACAGAACAGGAACAAAAAGCAGCAGCAGAAGAAGAAGAAAGCCTATAGAATAATCACTTGCAAATTCTGAGGCATGCTGTCCCGCTTCTGCACACTTCTCTGGCTAACAGTCATGCAGACTACCTTCCAGTTTCACCGCACTGCCTCGACTCTAACTGCAATAACGCCATGTCAAAAGACCGCTTCTGTGCCCGCTGCACTCCAAAAGACTCGCTCTGAATGTCAGCATTAGAGTGGTTTCATTTTATGCTTGCCATAATCCTCAACAGGAAGAAGCAAAAAGCTGGCTCAGTGTAGTCAATCAGAGAAAATTTATGCGACCATTTTTGGACTCTAGAGCAAGAGATTTCCTGCCTGTTGAAATCTCAGAAAAAGAAAAAAAAAAAAAGGACACAGAGTATCAAGCAAATTGCCCGTTTACCCTGCCAACAATATGAGAATTTGAACTATCAAAAGTCTAAAATGTCATGGCTGTGAAGCGTCGTCTGAACTGACTGAACTGATGATGAATGAATTTTGTGGGCTTCCACAAGGGTCTCAATGGCTTCTTATTGAGTCCAAAACTGTGGGTTTTTTCTTAAAGGCGCTCCAACATCAATCCCTGAGAGAAAAAAACAGCTATAGAAAAGCCCTGCGAGGCATCAGCTCTAGGCGGATTTCCACTGAAGAGAGACTTGTACAGCTCAAGAAACCTGCTTGAAAAAATAAGCAACTAATGAGCGGCACTGTCTCTTTAAAAGCTGGTTTCATTCATGACAGGTCTAACGCTGATCGACCTCCATCCTGTCTTTAATGAAACACCTCTGTAACCTACTATCATCTGACTGACTGCCTTCTGCTGTGCTCAGGTATGAATTACAAGGTTAGCCTCTAATTGAGCAGAAGAAGTGTTTGAACCTTTTCTCCGGGTTGAAGGGAAAGTAAAAGAAATACGAGTTTCATTTGCAATTCTTCAAAGTTCTTCAGGGTAATCCAGTGTATCTGAGGTTAAAACATTAGTTCACTTTCCCCCTCATGGTCAAGCCACCAAGCACAACCAGCTGTGATCTGACAGGCCTGGAAGCCACATTTAATAATGCATCCCTCTCTGTTTGTATGTCTTCGCTGTCAAATCTGTTTGCATCTTGCAGCCAAATGTTGTGCAACAAAAATAATTCTGTGATACAAAGATAATGAGGCTTCAAGTTGTACCCTGTGTAGCTACAGGGGGGTAGAAAAATATTTTGAAGGTGGTGGTTGTGTATCTATCTAAAACAAGAACTGAAGACACACATAACAAACAACTACATCCTGAATTCACTTCATCATTTTGACACTATCTGTTCCTCAAAGTTAAGTGGGGCTCCATTTCTGTAAAAGAAAAACCAAACAGGGATTTTTTTCTTTTTGTAGAATTGAAACACTAATGGAGAAGTATCATGTTTGAGGTGAGTTCATTGATTTTCAAATGGAAGATGCAGGGGAGTCTAAGAAAACAGAGGCACAGGATGCCTGCCTGTTATACAGTCAACTATTATATTGGATAGTCTGTTAACAATATAAATATACTCATTATATACTTATTATAAGACCCAACCATGTTTTTCTTGTTGTCTACATGTTTATTTGGTATTTTTCTGATGCTACAGGACATATCATGAGAAAAGTAAGTGCGAAATTGCTTTTCTGAGTATTTCTTCATTCAAATGGCTGTGAATCTCTGGCAAACCCAAACAGCACTTTCAGATACAGTGAGATTTCCTATGTAGCAAATCCAAGCTCCGCCCCCGGAGCCCCGCTATGCAAGCCACACTCGGAAAAGTAGAGAGGATGATCGTGGACCAAGTGTGTGCATTAGCGGATTGCAATACTTTCTAATTATGATATTAGCTTTCATCATGCCCTTACAGACACTAGTGTCTGATAGCTCCAATGTTACCTGCCACTTCTATGACACCGGCAAACTTAGGCTGCAAGCTAGCGTGAAGAGGAGTGTGAAGAGGAGTGTGCAGAGCAGCGCTGTCTCCACCCAAGACTCAGAGGTGAATTGCTAATGAGCTACAGGAGCTCTGTAGAGGAGAAACGTTTGAAAATGACACAGGTAATGTGACTTTGGCTAAAAACTTGAAAAATAATCATAGCTTACAGACCAGTAACAGCACTAAAGGAATGGAGTTGGACTTAAACTGATCGCCACAGTTACATCTGTACAAATACAAATAACATTTAAGATTTGTACTTGGGTCAGCTATTAGAAATCTAGTCACAACCAAGTAGCCTACAGTATGTATGTTATGTAAAGAATTACAGATTTTTTTTTGTCAAGGGCCTCTAGTGTGCAAACAACTTTATTCACAAGTTTTAAACATTGCCTTGGGGTAATAAGGAATTCTGTGTCTGAGTGACTTTGCAGTCAACTTTATATCTGTTCAACAGAGTAGTCTGTGCACACTTGGAAGCCAGGATTTTTCTCTTCAGCATGTGCAAAAATCATAAATATGGAATGAACCCTGCAGGACAACAGTAAAAAACAGTGAGTGTTTAACAATTTCAAAAAGAAATTGCATAAAAAATTCCTCTTTTAAAAATTTATGTATCCATTATTTAATAACAGGTGGTCTTGAACAGGGAATAAACTAGTCTTTGGCATGTGTGTTGGATAATAAACCAGTGATTTTCCCCATAACTTACTTCCTTTGTTTCACCAGTTCGCCAAAGAAAGAAAGAAAAGCATCTCACTTTGTTCTATATGATGTTTGTTGCCTGTTTGTCTCCATCTCTGAATCCTGAGATGCTGAAGATGGAGCTTTCAACACCTCGCTCAGTTCTGCAAAGTCAAACTGTAGGAGGTCCAAAAGCAGCATTCTTCAATCCCACAATACCTCCATTGAAAGTTGAGAGTTGTGTAACTCTGCCTCTTCACTGAATGTAAAAATACTTCTGAAATGACGCTCACACTCTCAAAGGCTCATAGCCTTGAATTAGTTACTCTAATGAAGACGGGAACAACATCAGTAACGTCTTGGGTAATTTTAACTGCTTCTTCTCAATCTTCGGTCTGAATCAGCTTTCAAAAATAAAAAATGCGTGGCTATTTTTTTTTTTTAGCACAGAAAGCTGAATGCATGCAAGCATGTCAGTGTGTGCGTGGGGGATCGTGTGTGTGCATGTGCGTCTTTGTATGTGGATCACTGAGGCAGGAAATCTGTGGAAATGTAGTAATCAAGGAGATGATGAGAAACATGCTGATTGGACCTCCCGGCTTATCAAAACACATTAAGAGGGCCACAGTCCAGAGCTGATGTGCTGATGAACCGGCACACACTAAAGTGCGTGCACACATACACTAGACAATACATGATATTCACATATATTCACACCTTGTATCTATTTTTTTTGCTTTTAATATAACAGCTGTACCATCAAGCTTTCCATCTACTCCATAGATGTATAATGTTAAGGCAAAAAATAGACATATAGAGAGATGCAGATCCTTTAAGTGTTAGTGACAGTATGATGTTTAGAGGTGAGTGAGGCAAAACAATCTCTGAACCAAATGGAAACATATGGCCAGGAGTAGTAAAATCTGTAGTTCCCTAAACATCCATTTGGGGCTGGCTGTAAAACCACCAGAAACCACAAACAAACTCTCCTAAAAAGCCCATCTTTGCAACAAATTTAAAGATGTTTTCAGCAATTCATGATTTTGCACAAATAGTTCATTTCTTACCAAGTGTGATTATTTAATGACTCATCATTTTTTAAGATATTAAGAATGTAAGTTTTGCAGCATTAGAGGCACATCTGACTTGACTGACAGAAAAGTGCACAGTCGTGGTTAGAAAGAAGGCTAAAAGCTCGCCTCAACTCCTCCTCTTCCTTACTTGTCTTAAAGATTGAGCAACATTTCAAATATGGCTTCTGCCGCTAATAGGCTTCTAAAACGCCACTTCATAAACAAAAAGATGATGTCACTGAGACTATATATGTTTTTAAAGTTAACGTCAGAGTTAAGGCCAATATTCCTCTACATGCCTCTTGTAGCTGTGTGATAACTGGATAACTCATTTTCTAAGATGATATTGATAGATAAGTCAGTGGTTATTTACCTTTGAATGCAAATGGAAACAATGGCTGTTGCAATAAACCTGTACAAGTGTTTTTAAAATTCAGGAATACTATGATATACGGTAATATTTTGAGTTCAAAGTAGTGTTTTTTTATTAGAGTTGCTGCTGGTAGAACAGCTAGCAAGCTAACTGTGTCAGCCCTCTGAGAAATGATTAAACGCTTGTAAAAAATGACATTTGAAGATTTACTGTGAAGTTAAAGTTGGAACCTCTTCAGGTTTCTAATCAATTAAAAATTTGTACTTCCTTACGGTTCTTTTAACTATTTTCTTTCAGCTATGTAAATTACAGTCCGCGGAAGTAGTATATTTCAAGATACAAGCTTAGTTTGATGATGAGAAAATATTAAGTAGAATGATAAGGAAAAGGATAAAGATGTAATGATAAGTTTCGTCACAGGGCTGGTAAGGTGGATTTATCCTTAATTTGATCATCATCAGAAATGGATGATGACATAAAAGGTAACTGTGTGTATTGGTTAAGTTTATAAGCCTCATGTCCACTATCTTAATGAGTGTATCTGGGGGATGCACTGGTATGTGGTTGTGTGTGTGTCTGTATGTGTTTCTGTGTGTGTGGCTTTGGACGAGATTGTCGGGGGTGGGGGTGGGGCATCTGGGATAGTTAGTTCTGTTTTCAACTTGACTGTAAAGCACTTTTGCGATAATAAAGTAATACGTTCCTCCACCCTTATCTGAATGACCCTCAATTTGACAGATTGTTTAATTTTCAAGTTTTTCAAAAATCCTACCATAATATTATCGCTTTATTTTTTGCCCATAAAAATTATGAGGAGGTAAAAATTTGGAAAATGGAAACTATGTTGTTAAATGATATCATATTCTATGTAATCAGTTTACTGTGTAAGAACTGTACAAAATTTGGGTTGAAAATATGCTTTAAAAATTAATAAAGTAAGTGAACTGTGAGCAGATGGCTAATTAACCATGTTCTGTGTTGATAGGAAGGCAGACAGACAGACAAGATAGATAGATAGATAGATAGATAGATAGATAGATAGATAGATAGATAGATAGATAGATAGATAGATAGATAGATAGATAGATAGATAGATAGATAGATAGATAGATAGATAGATAGATAGATAGATAGATAGATCATCATACCTCCTTGCACTCCACTCAGTGGGTTGGTTAGCAGTATAATTAAGGGAAACAGTAGACAGAGAGGAGAGGAGCTGAGGCGGAGCCCCAGGACGAGCCTCCTGGACAGGACTCCACCTGTCCTGTGCAGAGGCATGGCACCACCGTGGTTTGGATGGCGATGGCGGGTATTTGAGTAGCGTGTCACTCAACAGGGGTAGGCACTCTGTAGACACAAAAAAAAGTGGAAAGGTCAGCTGAAACGAATGAAAGGCGTATTTCCTCCACCTCTGATTCATGGTTCTGCTTTTAGAAAGTCAGCTGAAATGTCAGTGCACCATCAGGAGCGAGGGAAAACATACAATAATTCATACAGATGTAGAGAGAACATCCTCAGGAAGAAAATTAAAGACAAATTCATGCTAATGCAGGATTAGGCCTTTTGATTTAGCCAGAGCACTTCTGACTTGGGATTAACAGCTCAAGCAGGCCAGCTCTGACTGAACTAATACCAGAACAATGGAGCCTTTGCTACACAACACAAGACAAGAAACAGACAGAAATAGTTTGGGCATACTGCTTCTGTATTAATAAGACTTCTTTTCTAGTGAGCCGTGAAATGAGCTGCAATGATACATTTTTAAGGGTGTCTTTTTTTCTTTCGACGTCCCCATAATTTCATTTCACTTTAGCTGTGGCCTAATTCCTTCTTAGTGTTCAGTATTTTACTCTTCTGGTGGCACATAAAAGTGTTAATGCAATAATACATCCAGAGTGTGCCGCGGTAATGGAAAACACTTAAACAAAGAGGATTGAGGGGTCAGAAGGAATGCAGCAAAATTCAATAACAGCGAATGTAAAGCAGAAACTGCTGCTTTAATAGATGTCCCCCTTCTTGTTAATCCCCAGCCCTGGGGGGGATCTCTCTGTGTTTTGCTCTTTTTCCTCACACAAACACACGCAGTGGCACACATCTGGAAGTCGGAACATAATTCAGCTCTGTCTGCTTACGGAGATTTAGACAAGCTGTGTTGAAGCTTCCCGCCTGGGAGTCAATAACTCTACAGTCCTATCGAGCTCTCCCGACCCCCACCCCCGGCCTGATGTGTCAGAACGCAGGTGGGGAGGCCAAATGAGAAAGGAGCCTTTGTCAACCTGCTGTATTTCACACACATACATGTCAGATAGCAGCACATGATAATATATATATGCTCCGAGGGACACAATATGTATTCTCAGGTGACAAGCCACATTGTGACCAAAACATAAATATGTGCAAACACCCCTGAGCTTGCTTTCACTCTGACAGCCTGATCCACATTCAGAAGTGGAGAAGCAGGGATTAGGCCTGACCCGTCTCCCCGTTTACTAAATGAAAGAGGCATTTCTTGTGAGTTACATATTCAAAGACTCCTCCAACCACTTATTGAGCTAATGACCTGTTCAAACACATTACTGTCTGACAGTTTCTATACTAAAAATAGTTCATCTGAAAAAACATTGCCGACTATCTGATAGAGGCCCTTTTTTTATGCATCGCTTTGCCCTCGTCCTTATCTGACGCTGCGTAATAGACGTGGAATAGAAAAGCTTTCAGCGTCGCCCGTTTCAATTGGACAATGTGATAAGAGAAATCAGATCAGAGCTCATTCAAGCACCATTGGCAGCATGTTAAGTAAATTCTCCTCTTACGGAAACTCAATTTGTTGCGGTTAATCTAACTAGGAATACTGCTCTGTGTGGAGCCACATGGTCACTGAAACATTAGGTACTCCTCCCATGTTGCAGTGTCTGCTTCCTCTGCCCTGTGCGGTGGATTTGAAGGGGCCTTTATGTCACGCTGTGACCCCAGTCTAACCCTATCTATCAATCTTGGCTTATTCAGCCCTCTATGTTGTCTTTCACCTGCTGACAAGGGAGGCTTTGTTCACCATAGACTACAGTCAACCACCTTCAACCTAATCCTTAATCTGAGCCTGATCTCACTCCTCTATTCCAGAAAATCTTCATCTCTTCTTCTCTTTTCTCATCCCCCCTTTTCTGCAGTCTTTTCTCTTTTTAATACTTCAGATTTTATCAGATCTGTTTTGGCCAAATAACACCAGTAACAATGAAAACAAATACAACCAAACAGTGACTCTAAGACATCTGAACATCAAAGGCATTCAGACAACAGTTTTGTTTATGGGAAAAGTGTTACGGATCTGAGACAGAAGGGGCTCTCTGTGTAGCAGTAGTATCATTGTATACAAGTCTTTACAAGTGACGCAGAATCTGATCGATATATTTCATTGACACAGCTCTAAATCATGACTAAAGTTATCACTTTACAAAGACGCAGGTCCGCAGAATCCATTCATTGTTCTATTGTTTACAGGAACCATAAATGAGTCCACTATTGGCAACGAAATGAAAACAACTTCATCTTAACCAGCAGAAACCTTCAGAAGATCTAGACTCACTGATGAACAACCAGATGCCACAACTCCATTTTGGTCACCTCTCAGTGTAGAAGTATTAGCATAGACTGTTAAAAACATGGATAAAATATCAGCGACACCACCTATTATTACTGTCCGAAGATGATATGAAGCCAGACAGTGTCGCAGTATTTCAAACGCTGTCTCAACCAAACCTCAACTTAGACATTTTGCCCTCTGGTGAACAGCTTTAACATGCTCGCCTGTCAAATCAGCTGTGCCCCTAACGGTGCAACTTCTATCGCCTTTACGTTGGCATAGAAAAGCTCATTTTATACACATCAGTGTGGTGTGTGTACGTTTGTGTGTGTGTCTGTGCAGTCTAATGAAGCTCCAACATGCAGACAGCAGAGCAGCAGGAAAGAGAGTGAAAGGTTCAACACCAAAAGTGCAAAAACGTCACTACTTTGGTACAAATATTTACCCATGAAGTGACCTGAAGACCAATAAATTTACTCACCAAACTGAAGACCTGCTCACTCTTGGTGCTTTGGGAGTATTTAATTTCAGACCTTGTATTATCTCATTTTTTATTTATTTATTTTTTTTAATTATCATCTAAAATGCTGCACTGTAGATAATGTTCATCAATTATTTAAATTCTTGATACAGAAAAATTAAGATTATGTGCTACAATGGTTTCGCTCCCAGTACTTAAATTAAAACCAAAGACTGAACAAAAGAAATTCTTAATGTTACACCCCTGCTGTAAAGTTGAGATTCTTAATATCTCCTCATTCATTGGCTTCTAGAGCCGGACTCAAGCAGACACTTAAGGAACTAGTTTTTTACACTTTCAAATTATCTTTAATTTTCAACACCGGAGGTTGCAGCTCGGCCTTTTCTCAATCTCAGTCAAAAAAAAAAAAGTCAGTTTTTTCCAGCTCATGAATCCTTCTCACATCCTCCTACTCTCCTATCTCCTTTCTTCCCTCTTCCTCTCCTCTCCTCTTACCCTCCTTTGATGTCATCTTCTTCTAGCATCCTATCATTCATCTCTTTCCTCTTTCTACCCACACTCTAACCCCTGCTTGTATCCAAATCCTCTTCCTCTTTCCTCAGCTGCCCTGCACCGGCTGCTCCAGCTGTTGTTGGTCCATTGACACAGTTCAAACAAAAGAGGGTTTAGAGCTTCCTACAGCTGCGAATGTTGAAGGAGTAAGCCAAAACAGATACACAGAAGCAGCAGTCCACCAACCAGGGCTGGTTAGGGCACGTCTGGGCATGTGCTAATGGTTTTTTAAGGCTTTCCAAACATGCTCTCCCTCTAGATAGAGAACGTCTGTGCACTTTCACTTGCCACAGAGGCAGAATCAAAGCATTGTGAGCATGAATATTCTCATGAGTCAGTCCTACCTCCCGTCTCAACAGCCCCCTCACAGCTACGACAACCTGCTCTGCCTGATCATCTGGCGGTGTATTCAGAGAGAAAGACAGCAGGGGTTGGTCTTATTACATTTTCGGCATGACAACACAGATGGTCAGCCAGACAGATAGATTGATGAGGATACATGTGGTATTTATTGCAGGGAGGCAGATAATGACACCACAGCTCAGGTGGTGAAATGTACACCCGTTATTGTGCTCCATCAGGCTGATGAAATCACGTTGTTTAGGTGGCATCCAACCTGCCCCTGCTCCGCTGGGGACCTTTGCAAGATGACATGTTTTGTTTTTCTCACCTCGCACCCACTGCACCCCCCACCCCCTTACCCATGATGCCTTTCACCACAAGTGGGTTGAGATGGTCTCCCAAGGCCTGTCTCCATGACAACAAGCTAGGAGCGCTCAAAGAAGGATCAGATCTGTTTCCTGCGGCACCATGCTAGCTGTGAGATAGTCACCACACCTGAGTGGTGACTGAGTGTTTTATTCGTTTTAGTCTTAATTTGGAGTGAATGTTGTGGCAGATATGTGAACGCAGATCGACACCGGTTTGGAAGACAGACTGTGAGAAGACTTTCTGATTCTTCAGGGAGCACATCGGGAGAAACAAAAACCCCTGGCTTTGCGAAGCATCACAAAGCTTTACAGAGACCAAAAGGGAGAGTGCTTCCTTTGTTGTGTGTCCTCTTTTACACTTTTACCACTGATTCTGAACTTATAGCACACTCGTATATTTTCAGAATAAAAATAGCCTTGTGTTGAATTATGCATGGCTTTGTGCGCCCGCTTGCAGAGGAAAAAGTTTGGAGTAAAAAACCACGTATAAGGACAAGCAGGGACTGATATTACCTCACGTCTCCTCTGACCTTAGCCCCTGTGGGTACATGGCACTCACAAGTTATACACACACAAATGGGCACACACACACACACACACACACACTAGCATAAAAACCCTCAAACACACACATAAACATGGCAGATGGCAAAGCATCATGGGGGAGATTGGCACTCTCTCACACTTCCCTTTTCTCTCTCTTAAACACACAGCCCGGAGACACACAAGTATGTGGACACACACACTTGTACTGACGCACACACACATTCACAGACGTTGAGGATCAGAAGCACAGGATGAAGCACGGCTTACTGCAGGCATGAGCTGCACCGCCCTGGTTACATTTTTAGCAGTGGAAATAAACTATCTGAGGATCCTCTCTAACAAGAAAACACACCTGTCACTCAAACGCTGCGATTCTCTGCCCTGAATATCAATGAATCTGGAGACTTGGGAGCCTCAACTAAAAACTCTATCAGTGTTGCTTAATGCGGCAGGATGCTGAAAATCTGAATATGTGTGTCACAGTACTGTGCGCACGTCCAAAAAAGGGTTCATGGGAAGTATTGACAAATAGCAACAACACTCCCAGAGGCCTGAGGGTACAAGCAATAGCCGCCTGAGTTTCAGCTCACACTGCTGAGAGCAAATATGACTCATAGAACAGAGATCCCTCACCGGACCTACAGAGACGAAAGGGAAGCCCATAAATGTAATTATTAATCGGGGATTCTGAATAGAAAAACAAGATTTTGGATGAGTCAGATCAGAGAAAAAATGTAAAGATTTTTTCTTTAGGTGTGTATCCTGCCTGCCTTCAAGTGCAGCTTTTAATCATCTCATGCCACTTGAAATCAAATCAACAAAACAGATGAAAAAAGAAAAAAAAACAATATCTAGACATCCCCTGTTAACAAGTGATTTGAGTATATTATTTTCAATGATCCAATTAAATGAACTGTTAAACATTATCATAAATGGAATCCTTGATTACACTCTAAATCATTAATACATCCAGAAAGTCTTTTTCCTTTTCTGTCCTATGATTTGTTTTTGGAGCTATGTTCTCTGACTCTGTGTTGTTAATGTTTCTTTGAGTACTGTATTTGCTCTGGGCTGTAGACTGATTCACAGGAACTGTGATTAACACCATGACCGTGACACGGATACTGAAACACTTGGAGACCAATAGTCTGCTTTATGGTTGTTCATTGTTGACAAGGGTTGGCCGAGGACACACTAAATTATGCTGGTTGTATTTAGAGCTAAAATATCCAATAAATCAGAGCAAGCACAATGAAGACGGTTCTAAATAGAGGGGTCTGTTTAATAAAGATGAAACTGATGCTAGAAGCCACAAATTCATCTGCAGGTATGCAAGAAAGACTCCCACCTGGTATTTGCCCTTCCTGGATTTAATCTCCCTACCTCCGAAGCCTCCTTGAAGGACTCCTCCCTGTAATTTGTTGCTCACAAAACCCGTTTTTCTGTATTTGCATCATTCATCTTTTTTGTATTTGCTTCCATCTTGAATCAGCAGCTTTTTATTTTCTAATTATTTGAAGAAAAATCCCTTTCTCAAGAAGTAAAGGAATGAAATAATGGTATTTATTTATTTATCTCTGTCCATTTCTTTTGTAACATGTTGGGTAGACATATACTGACATTTTATCTGCACATATGATGAAATCAAATGTAGGTATTCATGTATGGAATATTTCCTCCCTGTGCTTTTAAACCTCTCATATATATGTTTACGTGGCTCCACAGGGAAGTTTCCTTTCAAACTTCATTATGCGAGCTTCAGAAAACCAGCATGGTCTTCCTATTATCATGAAATAATGAGACATGAATCATAAAAATAGCTGTCTTGGGATCATAAGAAAACAGAATTGAAACACCGTCTTCACCCACATCCTCTCTGTGGCTCTCTCTGGCAGGGAGCATGAGTTTGCTTCAGGCCACAATTTAATTAACCAATCACCTGCAGCTCACTCTGTGGACGACTTGTGCAGAGAGTATTTAAAGATTGACAAACTTCTGCTTATCTTACAGTGTAAATTATCATCAGAACTTTCATTGGGTTACATTTAGTGCCAAATCTTCCCTGTCAGGTTCTTCTGACTGATCTTAGCATGAAGTGAAGAAGCTGTCAGCGTTACTTTACTCAGCATCGACAGAATTACCCACCAGCATGATCGTCATGTCCACATTAAAAACACTCCAGTTTTGCCTAATTTATTTTCTCTCATCACAAATTCACGTCATACCCTGGACCACACACGGCTTCGTGATTGAGGAACAAAGAGAGGGAAGAGGAAGCGTGACTGAAATCTTCTCCCTCCCGGACCATTTATGCGCAAAAATAACCAAACAAAGTCTCCTTTTAACCTCAATCTCTGCATGTCAAAGCTGCTGCAGCACCAACAATAGTGCAGCAAATGTACACCCACGCATCTTTACGGGGCTCCAAGGTCAGACAAAACCAACACAGCCAGAGAGAGGCATTCAGTAATGGAAGCATCGGCCTTAGATGAGCCCAGCAACAGATGGAGCTGCTCCCGCTGAGAAGGAAATGTATTACCAAATGGTATAAAAGTACATATAGGGCAGATTATTCCAGAGGGTCAGAAAAGAGGGAGGCAGTGGGTTAAGAAGAAATTGCAGTTAGCTCTGCTGGCATGAAGACTCAGCTTCAGAAAATCTAACATTTACCTAAACGAAGATAAAGATGCAGTCCCAATTTCATGCATCTCTATATATTTAGCATATAAACATCAAATCAAATTAACTACAATGTGTTTAAAATACATTTAATTCCCATCGTTTAACCTTTATTTCAACATCTGGTGGCCCTACTATCAAACTCGAACATGGTGCCATCTGCTTTCCTTAATGTTTCTCACTTATGAAACAAATTAAATTTGCTTTTCAGTCTCAAAGTTTAAAAGAAAAAAAATGAAAGCAGAATAAAATACAAATACTTCCATACCTTCAGCGCAGTTTAGTGCAGCAGTAAGACTTCCATCACTGACCTGATTCGGCCAAAAATGTTGTTCATCTTTATACTTTTTTTTTTTTTATTTTGCACAGGTGAGAAAGTCTAGTTCTGTAAAAGCCAGTGTGATTGTGTGTGCCTGCAAACCTTCTGCTTTAACATGTCCCAAATCTGCTTTTAAAAGGAAGCCATGCGTCACTGATGGCTGCAAACCTCACAGCTTCAATTTCGACAATTTTCATGCTTTCAAATAAGTTGAGGGATTACTTGCTTCTCTGTAAGCTGAGTCAATTTTTCAGCCCTTTAGGCGCATAAACCTCTTTCAAAGCCCTCAGGGTAATGCTAAAAATGCAATGTCATCCAGTTAAAAGTGGCTGTTTTTTCACTGTCATGCAAAAGAAATCGACATTTTGCAGATACAGGTGAAAGTTTCCCCCTGACAAAGGCAGGAAAAACAAGATGCATGCATGTCCACTACACAACGTTCACTCAACTGAGACGACACGACAGAGTCTGCAAACACCCAAACACATTTCGTAATTTCACTCTCGGCGACCTCCCCTCTCTCTGTTGCTTGCTCTTCAGAGGCGGCACGTCTTCTGTGCAGCGGCTCATTACGCAGGCTGATGGTTGAGTCCTTGTCAACTCACTGTCCAATTAGCATATCTGAGGCTGGCACAAACTCTTATCCTCGCAGGAGAGAGAACTGTATATACATACTGATGATGTCCATATAGTTATGCACTTGCATGTACACCCCTAATTGTTAAACAGCTCTGACATATGAGAGGAGAAGTATAAATTATCCAATTACAGGTCCAGTTCGTAATAAAAATGTAAGCTAGACGGTTTGCCTCTTTGCATAAATCCAATTCTCTCCTGAAAAAAGTATTTCTAAAAAACTGTCATTGGATAAGTTTTGTTGTTTTAGGGGTTAATTGATGATTTAGCTTGTAATTAGTATTTTCATGCATAATTTAGCTCAGTAATTAACAACTAAATAATGACAAAGTTGCTTTTGGGAGTATGTAGATACAGGAGTGAGAAAGGTAAGCAGCCCCTGGATCTGTCCTATTATCCATCTATATAGCTATCTACACCTTTATCTATCTACATTTCTATGTCTGTCATTCTACTTAATTATTAGATATCTAGGTGTCTAGTCATGTTAGTGTGTAATAAACGGGGTTAGTTGAAAAATCAAAAAACAGAGTATCACAAGGCACAGGGTCTATTTGTGTACCTGTCTACTGGGGGTGGGAGAAAAAAATTGATTCACACAAGTGTCGCAATTTTTTGTTGAACAATTTTTAAATCGATTTTTATGTTCAAAAATCTTTTTTTTTTTTTTTTTTTTTTCAAATTTAAGAATAAATCTTAAAAACTGACTTACATGTGAGGTAATTTTTTGGGGGAAATATGGTTCCTGGAACAGTCAGTAGACAATCACAATAATCACACTGTTTCCCTGGGGTTAAAAATGCAGACTAAAAATAATGAAATTCAACAATATCATAGAATCACAATTTAAATCGACTTGGTGTCCAAAAAGCTGAACAAGAATCGATTCGGGAGAAAAGCATATCATCCCAGCCCTACTGTCTATCTATCAAGTTAACAACCCATCTGATATTAAGCTAGCAATCAAGTCAGTATCTAACGTAGTTATCTAGATACCTGCTAACTATCAAGATACGAAATCTGAACTGTGTTAGATCAAATATTTAGTCACATAATAACATCTAATATTTACATCTTTGTACTTAATAAAGAGCAGTATGTCTGTCTTTCTATCTATCTATCTATTTATTAGGGGTGAGAATCACTAGTGGTCCCACGATATGATATTATCACAATACTTGGGCCAAGATGCAATATTATTGCAGTTTTTAACATTTGGCATTACAGTGAGTATTGCAATACAATATGTTGCTATTTATACAAAATTTTTTCAACTGTTTGGCTAAATCAGAATTTGTCTTTCCTTTATGTTTGTCTCATTTACACAGTATTTTATTTCATGAAGCACATCTTGTAAACCCCATATTTGTATACCTTTCTCCTACTCTGTGATGTCTCCTCTCCAAATCCCACTAGATAAAGAATTTATTGTATTTTTCCATTATCATAGATTTCACATTACTAATTGATTTGAAAAAAAAATTATACTTGTAAAGGAGACGATATGATATACCACCAGACAAAATATTGTGATACTTTGCTGTATTGATTTTTTCTCCCACCCCTACTATCTATCTATCTATCTATCTATCTATCTATCTATCTATCTATCTATCTATCTATCTATGAGTTTATCTATCCATCCATCCATTAAACATGTTAAAGCCTGTCATTTTCTAAAGCTTGACCATCATTTCATAATTTCTCAATAAAATGACTGATTAAAAGTCTGTCAAGAAGCTCTCTCCCTCTCTCTCTCTCTCTCTCTCTCTCTCTCTCTCTCTCACACACACACACACACACACACACACACACACACACACACACACACACACTAAAATAACTGCCAGCCAAGACACACCGCAGCCAATTAGTGAGCTTCTCCTGCAGCAGGACTGAGGCTCCCTGACAACAGAGAACACCTTCATCTCCCTGGACGTCATTGTCATCATCCTGGCCATCATCATATTTCAACCGCGCTTCATTAATGAGACATGCCAGCCATTTTTCCCTCCCTCTTTCAGCTTTTTAGCAAAACCTACACATCAGTCAGGAGACAAAGTCGGGTTGCGCAAAGCAAATTCAGGGGCTTGTTGATCGTCTTGTCCTGAGACTGATAACGGCAGCCTTGAGGAACAGAGAGCTCTGTTTTAATAACCTCCTATTGATTGATCATTCAGATAAACTTTCCATCGGGGATGTCTTAAATGTAAGATCTGTGCACAGACTCCTAATAGATTCATACTTTTATTGATTGAAAGAATGAAGACGATCATCCTGTGCAATCATACAATAGACATTGCAAGCACACATGACACTGCACAACACACCACACAACACTTATCCGTCTTCTCTGCATGTTCACGTGTTTTTTATTCATTCTTTGCTTATGTAAAAGAAGCTGGATTCCTGTGGGAAGAGCCCATTAATTTCCCTGAGACTCTCTGTTGTGTTTGCCCGTGATCCACCTCTCTTCTGTGTATTTCAGTGCTGCCATGGTATCACCTGTCTGTCTTGGTCACATGATACATTGTCCACTGAGAGCTCATTATCTCACATCTGCAACAACACTGTGAAGATCTATTAAACATTAACATGCATTTCCCTCTCTTCACTCTTTGATATATGCGTTTTAGCAGAGGGTGCATGTATGGCACAAAAGTGTCCCCATAGAAGGTGATTACTCACAACCTTACATGGGCATTAGCTTAAAAAATTCACTCTGAATAGAGCTGATTTCTTTGCCTGCATCTGAACAAATCCTATTTCCTATCTTAGCAGTTCTGTCACTAACCAGCCATTGCATGACTTCCTGATGGAGATGAGATTTGTGACGCCAAATGAATTTCTCCTTGAGGGGCGATAAAGTTGTGAATAGAATTGAAAACCAGAGTAATGGGGTAGAAAAGCTGCGTTTGTCCTCCGTCTCATTGCAGGAATCAGACAGAGAGTGCGTCTCTGTAAGTGAAGAGATAAAATGCTTGTCAAGGGTAACAGAGTTGCGCACGGATGCTTTCCACCAATGACTGGCCATTACTCTCACCTCCGTCAAACAAATACTTCATCCAACCTGACATCCTTCAGGGATGTGGAGACAGAGTAATCATGAAATGCCACAAACAAATGTGTGGCTGTTTTCAGGTGCCATGTCAACCAGTCCTCACTACCTCTACCTGCACACACACACTGCAGAGTGTTCCTGCTGACCCCAGAGAGAGTTTAATCTTATGGCTTTTAAGTTTTCTGTCTGTGAGTTATGGTGGTGGAGCAGAGCCACAAGTTCCCCAGACTTTGTCCCCTTTCCATCCTGCAAGGTCTCTTTATGGAGCAAAGCCATTTTGCTGACGCAATAAAGATATTCTTTCATTTACTGGCATATGGAGGCATGCCAAAACCTTCTCTTTTCTTAAATGTGAAGAGCTGAAAATCACAGAGAACACTTGGTGTGGACATTTGACACAAGCCCAAGCCTGTTTATTGGCAATTCTTTCACTATATGAGAACTGCATTTTAAAGTAGAGGTACTCAAACTTAGACATTTTTTTTAAAAAGAAGCTGTAAGAGTTCTTAATTTCGTTAGCTGGAGGAGAACATTTGAAAGGTCAAGAGAAACTCAAAGAAAACTCAAAAACTATTTTCAATGAGACTGGGAGACCACAGGTACACTAGTGAGTGAAAGTTGAAGTTGTTGTGTATCAACATGGAGAAATATAGACAATCTTTAAAAGCCTTATAAACTCCAGCTATTCGACAAACTTGGCGTGTTTTAGTGTCTTTGTATAGGCAGGGTGATGCTTTTAGCTACAAGCTAACAAGCTCACAGTGACGTTGTCAACAGTCGGTAGCTTCAATGTGTAACTTTTTCCATGTTTCAAACCTGGCACACACTAAAAAAACATTTTAGAAATGAGAAACTCCACCTGACAACAAAGTGTAACGGACCTAACAGTCTTGTTTTTGTAGTGTGTGAAGAGCAAGGATAAGGCAAAAACAGCTCATTACTTTCTGACATATCTGATTTACCAACAACTAGTGTCCTGACTCATGCCCATCAAAGTGGCAAAATCCCTCTAAGACACAATGTGGTATATTAAGGTCTCAAAATTAGCATCAAAGACAAGTTAAAGCTACCTGAGAGTTATTTTTTAGGCTTTATCAAAGATGGATGACAGCACTGTATAAAAGTCAGGATCTATCCAGTTACTACAGCTCCTCTTGAAGCAACGAATGCAACAAATATGTTAACCATCATACTGCACATTATCACACATGAAACTTTCATGTGACACTAAAGCAAAAATCAGAGGACGAGTTTATCAGACATCGCAGCCTAGACGAGAACAGACAACGCTCCTCACTGACAGCCTCTTTTAGAGAGCAATCACCCTTTTGAGAGCCAAGCCGACATCATCATGTGTCGTTTGTTCTCAAGTGTATAAAATAGTGCGATGATGGCCTTGGTCCAACAATAGATTTCAAGTTTCTGTGAGGAACTTCATGCTTGTGTCAATTCTGGCACCTCCTATGACAAAGCAGTCTTTGCTGGTTTTGTCCTAGATATTCTGACAAAGAAATCTCATCATTCTGACTTTTTACTGTGCCAAATGTATCATTTGATGTGAACATTTATTGTGAAAAATTGAAATACAAAGGTGACACCTACCCTCTTGTGCCGGTTTCAGGCATAAAGACACAAAATGAAAATGTCAGCCTTGTCACGGATGGTCTTGTTTGCTGTTGTTTATCATAAAGAGGCATTGATATGAGTTTCAGTCTATTTCATACAGGTCAAAAAACTCCTCACAGTAGCTTTGATAACAAAAGGATTTAGAAGCAGATCAGATTTGTAAGTTGCAAAAGCATAAATTTGTATCAAATGTGAAAATGGTAATAAACTTTCAAAGGTCTAGGATTGCTTGACTTGGGAAAAGGATCCTTCCTTAACTTTGGCCTTTGCAATTTTAAAAATGACAACCATCCAGGAGGAATACAGGCTGTGTGATTTACATGAATTGGGAGAAGTCAAGAGTGAATAGTTTTCCTTTGTACTACCATTACCATGATGAGTCGAGGACACTTTTGGTAATGAAACAATGCTAAAAAGCCTGAAATGTCTCTTTGCTTCCAACGAAACCACCTCCTATATTTATGTATGAGACACTATTCAAAACTAATCTACTAATAATCACACAACTCTATCTCACCTCATACAAAAACCTATTTCAGTTGTTTTATTATTCCATGTTTTGCAAGATCTCAAAAATTGGCCCACATCCAGCCCAAATGAATTTATCTGCTCCTCTTTGCATGCACCAATTCCTTTTTTCAATCTGCAGTTGAAAATACTCCTGAGGACTTGTCAAACGCTTGAAGCAAAGTGGTTAGAAAATTCTGCCGTTTGAACATTTATCTACGGCTAACTGTTAACTTCAAAGCGTGTGGTGGTGCCCACTCTTTCTCCAAGTTCTGATGAGGCAGTTTGTCTCCTGCTTTGTCAGCCATCTTGTCAGTCAGCCCTACCCTTTTAATGACTGCTGTCAGTCAGGGATGTAACTGTCAAACCGAGTCAATGGCTGCACTCCCACCTTCCATGATTAGATGATGAGCTGTGTGCATCAACACGTTTAGCCTTTTTCAGAGCAAATGGCAGCAGAATAAAAAAGGAAACATGTTGTTCCCTGTCACAGAAAGTTCTGCAAAGAAAAACTTGGGCTGGAAAAGACAACAGTGAAATTTCACGCGGGCGGAGAAGAATTAGTCGTCTGTTGAAGTAAGAGAGGAGGGTTGACCAGAGGACAGCGAGGCGGCAGCGACAGAAATGCAGAAACGCTGCCCTCTTTTTGCACAAAGGGGGGAAGAAGTAGAGGTAGAGGGGGTGAGGAGGAAAGCGAAGATGTCTTTAGATGTGGCAGTTGTGATGAAAAGAAAAGCGAACAACTGAAGACAAGAGGTGGAAGAGGGAGGAAGAAGAAGAGCAGAGAGGTAGTGGAGGAGTGTGCATTATTCATCCATGCTGACACATCAGAATCTCTGATTCATCTGGTGAAGGGCATCAGTCAAGTCACAACCCATCGCTTAGCCTTAACTCATTCGCACACATGGACGCATAGACACATGACTGACACACACATACACACAAACGTAAATGCAAATGACCAATATACTGAGGAGGAAAGGATAATTATGGGTCTGGTAGGATTGCTGTAGAGACCCTCGACATCAGACGGGGTGTCTTTGCACAACAAGGCTATCAGGTCAAGTGTTTTATTCAAATGCCAGTATAATTACACAGTTCACCTACAGCTAGGTTGATAATGTGGCATAAATCTTCAATTATTGCGCACTCATGATATTTTTATTAGTATTATTATTAAAACAATACCACCACCCTGGAATAAAAAGACTGAGTTGAGTTGTGCATTTTCAATGGAGGGATAACCTACTTTCATCAGAAAAAAATAGCTTACGAATCAAATAAGCATATCAAATCATACTATTATTATTCATATTAAACATTTTAATACGAGAGCGAAGAAAATTATTTTAATGGCAAAACACACAAATTATTAGTGCTTCATAATTATAATTTCTAGTGAGTAATTTAGTCTCCGGTTTGGACTGATGTTGTATTGTACCACAGTAAATGAGCTTTACAGTATTACATGGCTGTGGTACTGTATGTGATTGTTCCTCTGTGACTGTGTTAGTTCACTACGTGTTGAACTGACCGAGCTCATTTGGCCAATTAAATATCCTTGTGCATAAACACAATGAGCACGGGGTCATGTGTAAATAATCAGAGTGGTGTTAAGTAAACTGAATTGAGCACCAGATAACGATAAGGAAAGCTCCTCGTGTGTGTGTGTGTGTGTAACAAGAGATGAAATGTCTCTTTTTTTAAAACAATAACCAAGTCATTTAGCTTCTTGTGTATACAAAAAAAATACAATGAAATAAGAATTAAATATTTGCATGTTTTCGCTGAAAGCCACTGAAAAATCATGTTGATTTATTGCTCAGATACTCATTTGTTAAACTTAGGGCATCCCCCCGTTAAACAGAGGTGAAAAGAGTGCAGTTACAACTGTCGACATTTATCATTTCATAGCACATCCTGGATCTTCTGTATTACTCTTTATGCTGTTTTATTAATTTCCCTTCACATTGCCCTACCCTAATGGCTTCATTCTGAATGCTATACGCTTTTCTCTCAGCAGTGCTTGAATAAACAAGAGGAGAAGCACAGCAGACAAAAGCTCACTGTTCGGAAGGCTCTGAAAAGGTCAATTAATATCAATGCAGAGACAACAACAAAGTTTCTGTCTGCTTGTAATACAGGTGGCTACGCTCCCAGCATCAAAGTTGGACGCCTTATTGGATATTCTCCTTACTTCCGCTTCACCGCTGCGACAAAGCAAATGAAAAGCGCGCACAGAGATTCTGACAAAACCCACGAATGGGCACAACATGTAACACGGGGGAGCAGAGCAGTTATGGGGTAAAGCTGCTGCAGGTTCTGGGAATAGGACTTCAATGAGGCCTTTGACGTGAAACCAAAGCTGCTCCACTGGGAGCACACGTCATCCGGCATATTCAACGCTGGATGGATCTTTCAGTGGTATCTGTTAAAAAGGAGCAGAAAACCATTGAGGCCTATGGTTGAACCCTGTGAGATGCTATTTAAAGGAGCACATGCCATCACTGCTTTCATAAGCGCCTGCTCCTAACAGGGCCGGGATGAATACCTGTGGGGCCGAACATCTCCCAGCTCATGGAGAAGCATATTTGATCTGAGAGAGACAGAGGGAAATTTTACAGTTGAGTTATTCTGCTCCCACGTAATGACTTTTCCCTGTCAAAATATTACAAATATCTAGACTCTTTCATATAAAAGCATGTGGCTTGCATAAGTCAGCCAGGCTGGAGGTGGAGCTGAAACTTTAGGCCAGAAATCCACTAAAGAGAGCAACCCATGTGTAAAAATGACTGATTAAAAATAATTAGGGATGTGGAAATGGTGTGGAACAATAACCAGCAAACGCGGGCTGCCCCAGGGAAAATTCCCCATCTGTGTGCGAGGAGGAGGACTTCTCTGAGATTCACCACGACAGTTTGATTTTTCCAGTTTTACGAAGGCCAAGCATCGGAAATACAGAAAACTTTAACAGGCATTTGGAGTGATTTAAATCCCGAGCAGGCAATAGCCCTCGGAAAATGTGTCAGAATGAATTGATGTATCATTAAATTACACTGAGCCCGTGCACGCGTGAGTGGCTGCGTTAAGAGCAAATCCTGCTGCGTATAATTATAGACATATGAGAGGTCTATGGACTGCAAAACACTGCTTATATGTACAGATGGGGTTGTTTTAAGTAAAGCTTGAGTGGAGCAGATGCAGCAGCCACTCTATTGTCTCGAAATAGTCTTACTAAATGAGTCCATCCGCCCTGCCAACTGGTGCCTTTTCTAAGAAATTCATAATATCAATTTAAGAGTACATATGGATTTATAATATGACTGTGTTAAACCCCTGAAGTGTTTGAATGACATTAACATAATGGGATTTTGACTTGACTGCATCACTTGAAAATCACCATAATGAAACTTCGTCTGATTCCTTTCTCATTTGCACATCCTTGTCAATTTTATAGGATGTAGTAGCTCAAATATCTCCTGTTGATGGTTAAATGTAGTTATTTTCTTTGTGTTTTTATCACCTTTTTCTTGAGACTTTAAAAATGTCTGAACAGGAGACTAATTATACCTAGATAGAGTCTCAAATGAGCCACTTTAAACAAGAGTGGATGAAGAACAAAGGCTCCTCTGCTCTGCCAGTCTGCCCCGGTCCCTCTTGCTGCCCAGCCAACAATAAGGAGGGGGGGGTGCATGGAGGGGCACGCGCACTCACAGCGCTGTTGCCAACCTGCCTGGTCTGCGCAACCCCTCGCGGACTGATTTTCACCCAAACGGTTGAAAGAAAAGTCTCAAGTGATGTTTCCAACCAAAGGAGAAGAAGCCTCCCAGACACGGAGCGACGCCAAACGGTGAAATTTCACCCTAGCAGTGTCTGAAATGTCATTAGTTTCCCCCCAAAAAAGGCAATTGACAAGTGAAATTAAGGCGTCAGGGTGGGGTGCACGCGCGGCTGCAAACATGAAGTGAGTGAGGATGAAGGATGCTAGTTACCTTGCTAGGAAGTGCTCCGTCTTCTTTACTGTCTGCTAGATTCATGTGGGTGGATTTGCAGCTGGAAGCGTCCTCTCCTCGGGAAACAGCAGGGATGAATGTAATCCAGAGAAAGGTCTGTCTTTGCGGGGGGTGCATGCACACATCACCGGCGTTTCCCCCCCCTCACCTCCTCCTCGCTGCCTGGGTCACGGCTGCTCTTCAGCCCGTTTGTTGGGTGAGCATTGCTAGCAGGTCGGGGCGGCCTCAGATACTGCTGGTTGATGTCATTGATACTCCCTGCCTTCTTCTCCTTCCTTAATGCCCTCCTCCTTCCCTCCCTCTCTTCTCCTCCCCCTCCCTCTCTCTCTATCTCTCTCTCGCTCTCTCAACCACACACCGGAGCACTCTCCCCCTCCCCCCTACACATGACGTGATGCAGGCAAGATCTCCAATAGCAACCGTATCCCCCATCACCCCTATTTACCCCCATTACCAGGACCCCCACGCCTCCCCCCACCCCATCCCTTCCTCCTCCTTACCTCCAGTATGCAGCTCCCCTCTGGATCGCTGACTGGTGCAAAGAGGCTGCATGCTGAGGTAGGTTTTAGTCTTGTGTATTGGTGGCTGACTTTTCTTCCCACTTTCTCCCTGGGGCCTCAAATGAAGATAAGCACCTTGAAACCCCGTAGACTCCCTTATAATAGAGTCTAATTATAGCTTTTTTGGCAGAAATTCAGAGCCCAGAAGACTACCAGGAGAGAAGAAATCCCTTTCTGAATTATAGCAGGATACTCCAAATATACTGGAGATTTACAAAACACATGGCTGGACATTATGACAATTTTAAGTACCACTATAGAAAGTAGTGCAATCGAAATTCAGGGAAAACTTTTGGGGGTAGTTTTTGGTGCTGTTTAACTGTATTGCCATGAAGATGTTCCAGGTAATTTATCTTTTGAAAACAATAAGGGTCGTCAGATAATTTATAAGATTTAAGTGATTTATCTCTGAGTCTGAACCCAATGCAGACTTTTTTTATCTCTATGTTTTATGCCTTTTGTATCATCAATCATCGTCTATCAAATCAATATGATCATCAAATTACTTAAAAAAACACATGAATACATTCTATTAAATGATAAAAACGTCTTGTAGTTTATCAGTTTCCAAAAACATCTAATGTACCAAATGAGATAAATAAATATATTTGTTAAATTTTAAGGACATTTAGATTTTTTTGGTTTTCAGTTGTAAGTGAAATAAACATTTTAGCTCCAAAAAAAATTTGAATTTTCTGGCCATAATTTGTGGTGTCAGGCATTAAAGGGCTACCCTATGGCAATATATCTAGGGTACACTTAAACACATGAAATAGATCGCCATTTTATCACTATAAAAACAAAGCTGTTTTTGTTAAATGCATGTGTACGAGCAGGAGGGTAAAACATGAAAATGGCTGCAGACAGACCCTCAAACAAAAGACAGCTGGACTGCAGCTGTGTGTGAAATTAATTCTCATATCCGACCTTTACCTTACAATATGAACAAAATGAGAAGATCTAGGAGAGTCTGGATCTCACACGAGTAGATGTCATCTATCAGATTCAGTATGTCACTAAAGAATCCTTGTGACATTTTTGTGTTAAACATGCAGACGAGCTGATTAAAATATCAATACAGCTAAAATAATGTGGAAATTAAACAAAGCCTTATTCCTATAATAGTAAAGGCCAAGCATAGGCGCGCACACACTTGCCTTAGTTTTATAAGATTTGTTCTTATTTAGGTCACCCAACATGACAAAACCAACCGCCACAAGGGCAAACAGTGAGGTGTTTGTTGTAGGTTCGCATGATGCCTCGCAAGCGTGTGAAGAAGCCTTTATTCTAACCTTTTTGCTGACCCTACACTCAGCATCAGCAACTCTGCTTGTATGTTTTTTTTTTCCCCTATTCATCCTTGCTACAGTTCTAATGCATATTCAGCTGGCTGCATAATAGCCAGCTAAAAGTCCTTTACAACAACTTCTTCTCATTTTCTGACACAAAGAGCCGTCGACAAGGATGGAGACAGAGACTGGGGAAAGGAACCAACTGCCACCACTTCTGATGTTAATTGGATGCTACAGTTTTAGAGGCTCTCACATGGTCTTGAAGGGACAAAGAAGGATTTTCAGATGGATTTTCTTTGTTGCTACTGACATCTAGTGGACAGTAGCTATTATGCCGTGCCGCATTTACTTCAGATCCAAAGCAGTCAGACAAAGGACTCATGAATTCTCAGCATTTCTCTAGTGTCTCTATTAATAGCACAAAGGAAAAAGTCTCCAAATGACAGTTTCAACACCATGACACCAATCAGGAGGAGGATGTTTGTTTTCGACCAATGGCAGCTTGGGAGGCATTTTTTTTTCTTTACCTTTGGCCTTTTGACACTGAAGGTCATGCCAATAACTTCATTTATGACTAAACATGATAATTAAGCCTACCATTTAGAAAACCTTTGGCAGAAAGGTCAGAGGTCAGATCAGGGTTAATTTTGTTGTGGCAGGGACTTGAAACTCTCTTAACCAGCTGGTGATTTTCTTGCTCTCCAACATGACACCTCTCTCTTGTGCTGTAACCATGACCTGCAGTAAGAGGAAAAAAAGAAAAAAAGGAAATGTTTGGGTCAGTCACTCTGAACTCTCCTGATGTAGAAAATAAAAAAGGCTCATTTGGTTTCCTGTCAGAATAATGCGCTCTCTGTTGTCTATGTGCCGTCTCTGCCAGTCACCCTGCGTGTGACCTGCCTGGCTGTATAGCATTACAGTATTCCCATTTTCAGAGTTGAAGCTAGGGCAAAAGATCCCTAAAATTAGCAGGGTAAGTGCCCTGTCTCCACCGCTGCCCTGCAGCAGTGACGTTAATTGCACTCTATTTATACTTTAAGAGTGTACGGCTCAGAAAGATCAAGTTTCTGTTATACTTTATTATACAGTGTCCTGGGGTTTATGGGACTAGAGCAGTGAAATGGCAGTATTTAGTGTCAAGAGCTAAATAAAATGGGCTTTAATTACTTCTTAAATATTCAGCTAATTTGATACTCTGCATGCATGCCTAAGTAAAGCATCCTACACTGTCTACATAAGGATATTTTATGGATCTGGGATTTTCTCTGTCTTGCAGATGCAACCGTTTAAATGCATTTTATGTAAAATGAAATTCTGCAATCTAAAGAAACGGCACTAAAGCTTGAGAGTTTGAGACACTTACAAGCTCGACAAAAGACTTTGATATAAAAGTGCATTTTAAATAAAAAATGAATAAAATTTTCAATGTAGAAAAACACATCACAGAACTGAGAACAACCACAGACATAATGTTGCGACACTGAATTTTATTCAAGTATCCCCAACACACTTTTTGTTCTGGAGTTATCAGTTAAATGAATCAGTTGAAAAGGAGAAAGGCAGCGACAGTTCGTGGCCTGAATGCAAGTTTGTCTGTTTGGGATTTAGAGCCTCTCAGTGTGCATTCAACTCGGCGGTGCTTAGCACAGTCAGACAAATGAAACATTCATGATGACAGAGGGTAAACAAAAGAGAGACCATTAAAAATAAGACGCAGATGCAGCTATGGCTGCAACAGAGCCGTCTGTTCCATTTCTGTGAACCACATCCGAGGTTAAAAGATGATTTAAAAAAAAAAAAAAAAAACAGAACTGACACTTGCTCTCTGACAGTTCACTTGGAAACAAGAGGGATTCATCTCTGAAATGATCACCCTTGGAGCTGCTTCTTTGACAGTGAAGTTATATCTTTGTCGCTGTTAACTCTGGCAAGGATCAGGGAATTTAGGCACACTTTAGGCTCAGGTTAAAAACTGTACACTTTGTAGGTAGGCAGGCGTTTTAGGAAAACATTCTAAGAAGATAAGATTCTTCGTAACTGAAGCAGCCCCAGGTTTGAGTCATTATCCTGTTAAAGTAAGCATGTAATGAGGAAAGAATAAATCTGCTAATATAGCTAATCCATGCTTGAAAATGTTTGCCTCAGATTGAAATATAACAAACTGCATAGGTTACAAAAATCTGTGTGGAGACAGGGGGAAGTGTTAGCCAAGCAATGAGCTCTTTTCATGAACTCAAAGAGATATCAGTCTCCCTTTTTCAAAACGATGGCTCTGCAGCGCTGATAAATCATGTCCCAATCTGAAATATCAAACTGCTTAAGCTGCTGATCTTCTGGAAATGTAAGATTGACTTTATCTCTCACCTTTAGGCTAACACTTCTGCTCATAATTAGGACAGATTAGCTAATTGCATTTCCTTTTGCCTCCAGTTTACAGTCTGTAACAGCTCCCTGTCTGATATTTGGCACAATAAATGCAGCACCCTCCCATATCAAAGACACGGAGCAGATGGTGAATGTGAACAAAAAAATTACCTAAAGCGAGTTTGTACACACATCGTTTCTTTCTGCACAACCATTTTTACTCTTCTTTTTCATGCATGTTATCTGAGTAGTTTGATCAGATGCTTTCAACCTGTGCAATTAAGACCCATCTTCCATGCAGTCCGGCCACCACCATACACACAATAGCACCATCATATCACAAACCTCCTTTTTAGTGGGATAGAAAGAGGGAAAACATGATAAAGCTTCCGTCAGGTCAAAGTTTCACCTAGATTTGAAAAGCAGAGGAAACCAGGAATCGAGAGATAACTGACCAGAGCTCAGGCAGAGGTTTGAGCTGAGAAGCTGGATGTTTATTGCTATTGTTTGGTCTGACACAAGGTGGGAAAGGCTAGAAGCAAAGCTGATGTCAAAAGAAGATTAAAGATGGGGATTTGTGGCAGGTTAGAGAAAGATATGTAGGACAACAGAGGAGTAGTGCAGGGCTCATCAGGGGAGCAAAGTGGATGTCAGTGCAGCTCAATGAAAGCCTCCATCTCCTCAGAGATCAGTCCCCTGTATGGCAGTCTGTGCTTTTCAATTGCACGTGCCGCCAGGCACTGTAGGGTTACATAGTTCAGCGGGTAGAGGGCTGGGTGCCCACTGCTCTGCTCGTCCAGCAGCTCATAGGCCGTCTTCCTCTGTGCATTTGTGGCATCAAAGTGCGCCCCTGCCTTCATGAGTAATGCCATAATCTCTGGACAACCATTGTTGGCAGCGATGTGCAGCGGTGTGTTGTTCTCGCAGTCACGTGAGTCGACATCTGCACCGCACTCCAAGAGCAGCGCTGCAACTGCCTGGGAGGGGAAGCGGCCTACAGGGTAGCGTCCCACAGAGGTGGTCTCCTTGTCTACAGCCATGTGGAGAGGGGTGAAGCCGCTCCGACCTCTAGGGTTCAGCTTCAGCAGGCGATACACAGTGTGCTTCTTCTGGTGCTCCTGCTCCTGGCTACACTCCAGCTTCTCCAGCAGGAAGATGAGATGCAGGATGATGGAGAGTGCTTTGGTGAACTGAGGAGCTTCAGGGGGGTTGTCCCTCTGGACCACAGCTCTCTCCACCTCACGCACACTTTTCCCAAGCACAGTCATCAGGTCATGGAAGGTGATGCGAGTGGACAGGGTGCCTTTGGCGCGGTCTTGTAGGACAAAAGAGAAGAGCTCTGCAAATGAGAGGAAACTCGAGGCCGTCATGGGGCTGAGTGGATCGAGGTTGCTCTGCTGCATGTCTAAAGCGTACTTCCACAGGCTGATACAGCGTTCAAAGTTTCCTGAGTCTGCATACACAGCTCCCCTGTAGCGGATGTAGTAAGAGGTGTCTGGGTGGGAAGGCCCCAAGATGCGCTCTCGCACTAACAAGGCCTGCATTCTCATTTCATCAGGGTCAGTGATTAAAGCCTCCAGCTCCTCTGCAGTGTTCACCTCCTGTGCACAGCCATAAGCAGGGATAGGAGGACCAGGTGGGGGTTTGGACAGCAGCCCAACTTTGTCCCCTGGCTGCCTCAGCTCCATCGCCCTTCTCCAGTACCTCATTGCCCCCAAGAGATCCCGCTTTTTGTCCACAAAAGTCGCCCCAAGGAGTTCAAGTGCATCAACGCGCTCCTCTCTGGAGGTACGAGGCTGGTGAGCGAGGTACTCCACAATGTTGGTGTGACCTGTGACACTTGCAGCCAGGAGGGGGGTCATCCCGTATCCATCCCTCTCCATGCGAGCATTGCACTTGAGTAGCATCTTCATGATGTCCAGACTGCCTGACTCAGCACAGTCATGCAGGGCAGTGTTCCCTTTCACACTCTTGCGGTTGACATCAGCTCCGCGGTCCAGGAGGAACTTGGCGATCTCCTTGTGTCCCTTGTAGCAGGAGATCATGAGGCAGGTGTGGCCGTGGCGGTTGGCTACCTCCATGTCGGCTCTGTGCTCCACCAGGTAGCGAACTATCTCCAGGTGTCCGTCAAAGCAGGCGGCTCTTAGCGGCGTTGAGTTGGTTAGTGTTGCGTTGTTAACTGAGGCACCATGTTTCAGTAGAGTCTTCACCACAGGCAGGTGACCGGCTGCAGACGCTGCCCACAGCGGCGGAGCCCCCTCGATAGTCTCGCCGTCAAAGTTGACCGCCCCGCCGAGTTCCACATTAGCTTTACAATGTTCAAGAAGGTAATCTACGACCTCCAAGTGTCCGTATCGAGAGGCTATTAGGAGAGGGGTTCCTCCCTGGGTTTTCTCCTCGGCTAACGCCTCCAGCTCCTCTGGAGTTTTGTTGCTCAGCAACTTCTGGATAAGTTTCAGCTTACCATCTCTGGCCGCGTTGAAAACCGCCGTGGTTATATCCATTTTACAGACTCTTTGCTGCCAAACTGGACACTAGCCCCATGTCCGCTCGTATATGGAAAAACTGTCAATTCTGATTTCAGAAAACAGTGAGCGGGTATATTAGTTTGGGCCCGGTTTTGAGCTCACATCTTTCTGCCATTTTGAGCGAGCTGTCAAGATGGCGTTTGTGTTGTTTGACAGGTCTATGTTTACGCTAGCAGCGGTGCATTGTGGGAGACGTAGTTTCAACGAAATATCTAGTCCGAAGAGCTCAGGACTAAATTACCGCATAGAGAACTTCATATCCCATGATGCATATGAGTTAAATGCCTGAACGTTACCAGCTGATGGGTTCGTTTGTTATGGTTGTTCTGACAAATGAGGAGCACTACCTCAGTTAGGCAGGAGGTGCCACTTAAAAGTCCAATACATCATAATTCTAATTTAGGCTATTACATGTAAAAAAAAAAAAAACAGAACGTTAGATAGAAAGTTAAAACAGAAATTTTGTTCCATGAATATCACTTTGGGTGGATTTATAAGCAATTATACTGTAATGTGTGATAACTTTGGTAGTTAAAGATTAAATAGAGTGAGAAATTTCAAATGAAACAATGATAGCTTAAAATACAGAGAAATACTGATGTGCTGTTAGCAGTGATAGAGTTAGATTTCAGTCAATTTCCATGTTTATTGACTGCCAAATTCATGTTAAATTTGAACAACAACCCAACGTTCCAGCTTGTTGTTGTTGCTGATTATTGTTTACTTTTAATGCTCTATTTTTGTGAATCCTTTTAGCATTAGCTATTTTATAGAATATCTGCAAGCTGTGTTGCTATTCACTTCAGTTCAACATCTCTGTTGACCAACATATTGCCCAAATATGATATGAACAAGGATAATGCATGCCCTCCAGTGCTTCATTAAGCCTACAAGAACTCCCTCCTCGTAGTGTTCTTACTAATTTGTTTCATATCAGTATTCATCAGTCAGTCAGCGTGTGCTTCCATGCATCTCTGAAACTCCACATGTGATCACCAGTTCCAGTCTTGAGTCTTGACTGTGCAGGCTTAGGAAAGCTAAATTAATCAACACAGTCAGATGACAGTAACTTGAATCTCATGGCTTCCTGCATTGTGAGCTGACGGCTGCCAACAGCGTCATGCTTCTGGTGTCACGTCACATTATAAGAGGGTGCTAGATAAGAGCGAGGCTGGAATCCATCATTACCATTACCACAGCATTGTTCGTTTTCTCTAGCAGTAATTTCTTTGCCAGATTTACTGCTTTGCCAATAATAGGAAGATTTAATGTGATTTAATTATTGTCACTTTTTTTTCATACAGTTTCTATACTACTGTGTGGCAATGTGTCACAACACAATACAAGAACTTTATTGATCCTCAAAGGGAAATTCATTAAGTTCAGTCAGAATGTTAGATCTATAGTAATAGAAAATAATCCCATAAACATAAAAAAAAATAATTAGTCGATGGAAAAAGGCTGCAAATATAACTGATGCAAACACCCTTAAGAGTGTGGAGGAAATCACATTTCTCTGTCCTCCTACACAAAGCCAGTTGCCAGAACGTTGATTTGAACACTGTCATGAATTTTGCTGAATGCAAACACAGGATTTTACATCCATTTCAATGAGGACACTGACTTTGTCTTCTGTAGTCCTCCACAGTATGAAAAATCATCTTCCTACACATGTATGCATGAATGCAGGGTGGCCTGCAGTGTAGTCCAGCTGTCGATGAGAGCTGAGCATTGAAGTAGGTTAACTGGTGTACTCTTGCCTGCCGAAACCACTGATGACAAACAAAACGGTCCCTAAAAATGTCTGCTTTATATAATGTGTAAATAACTTTCAAACAAGTTTCACATTCAAGTTTCATTTCACATTTTGGCAACTATATAACTTTTTGAAGATCACTAAATATCACTGATAGAAGTTTAAGCTGTTCTGTGTTAATACACAGTCTGGGTTTTTATAGCCCTGCATAGTTTCAAAATTAAAAACCATTCAGCTCACCATTCAGATTTTGATCTTTTCAGTCTAGACAGGTGCACTGCAGGGTGTCTAACTTTCTCTGACAGTTTTCTAACTTTTTTTTCATGTGAAAGAGTGAGAGAATAAGCTTTCTGGGACATTTATGAAGAAAATAAGCATATGAAATACAAACTTAGTGTGTTGATTAAGACTCTAGGGTAACATTTTGCCAGGCAGTAACTTATCCTGGAGGTTATTACCCAGTCTTTTTTCAGTTGTTTGCCTTGCTGAGAATACGGAGGCAAAAATATACTCTTCATTTTCTCATCTAATTTTATCTGTTTGCTTCTAGGTCTGTAGAAAGTTGATGTTTTTTAAACTCTTACATGAATGTGTCTCACATGGGCGCTTGTGGTGACTTATTTTAGGGCTTAGCAGGCAAACTGAGTGAGCTCCACATCAGCAAGGGGCATTATCCAGTGATGAATATGGATTTTCAGCATAATAATTATGCTTTTATTGGGCAAAAGTGAAGGAGATACCCAGGGCAGGTCGTAAGTCAATTAAAATTCTTCAGATGTTTTAGATGCTTAAAATTGAATTCCATTTCTCAGGCATTTAGTGGTGTTATTGTGATGGTTCACCAGTAGAGGGGGCAGAAACTCCACACTCTGGTGGTGTTTTTTATTTTGATTTTTTTTAAGTCAGTAGGAACATCTCTGCATTTGAACTGTTGTAGTAGGTTTTGCATCTTTGGTACTCTCCAAACATGAAAATAAATTCAGTTATCAACCAAAGTATTGAATAAATCTATCATGATTTAACCTTTCTGTATAGATGAATCACTTCGACATGTGTATGCAGAGGTTTATTTTGATTGGACCCTGATTAAACCTCTTCATCCCTTATGCTTACTGGGAAGTCACTGAAGGCCGACATGAGCAGCAAACCTGCTTTTGAAATTAAACCGGGAATTTGAGTGCACACAGAGACAATATTGCATGCAGTGATCCCAGATTAAAAGCCTCACAAATGACACCCAGTCTGTGTGAGTCTCAGAGGACCTGCAGCCACCGACTTGGCTGCCAAAATGGAAAGCTTGAGGGAACAGAGGAGGGTTTATAATCATTTCCTAGAGCTTGTTCTTGATCCTGAAGAATAATTAGAAGACAAAATCAATGAGACAAAGCTGCAGCATGGAAAAACGATGCTTGTGGTTCTAGCATTTTTATTCATGTTAGTCAAAGGCATCTTATCACATTTACATAACAGTCATTTTAACATCACAAGCACTGCCATCAAAAAACTATTTTAAATCTGGAGGAAACATTATCCTCAACAAGAACGTGCAAAATCTCACATGGAGAATTACTGCTCTATTACAAAAAATACAGCTGTAACTTCAACAAGATCATAATTGCATCACTGATATGTTATTGAGCCACATAACCATGCTCATCAGGGAGGGCAACACCTTATGCAACTCAATAGTCAAAGAGAAAAACACAAACAAAGACGACAGATCCATTGTTCACATTAGAATTGGTGTTTTTGTTTTTATTTAACCTGGCTGTAAAAAGCTACTGAAGTAACTCTACACAGACTCTTTTCGTCCATTATAGTGTACAAGTTATAAACCCTTTTAAGTCAACACCTGCCCAGTATTTATCAGATCTGTGGAGTGGGATAAAAAGGTAGCCAGAGAAGAAAGGGGCCGTCATGCTGCTTGTTTCCAACTTGACAGCTTCTCCCTAGAGGTCTGCGAGCAGCTCACTGAGCAGCACCTCCCTCTCTCCCAGCAGCACATCTCTCCTCAGACTGGTTCCTTTGTTCACCACCTTTATCTTCATGGCCAGACTCTTTACTTGCGCCCGAGGCAACGAGTCAAAGAAAAAGTCTTCGTTGAACACCGGATTCCTGCTGTTCTTGATGATGGTGCTTCTCTGTTTCTGCAGTTTCCCGGGGTTCAGGTATAGCGCCACGCAGCAGTTGATGCTTTTAGGGTCCGTCTGCCTATCGTACAGGGCCTCTGCAGCAAGTACACGCACCCTCAGTCGTGCGGATTCTGCATCGTAGTGAGTGCTCAGCCTCACTGTCCCCCCCTTGTGGAGGTTGATAGTGTGTTCACGCTGCAGGAGGTCTGACGCTGCCCCCCTTAGGCCACTGCTTTTAATTCCATGAAAAGCTGGGGAGGGCGGGCAGCGCATTCGGCGACGCTGCATGTTAGGGCTGTTGTCTGCAGAGCTGCAGTCGTCAGTCGAGAGGGAACTGTGTCGTGCCAGGGAGCGCTTGGCACGAAAAACCTGAGAGAGAGAACAAAGCAACTGGTTAACATACTGCAAGGAGCAGGAAACACGTGTAACCATTTCTTTAATCTTGCAAGTTTGTGTAAACCAAAGTCTCAAAACTCACCTTGGCCTGTGTCTCCTGGGTGATGGAGCGCAGCAGAGAGGCAGAGCGGGACAGCAGAGGGGAGTTGAAAGGGGATGACTCTGCAGAGGAGCAGGTGTCACTCTCTCCTCCACTAAAGTAGCGGTAGGGATTGGGGTCCGCTGGGGCCAGGAGAGTCCCCCCTTGTGAGCGCCTCTGGGAGTTGGGTGATGTGAGAGGGCTGTTAGGGTCACTGTGGAACAGGCTCTCTTTGCGGCGGGTGTGAGGAGATTCCACCAGAGTGGAGAAGCCATATGAAGTTTGAGCCTTGGGGACATAAGGCAGAGACATGGCCGTCTGAGACTGGGGGTCTGCATTGGTGTTCATTTCAGCTCTGAACCTGTCTGTAGACCCAGAACCTGGCTCATCAGCACTCTCTATCTGGATGATGTGACGATTTGCTGACTTCTGGAGGTTGCGAGCGTCCCCTCCCAGGCGGGAGAAGAGTCCAGGGCTGCAGGGGCTCTTGCTGCTGCGAGCTCTGGGACTCTGGTTGCAGATTGCATGGTCAGAGGAGGAGGGTCTCAGGGGGGTGCAGGGCTGCGGCTCTGGAGTTAGAGAATCTTCAGGTGGGCAGCAGATGAGTTTGGGCGGAATAAAGAAATCAGGGATCTTGTCCGGAGTGAGGACGTTGGCGTAAACAGAAACAGGAATGGCCTCCACTGTCTGCGGGGGCTGGGATTGTGTCCCACTGCTCTCCACAGAGCTGCGGAGCTTCTCCAGGAGCCACATGCCTACTCAGATGCCTCACAGCTTGCTGTAAGCGAAAAAGAGATACATGAAGAGAAAAAAAGCACACTTAGTTATCTTAAGCAGACAAATTCAACAGTGTTCCAGCTTTTGGTTCAGTTTTATATACTTTCCCCTGACCTACAACTCAATATGAACAGCTTTCAACATCTCAGAGTAAAAAGAAACATGAAGCACTTCAGTTTGGAGAGAGAAAGAAAAAATAATAATAATTTGAAGACTCGTAAAGCACACATCTTTCACATATTAACGAATAAAGCTTTGTCCAATGCTTTCCAAAGTAATTGTTAAATCACAGCAATAAAATGAACACAACGATTTCTATAGGAACTACTGAAATTTTGGCTTAAAAAAATTAACAAGTCATTAAGTTGAATTAAATCAAAACAACTTCAAGTCATTTAATCACTCCATGAAATCCAAAAAGTAAACGCGTACAGTGGATATACAACTTTTTTTAATTAACTGTCCACGTTATTTTCCTCCAAGTTAAATATCCAATAAAATATTTGAACAAACCTTAAGGCTGTGAAACTCTTTTCCTTCGATGAATCGTTAGCTCTCGTGCGCTCGTCTGCAACCTCTCCACGCGCTTCGTCCGTGCGTAAAAGGTACAGTCTGCCTCCCTGCTGTAAGCGTGATCCAAAACGCTCACCAGCGGTTAAAGGCTGCTAGATCACGCTCCCTCGCTTTATATGCTGGGGGTCTCTGACTTGAGAGCCAATGAGGTGGTGATGAAACCTTCTCATGGCATTCACCATAGAAGTACACCCTGCGCAGAAGAGAAGGAGGAATAAAAACCTGTCATTTTAAGGCTGTTGTTTCACCAGTCTCCAAGTGTTTGAAATAATGTGATTTTCACATCTCACGTCTCATTTATTTTGAAAGAGCACGTCACAGGGATGTCATTTAGTGCTCGCGTGAGCTCTGTTCCCTCACGTATTGTTATCAAATGGAGGCTCTCTGCCTGTAATGGGTGGTGCAAACCTTAATTGGCTTCCCGGGGGCATGTGATGCGAGGTGACACTACATGCTTTTTTCACATGCACCATCAGAAATCTTTCCCGAGGATCAGCTTTCCTCTTCATACTAACATACAGGGAACAAAATAAGAAAATGAACTTCAGCAAACATGAGTAAACAAAATTTAAAAAAGGGGCTGATGTGTCCTAACACTTGTTGGGAGAGAAGGAGAGTTTTCTCAGTCCTTGTTTTTCTTTGGTCCATAAACCTAACATGGACATGCCACTGAATGTGATTCACTTCTGTGATGTGTCCATGGAGCCCCTCAGGGAATCAGATACACAGCCTCCCTGCTGTTTGATGAACCCAAAAACTCTGCCTAGGACCCGTGGCTAAGCTCCCTTCTGTAGTTTTGGACCCAATCTCTGCAACAGCCAGACTGTTCATCCACAGAGAGGGGATGAGCAACACCAAATGAGCTGTCGAAAGTCCTCATAAAAAAGGAAAAACAAACTTCTATGATGTGCTTTTATCCCTGACATGATACACCAGGCTTAACAAAGTCAATTAATAGATCACGATTTAATAATCCTCCCACATTGATAAAATACAGAAAATCAAACAAAATGCTGGCTCACACATATTTGTTTCATTCATTATAAGTCAATGCCAGCGTACAACACTGGTCAGTGTTATGCAAGGGCATAAAACCTGATATATCTAAAAAATAATGTCAATAAAACAAAATAAATGAATATATAAAATAAACTGATATGAACTGATGATTGTCATTGTTTTTCTCTGGCCCAGATTCTGCTTGGACATTGCCAAAATGTAATTCAACCCACATTATCTTTTGCCAGGTGTCAAAGTCGGTGGTGGATCTGTCACGCTATGAGCAGCAATCTCGTAGGAGTCCTTTGGAGCAGCTACTGTTTAAAAAAACATCCAATCAGTGTGAAGCCATTGAATAAAAAAAGACTCAGTAGTGCTGTATGTTACAATTTAAGTGGACAAAGCCACAATCTTGCTGTAGCTCTAATAGTTATTCATATTGTCTGTCATAATGTGTGGCTCTTCTTATTTCATCTGACTTTTATCTATTCCCTAAATACTGCGCATACTGTACAAAGAACAAGTGAGAAAAAGCAGAGTAATACCCATAAGTGTTTCTTCATATGTTAAGGTCTTTATAAGCTATAATTAAAGCCCAGTTGGCTTCTCTTTGTTTGGCTCCAAACTCTGGCTTTTCTGTTCTGTGTCTCTTTGTGGTTAGCGTCTGATCTGCTTGGCTGGGTGAAAACTTTCAGCTGAATGTTTACACTCCTCTGTGCTGTTACTGTCTGCTGAATAGTGGTTGTACTACATGCAGTATGATGCTGAAAAGAAACTGTTTTGCTTTTGAAACCTCTCCCCTTTTTATAAATTAACATTTCCTTTTCCTTTGATTGTGTTATTTTTTTTATTTTCAGTCTCAGAAACTTGAGACAAAATACTACACAGTCTAGAACAATCCAGGTAGCATGCAAGATTGTCATCACAGTCAATTCCTGAAAATATGTAGCTTGAATTTTTTTTCTTGCACAAAATGCCAAACAGCATTTGTATTAGGAAACCGGATTTCACCCCATATTTAAGTTTCAGACTCTTCATAATGGTTTTTTTCTTTTTTTATTTAAAAGCCCAGTGTACATGGTATATGTTGAATCACCTTGTTGCTAATGTTAAGGATCCAACCTTGAAAAGTGTATATGTTTGTTTGTTGTGTTAGCCTTCAGAAGGAGTTTGAGACTACGTTTACACGTGCCCGGCTATTTTCATAAATGGACATTTAACCCTCTGCATTTACAAAAAAAAAAAAAAAAAAAACTGCGTGCACTCCACTAAGTTTTCATAAAGGTTTTTGTTAACACTAACCCGTGTTTATATGCTGTCAAGAGCACATCAATAGCAGTGTAGTGAGAAGCTCAAGCTCACGTTAGCCAATCAGAATCCCACACAGCAGCAGCAACAACAACAACAACAACAACAACAACAAAAACATCCCTTCTGTCTTTCCTGCGCACAATCTGCAGTCGGCTACCCAAATCTCTGTTTTCCTTCATTTTTCTCTGTTTACATGCAAATGTGCAAATGGAGTCTTCCAAAATCTCCACTCTGGCTGGAGTTCTAAAAAAAGCATTGTTTTTAGGGGTGAATGGTTAATGTTTCCGTTTTAAAAAATAACCGCGTACGTATAAACGGGGCCTCAGTGTACAAAGATTCTCATTGAAAACTTTTAAAGCAGCATGAAGACAGACGGATACGCACCCATCAGCACTCACAGGTGAAGTCAATATCACCGATTAGCTCTTTACAATAAGACCTGCCAGTGGGTGGGATATGTTAGACAGCAAGTGAGCATTTTGTCATCAGAAGTAGGAAAAATAGACAAGTATGTACATAAGAGTGGTGTTGAGGGAGGTCAGATTGTGATGTAGAGGAGTGGGTCGGAGTATCTCCAAAACAGCAGCTCTTCTGGGGTTTTCCCAGTCTGAACTGGGCAGTACACAGTAAACGCTGGTTCTTCTTGGACATTATTGGAACACAGAGTCCATCACAGTTTGTTACATAAGGGGGTGGTTACAACATGAAATGCATTACTATTAGCACTGGGACTGTGTATGGTATTGAACACAAGTGCCTCTGCTGGGACCCCGACATACTTAATGAGTGTGCTCTGTACAGTTTATCACTGTCAGTGGTATCCTGACCCTGCGGTATCCTGACTTGTAATAAGCTCTGCCAAAATACATTGAAATCATCCCTGTGATGTGTTGAGGACCGTCTCGGAGTTAAACACCACTAACATTTTTCTGGCGTCCAATGGCAGAGTAATTTCAGCTCACCTTCTTTTGTTTTGCCAGATAAATTTGGCTGAATGACTCTTCCCCGTGTTGCCTGCCAATAAAGCTAGCTCAGTCATTTCCCCTCATGTTTTGGTAATTGCTTGAGCTCATTACCACCAGAGTGTCTGTGAGGGACCTAATATTCTTCCATTACTAGCTGGCGCATATTAACTTTTACTTACATTTGTAATGGCCAGTCTGCTTTATTCTGTCCCTGTTAAATTGCTAGAACTTATACCTCAGGAGTAGCTGTGAGAGACCTAATATCATTAGTATTTTATTACCAGAGTGATCGAAGAGAGTTCTTGTCATAATGCTAGAGGATACACAGACACAAGATAAAGTAAGACGATCACAGTTAATCTTTAAAGCCTCATAACATACTTGATATTTTCTACGCTCATTTTGGCAGCATAAATGTGCTATGTTACTGATTTTGGAGAAACTTGAGCATACCTGTTGAATGTCTAGCCATAGTCAGGCTCACTAAGTTTGTGTAGGTGCAAAGCCCTACATTACTCACATGAAGACTAATCCCGGACTTTTAGGTGTAATTGCTGCCTGTGACTCCTCAAAGACCTGAAGAAAGATCCTTAATGCTTATGTAAATGAGATCCATTTGTCCTTTTTTCCAAAAATAGATTGTAGTCAATTATAGATTAGTGATGAACCATTAGATAAGTACATCAGGGGATGATTCATCCACCAGTCCAACAATCCATTTAGACATTCAACTAGTCAACTATTCACAGAGAAAAAGGTTTTATTTTTCTCTTTGCCCTTAATTAATTATGTACATTGATTGCAATAATGCTGACTGCTGAATGGATAGAAATGAGGGGGTGATTTTAAATTGTAAGATCCACACTGAGGCAACATTTGAAGAAAGACACGTATTTCTCAACTGAAAGGATTTATCTTTTTAAGTGTGTCCAGACCTCAGACTGGGCTTGTCAGACCCGACTTGGCAGAGACACAGCTTCCATCAGTCAAACATTAAGTTTTGACAGCGAGGTTTAAAAGTATGTGCTGGTGAAGAAATAAAACTTTGAGAGAAGAGTGAAAAAAGGCATAAAAAAAGAGAAGTTTCTTAGAGTGTGTGCTGGTGAGTAGTCATTTATTCAAAGTGTTATTTACATTTCACTGATTTTAAACCCTCAAAACCATAACAACACTTTAACACATCTTTGTGAAAACTTGAAATTTGTTCTTCTATGTGATGTGTCTCGATGTTAAATAATTGAGTGAGTTGGGTGTTATTTTTTATCGCAAAATGAACAAATCCAAAAAATAAAATCCCAAACTTAACAGTCAGTCCAAAGTCAGTCAGTAAGTTGTGTTTACAAACTTCCATATTTGTTATTTGATGGTCACTTCATACTATCAGTTGTCCATGAGAGTAACCCTAATCACTGTGAATATGTCCTCCTTACATAATACATTAAATGTGAAAACTTGATGATTCTTAATAATAATTTTGTCGTGTTGAAATGCTTTATTCTGATTGGTCAATACCTTATGCCAGCTGCCAGTCTTTTCTTGCCAGTACACTGTTGCTATGGATAAGACTCTGATCATGGACTACAGTGTACTAAGTGTGATCATACAATCTGCCAACAGAAGTCCTGTTAATTTACATTTGAAAGAGAGAGGGAGAGAAAGAGAGAGAGAGAGAGAGAGAGAGAGAGAGAGCAGAAGAGGTTATAGATTAAAAAAGTGTTGAAGATGTGCTTTGAAAGGATGAATAAAACCCATGATGGTACTCTCAACTGCAGTGTTTAAGCACTGATGAATGAAAAAAATCTCTAGTGTGATGAGGCAGACAACGCATCTAAGGGTTGAGCCGATTCATGCAGACCTGCTCACTGTGTTTTACTCAACCATCAATAGAAAGGTTTATTTCAATAAAAAGTCTCTTATTTGAAGGCTAGGGGGTTCCATGTTGCTACAAATGCAGCTCTAACTGTGTGAGAGAGACCTTTCTCAATGGAGGACATAATCCTATTTAAGGAGGGGGTATTATGCTTATTATTTGTCTTCATATTGTCCCTCTATTTGCCTCTAAGTAGCTTTACATGACCTACAGTTCAAT